CCTTTCTATACTCGATCCGCTGCCCTATCTCCTCTAGGCCTTTCTAACCCTCGACCCACTGCTTTATTCCCCTCGGCTTCCCTATCCTCGACCCACTGCCCCATCTTCTATCGGCTTTTCTAACCCTCGACCAACTGCCCTACCCCCTCGACCCACTGCCCTCTCGGCGTTTCTAACCCTCTACCAACTGCCCTCTCTCCTGTCGGCCTTTCTATCCCTCGACTAAAGGCCCTCTATCCTCCTCGGCCCACCGCCCTCGCTAACCCTCGACCAACTGCCCTCTCTCCCCTCGGCTTTTCTAACCCTTGACCCACTGCCCCCTCTCCCCTCGGCCTTTCTAACCCTCGACCCACTGCCCCCTCTCCTCTCGGCCTTTCTAACCCTCCACCAACTGCCCTCTCTCCTCTCAGCCTTTCTAACCCTTGACCCACTCCCTTAATCCTCTCGGTCTTCCTATCCCTGACCTACTGCTCTATCCCCTACAGCCTCCCTATCCTCGACCCACTGATCTACCTTCCTCAGCTTTCTTACTCTGGGCAGCTTCTTCTTAGTACCCTGAACACACACAACACACTATATTACTCCCCTTCTCTAGTTACCTCCAATTCCGTCTCAAAACTGATCATTAAATACAACTTTCTTTGTTCCCGGCTAAGCACACTTTCAGGCTTTATGCGGCTCAAATAAGCCAATGGGATTGAGCGTACGTTGAAGAAACATACCAATAAGTCTGAATGCATTTGTGAAGTAAGGTAATCAACCACCGTGATTGGTAGCTTGAAAAAGTGATACTTCTACCTTGCTAGGTTACCGGAGCCGTTTCACATTGCATAAGCTCACGTGCAGAATGGTGCTTGATTACGGCAACCCCGTAGCCGAGCCTGGGTTAGGCCCTCGACAGGAAGATGGACTACGCCACAGCGTATGTTGAGAAAACATGTCAATAAGTGTGAATGCATTTGTAAGGTGATGTTATGAGAATATTTAGGTGAAACAAATTTATAGTTCTAATGAGTGTCCAAGGATGACAAAAATGTTTAAAATCTTGGATTGACATATTTTTTACTTCATTTGCTCAGCCATTTAATGCAGGGTTTTGATATAGAATTTCAAATGGTAATCAACCACCGTAATTATTAGATTGAAAATGTGCTACTTGTACTTTGCTAGGTTTCTGGAACCGTATCAACATTGCATATGCTCAAGAGGCCGCAGTGTATGTTTTTATTAAGCGAAGGTACATTAAAGTAGAATATATAATTTTATGCTAGTAGGTTTAACTTCAACTCTCCGCTGAATTTGCATCATATGTCCAGTCGTCCATCCATCACCCTCAGACCTCCTATCCTGACCTTCTTCCCCGTCTTTTTCGAATTTCCTATCCTCTAAACAGCGCCGTATCACCAAAATTAGGGGGGGATGACCCTATCTGCGTGTCCATATTCCCGTGTTATTGAACACACGTTAACAGAGTGTAACTCCAATCTGAACTCCTCAGAAATCAATGAGCACACAGTAGATTGAATGCCAAATGTTTTTATATTGTAAAGATGCACAATTGAATTGATCTCAATGACAGATAACAAATTACACTCAAAATCGTAATGCAGTTATGTGATGAAACCAATTTTCAGACCTTCCGTCCCCTACTCACTATCCTCTCCAACTTCCTAACTTTTGTGAATTTATTATATTGCATTGAGAAAATTTTTGTCAACCCAAGATTTCAAGCGTTTTCGTCGTCATTGTACGCACTAGCTTGTTTCATGCTTAAATATTCTCATAAAATTCTTACAAATGCATTCAGACTTATTGACATGTTTTCTCAACTCACGATTAAATAATCTCATTGGCTTACTTGAATCGTATGGAGCCTGAAAGTTTTGCAGCTCGATTAGGGATAACGAGGTGTAAAGTAGTTGAAGGGGACAGAATAGTAGACCATGGGGAGGTTGAGGGGGATAGGGCAGTGAGTAGAGGATGGGAAAAGCTGCAGAAAAGGAGGCATCGTGTTAAAGAAGGGCGGTCTGAGCAGAGAGTCGAAGACAGGCCTACCAACGTACGATTGATAAAACGGACTTCAGATCATAGTGGCATCGCATAAATAATCGTGGATTAGCATCATTGTTTACTTCATTTGCAAAGTTATTGCAGGCTTATGGTCTGGAATATCAATGGTAATCAACCACCGTAATTAGTAGCTTGAAAATATGCTATTTTGTACCTTGTTAGGTTACTAAAGCCGTGTCCACATCGCATATACTCAAGTCCACGGGTAGCGGATGCGAGGGACATAGGAACGCTCGAATATATGCATGGTTGTTACACATTCAACGTGCTTTTGAAGCGCAGTACTTTAATTACAAATGTGTTATTTTTTATCTTACATACATCTATTAATTGCATGACGACCGGCCAAGAGTGACTTACATCCATTACAGATGGCGCTAGAGCTCCGTGACTATACACAAACAATTCGCAATGTTCCATGGAAACAATCAAACATAATATCTTGTCTCAGTTTGAATAACTGGGCGGGGCTGTGAAAATCCACATTAAAACTTTTTTATCATCGACGTTTGATTAATGAGCGTTAATCGAGTTTGTATTGTATGAATTCTTTTACTGTGGATAGATTAAATATTTGATAACGCTGACGTTTACTTAGATTGCTACGTGGTATCAACCATTTCCAAACAAGTGCCAAAGTATCGAAATTTATGAACGATACGTAAACAAGGAAGGCGTGTTTGAGAATTCGAGTCAAGCACGATCGAAGTAGGCTACTTGTTCATTGGAGATAATGGTATCCCGCCTGGGCGATCTCCAACATTGACTGCGAAGCATCGCTTGTAGAAGTCGAGTGACATCGAGGCACTAAACGAAGTGTAAGATAAACAATAATTCGTTTGTTTTTATCGATGTAATCATCATATCTCACAAGGTCGAGAAATTGTTTCAGGTTTACTTCGGTGAGTAATTAAAAAATTCAAGCTCCGATAAAAACAGTCTCAAGTAACCAGATATTAGGGTTTCATTGTCTCCGGACAAGCCTCATAATGTTTCTTTATTACCTTCTGATCAAACAAAACGCTTGCGGACTAAGCGACGTATGGCATGCGCTTTAGGGGATGCACTTTTGGCTTCAGGTGTATGCGAAAGGTTTAAATGTGTAAGAAGGTGAAGATATGCTTGAAATATTATTTTAGGTGTTTCAGAGATAGTCATTTTAGTATTGATTGGTAAATTCATAAATATATTGCTGTAGTTTATTTATATTAGTCTTACATTTTTACCAGCTTGCTATTAAAAATTGACTATTTGGTATTTATTTGTCGTCCGAGTGTGAGCAATTTGTATTCATATAACTTGAAGCACCGCTAGTCACAATTCTTGCGTGACGGAAGTTGATCGTTCGAATTGCATTCGTATATATGAAATGCTATAATATAAAACACAGATAGTTTGGATGCCTGCTTTTTGACAAAAAGTTCAATTTAATTTACACTTACTACTAAAATGGATTTACCCAGTCAGAAATCAGGATAGACAGTGAACAAAGATTTAGGTACGCATAGTACCTAACAAAAATAGGAGTGTCTCAAAACATCGTTAATCTTCGGGAATCTTGACGACATAACCTCGTATGGCAGGGGTGGGTAAAATTTTTGGTAAGGGCCGCTCGCAAAATCTTTTTTCGTTAAGAAAGGTATTTAATTTTTCACAAGTACCATATCATAAGTTATCTTTGGTAAAAATGTACTATATAAAAAATCCCAGATTAAACAATTTTTAAACAAATATATCAAAAGTAAAAAGAACATCTGACATTTATAGTTCAGATATATTATATTAAGATTAAAAATAGATTTAAATTTTGTGTGTAGTGAGACATATTTCACAATTTAATAAAGACTACGATCACTATAATCGTTATGTTCGTAATTCCAAATTTAGCTGACAAGCATACCGGAAACGAGAGAATTTCCGGTACACGTGTGTTCGCCGAAGTGTGTCCGAAATTGTAGAATCTCTCGTTTTACTTTGTTGTTGTTCTTATCAACGGTGCGTAACGTGAACAATAGCGCGGTTGGTTCGAAAGGTTGAATTCATCATTTGAGTTGACTTTTTATTCAAACTTTGGCAAATTTAGATAGGAGCAGATCAATATTATATGATAATGACATTTCTGTATTTGCTTTGATTTTAGGACTGCGGAGTGTGTAAATTTGGAGCTGGCAAACTTGCGGTGTTAGAGAGTTTCAGTATTACAGTATTATTCGCAAGCAAATCATTGCATGCCTTGATACAGTGATAATACCGTTAAACGAATAGTCAATAACTAATAGCCTATGTGTTTTTATGCCTTTATGTACAGCATGTCAGTTTGGTGATATCCATGTTTGAATAGTTTGGTATTATATAATTCTAGTTTGTAGTTTTTGCAAATTAAAATAGACTATTTTTAGAATTTTGGTGTCTGCGAATTGACAATTTTGGGATTGACAATTTAAACGCCATGCTCACCACCTTATCAAATATTGGATAATGTAATATCATGTTGCTAAATCTAAATTTCATTCCAAAAAAAAGGATCAGCTTATCTTTTTCACAGTGAGTGTGTAAACATCATATGTAGCACCTTGATTCCAATAACCTGATCAGGATTTTTTTTCGAAGTTGTTAATTTTGCAATTAAAGTCTCTACTCTAAGTTTCGCTTTATTACACACATTATTCTTATTTATTTCATCATTAATTATCCATGCATAGAAAATTACCAGCTTAGTATTCGGGTATTATTTGAATATGCATGAGAAAATTATTCAACGTTTTGCGGACTTCGGTCAGTCGGTACTGGTTTATCTCAAGTTATTCATCGTTTAGTACTTTTATTTATCGTTTAGTTTAGTTAATATGCAAATGTATATTCCTAATATTGGTTTTTAAACTTTCATATGTGTTACATTTATTTCATTCTTTTTTATTTTTCTTAGAGATAATATTGGTCTATTGTAGACCACTTATATTTGCTTTGTATAAAGAAGTGAAATGGAGACTCCCATGTTTTAATTAACTCGCTTGAATTGTTGCTATGATACAAATGTGAGATACTAATTCAACAAACATTCTCAAAACAAACAATATGAGAAAATCACAATCTTCTCACAGTCGAATTCCTAGCGCTGATGATGCTGCTGTGCCTAAGCTACCTCCGTCAATCACTCCAAGAGCTTCTTCAGTCCCTGGATCTCGTATTCCTTCCCCCACAAGGTCAAAGGTTGCACCTAAACCCAGAAGTAGGGCCTCAACCCCACAAAGGTAATAAAAAATTTTTAGTCACATCATATTTTGTGTTTTTGCATAAAAAATCACTCTCATATGGCGACGAGTTTCATAAAGACTGTGGTGATAATTGCGTAGTATTTGATAAAAATATTCACACTATATTCAGGCACCAACAATTCTGAGATAATTACGCTTTGGTAACACTGTGGTGATTTTTTCTAATCTTTCATATGCACCCCCTCAATGATTGTCCTAAAAATAAGCCTCAAAATAAAAATGTGTGAAACTTACCTTCTTGTTACTTCCTATGATACTTTTATAGGAACAAAGATATAGGAAATATTCTCAACTATAAAAATTTATATTCAGATCTCGTTCGTCAAGTATATCTCCAATTCGAGCAAGTATGACAAGTCCGCAAATAAGTCCGATAAGAACAAGTTATGCAAGTCAAGATTTATCTGCTTCTGGTTTGTCTATTTTTTACTTGTTAGTTAAGAATTTTTTTTCAAAATAGACTAAATCATGCTGTTTGGATAAACTAGTAGCTATCGTGTTAGCATTATTTTGTCTGATTTCTATGTTGACATGTTGTCCATTGCAATTAGCTTTGGAAAACTTAATCTATAATCATTTCTTGTAGTTACCACACATAAAGACTTTTCATTCATGTCTGTCTATTATTCTCAGATGGCCAAGGTTCTGGACGAAATCTTGTTAGATACATCACACACGACATGATTAAGAGATTGTCAAAAAATAATGACCAGCTGGATCAAGTCAGATCATTGAATTTCACTCTCTCAGGAGAGAAAAAAATTAGAGTAAGTCATTCAGTATTTATATTATTAGCATGAGGTATTTTAAATTCCTGGTATCTTTATTATACATTACCGTAATTATGATATTTGTCCACTTAGCAAATATTGATCAGAAACCATCGCATATTTAAGAGACAGTGTGTCCTTTATAGAATAAAATGATTTACCGGTAAGCAGAGCCATAGCAACTAGGATCACACTGATAGCTTCCATGTTTGTTGATGAGTTCTTCAATTATTTTTGAGTAATTTATTTTACATTTTAGTGGATTTTTGTGCTGTTAAGCAAAATATATTTATCAAAGTATGCACCCTTTGACCTAAACGTTTTTTCTCAGTACATTGAAAACCTTGAAGATTGCAGGAATCTGACATCACTCAACTTTAGCGGAAATGTCATTCAAAGAATTGAGAAAATTGATCATCTTACTAAATTAAGAGAACTTAATCTAGCCAACAATCAAATAAGGTAAAGATAATTAAAACCTAATTTTATATTTATTGGATATGAATTGAAATTTCTTGTATCAGTCAGTATAAAGTTTGCTAGTGTATTCATTTCAATATCTCTTTTCTACCTCTCTATGGGTCACTGTATATAGCAGGGGTGAGCAAACTATGTCCGGCGGGCCAAATCTGGGCTGTTGGGTAATTCAATCTGGTCGGCCTGATGCTGCCACAACCAAATTAAAACCAAATTTTGAATTTTTAGCTGAGAAATAACTCAAGAAATTTGTTAAGAATTCCGATTAAATTTAGTTTTGGCGCGAGGCTTTCTACTTTTGCTTTTGACACTGTAAATATTGCTCTTAAAATATAACTTTTTGCGTAACAATTACATTTCCAGCCAGTCTAGATATATATAATATAAGGAGTAAAATTCCTTTTTCATTTGCGTTTCTCTATTTAAATTTTTTTCCATTTATATCTTTTAGCAAAATTGAAGGATTAGAAACCTTGACGAGTCTACAATCATTGAATTTGAATGGGAATATGATCGAGACGATTCCTATATGGTTTGTCAAGAAATTAAGAGCAATGAGGATACTGAGGATTGGACATAACCAGATCTCATCAGTAAGTACCGTTTAGAAATTTTGTTGTTAAATACCATTTTATTTTCTTGCTTCACAATTTTTACTTTTTTATAATAAACTTCTTATTATTGAGAGTAACAATATGTCTACTTTGCCCGATTGCCATCAAGAAATCGGTTAGGTTGTGATGGACATAGCAAGGGTATGAAACTAGGGCTGGGAAGTCTGTGGAAATACAAAACTGACTCCAATAATAAGACCCAAACCCAAATCTCCGAATGAATGATTGTTACCGTGAATAAAACTTTTTGGTATAATAGTTTTCTTCTTTCATTTCAGTTGTCAGAAATTGTGAAACTTCGTAATTTTCATGATCTGCAATCACTTACTATTGCTGGGAATCCATTGTGCGATTTGGCACATTATCGTTCCTACACAGTATTTCATCTTCGAACTGTTGATCAACTTGATGGACAAAATGTCACTGTTAATGAAAGATCTGCTGCTAATACAAGATTTGCTCAGGGTTTGTTTTTCTCTATCTTTTCATGAGTTTAGTCTTCAGAGTTCATTATCAGTTATAGATTGAAAGAAAATGGACGTATTTTTAGCTCTGAATTATTTCCTGCTAATTGTTGGAATTTCTTTGATGTTTAGGCTGAATAGTAATTTATTGATTAACTTCCTGCAGATTACAATGAAATTGGTTTATGATTTTTTATTCCCTTCAGCTCAATTAAAACAGCCCTTAGATGTAAGAAGCTTCTAGATCAGGGGTGTGCAACATGTTTTGTCGGCGGCCATATCACCAATTTCAGACATCTAGCTTGGCCATACAAAAAGTTTAGTTTATCCATGTACATCACAATATTATGGGGCAAAACGAGCGTTATGAAAGCCTGCAGCAACGACATAGACATCCACATAGAGAAGGCAAGAAAAGAGAATGCGAATCACTTAGTCTTACAGTAATAAAGGTGCCAAGAAAATGGCGAAAGATTTAACGCAGCGACAAGAGCAAAAAACATGTATTTTTACCAATGCGAGCGCCCTTTCAACATAAACTCTTGGATTAGGATTTTATGCTCGAAGGGCCACACTAAATGGCTTGGCGGGCTGGGTTATAGCCTGCGGACCACCTGTTGCACACCCCTGTTCTAGATTTATAAGTTTGGGAAGCCTTGTGATTCAACATAGTCTTTTAAAATTTTGAGGTGTTGGGCTTGAGTTGACTGACTGATTGGCCTTAAATTGAACATTGTTTAATTATATCAGCCTCAATTAAATTGAAATAGGAAATGAAATTGAGAACAACTACTTGATGTATCTGCATGATTTTCAGTAATTTTTGAATATAGTCTTGGTCTGTTCAATGCCCCAAATGGTTTTTGTTTGTGTTTGACACTTTAGGATAAATATTTTTCAATGTTTAGATGAAATTGACAGACTGGCACGAGAATTGAACAAGACATCTGAGGAATTTAAGACATTACAGGTAACTATATTTTTATGGTTCTTGACTTATTAGGTCTTGAGGTCAGGGATTTAGTCTGAATGAAATACTGTATCAATGTTTAATATAGTTTTATATAACCTTCAATGCTTTTCATACGATATTATAGAAATTCTAGTTTTTATCTCCGTATTGGTGTAAAGCATTGTGGGGATGTTGGAGGTTTCATTTTGCTCTCGACTCTGAGCTAACTCTCGAATATAGAAATTTCAAAATTTGGGCTTATTGAATTTTTAAAATAATATGGCTAGGGCTCTAACTCAATGGCCCCAAAATAATTGTAATCTCACTTTGCGGTGCTGATGTCGATGCATTCCAACGTATCAGGTTTTTTTAATTACCCTACTTTTGTGCATAATCCAGGATCAACATAATGAATCATTAGAAAATCTCGATGCATTGAATGCAAGAGAAAGAGAATTGACAGACAGAGATCAAATTAATAACGAGACAAGAGAAGAATTAGAAGTTGAATTAGATGCAAAAGATGAGTTGGTGAGTATTTTTAACTTGATTTCAACAAAATTTGTTTTCAAGTTATGTATTATCAGGAAAAAAAATTGTAAATTCAAAACAGTTGACAAATTAAACAGTTGACGGCATAAAAATAAAAAACTTTTGCTTCCTGAAAGTAATGAAGATTTTTAAATATTAAATAGGCCTACTAATTTTTTTTATTCATGTTCAACTTTAAAAAATATATAAAATTCATTGAGTCTGTTTTTAACTAAGATAAGGCTTAGTCAATTTGCTTTTTAATTTTCTACAGTTTTTTTAAGGTAAAGAAAACTTATTGTCTAAAATTTTTGAATAAAAATATTCTAAATCTGTATTATTTCTAAAATCATTCCTTGTCTTGATATTTGTATTCTCTTAACATCCATTTTTGAAATTTTGTAACAAAATATTGTGCTTAATATATTTATACATGGTGGATATGTTACATTCTACCAGTAAAAATGAAGCTTTAAAACAAAAATCTCAGAATGATGACATTTGAGAAAGCTATCGAGTCCTTGTATCAGTATACTCGAATACTTGAGCCATCTCTGAATCATTTCTGTTCAATTGTACCATAGTTAACAAAGGCTGGTATGTAGTGTTTGAACAGCCCATTGTTTGGTGTGTATTCGTAAGGTTTATTTGGAAAACCATTAAGTTTGGTAAATTATTGGCATACTTCAGAAAGTACTTGAGTTTTGTAATCCAATAAGTATTTAAATACACTTGTACACATTACAGCGCAGCCCGAAGTACAAGTCCTAGGAAAAGACATTTAATATTGGAATTGGAACCCATCTACATTATTAAACAAGCAAAATAAATGTTAAATGTTAAATTATATTAGCAGGATTGAGATTTAAAGATTTATTATAAGCTCTATAACATGGCATCAAATTCAATTAGAACAGATATTGTTAAGTCTGAATACTCTTATTAAATATAGAAAACGCTCGTGTTTTGTAAAATTTTAGTAGAAAATTTTTTTAACTTCTGAATTTCTCTGCTCACCAAGCCTTTGATAGACAAATTTTTCATTCTTTCCTCAAGTAACTCACAAATGGTAATAAACCCGTCAGAAAAAGTATACTGTACTGGCCTTAATGGCCGTAACTACTGGCTGCGTCATTTTGAATACAGGCTTATACAAATTATTTTTTCCGAGTTCAATATTATGTGGTTATTCACATTGGCATAATTTTATATTTTTTCAGCTTAAGAAAAAAGCGAAAGAATTGCAAAGATCTCAAGCAAAACAATACAAACTGGAACAAGAACTTGCGTTTTATAAATTAGATGCAAAATTTGAACCTTTGAATGTAAGTAAGGTTGTGTTTTATGCATTTTGCCATGATGGAAATGAATATGTTGCATCCTTATTTGATTTAGTTTCGAAAATGTTTGATATAGATCTAATATGATTAAGGTATTGGTACTCTCGTAGTATGTGAACCAAGATGGCGGACACAGGAACGTTGTATGCATACCAGGTTAGGGTTAGGCCATAATTTTATTTCAATTCCTTATTTAGTTTTATTTAGTTCGGGGACTAGCCAGGTGACTCCTGTAGTTGTACCTGAAATTATGGCCTAACCCTAACTTGGTACTCTTACTACGTTCGGGTGTCCGCCATCTTGGTTCACATACTACGGGAGTACTGAGGTAGTTAGTACGATGGGATAGTTTTTATTCTGCTTGAGAGGATATTCAAATCCTATTGAAGAGATTGAAGAGTGATGGATATCTGGCATTTTATACCCAATTAATTACACCCTGTTTTGGGTTGCGGCTTGCGGGCTAAGTGATCTAATCCATCTTGTGATGTGTAAAACTGCTTTTGCTTGGGGAGTTCAGAAAATTAAATAAAGGGGTTACAACAACGAAAGAAATTTTTCAAACCAATGAAATGCATGCCACATTTTATCAATTCAAGATAAAGCAAAAATATCTTAGATAATATTATTGTTGTGATAAGGTATACTCATGTTATCTTCACTTCATTTAGAGATTTTGGTGTTAAGCAATAAACAATTGTATCATATATTATTCGAAAAAATTATTTTTTCAGTTTCCACGAACACTCTCTGATGAAGAGGAAGATGATGAAGACAGTCCTTACATTGGGAAATCACCTTTCAAGAAAAATCAATTTGCTGTTGAAGGAAGAGTTCCTGGGAGAAAAGTGAGAATTTTGTTTCATAAATTTAATTGAATGTCATAATTTTAAAGTTGTTTTCTGGGCGCTCCAGAAGTGTGTGTACCAATATGGAGGTAACTAATTTTGTTCGCCTATTTTACATCAAGTTGAGTGAAGGGACTGAAACCTATGAACAGGGGTTATATTCACTTGGCTAACACAGACAGTCACCGAACTCATAATCGAACTAAAATAGGGAAAATCCGAATAAAGTTATGGCCTAACCCTAACTAACCTGGTACACATACTACGGGAGTACCCTTTTCTGTGGAGGATTGAACTCGACTTTTGAAATAATCAAGGTTCTATCGAAATGCTATGGCATTGTTTCTGACAACTTGTCTTATGAATTACGAATTGTAAAATCCAATTTTCATTTCTAAACTGTGTTATTTGCTCTGAATAGGCTCATACCAACCACCTATAAGTGTCAAAATCTTTTTTCTTCAGCATTGTCTCCTGCCCAATTTATTATAATTGGACGTGGGAATAAAATTTGTCCACTCGTGACTATAACAAACCACTTTGAATTCGAAGCTGTAACAGCCCTCATGTTGGAAGTAGAAATCCTGACTGTACATTCTTGAATACAAACACATTATTACTTATTGATCTTTAGATCTTTAGGTATTTGTTACCTATCGATCTTAAGATCGGTAAGTATGTTGATAGGTGTTTGTCTGTCTGTCTGTTTGTTTGTTTGTCTGTTAGATGAACGCGATATCTCACGAAGGCGAGGTTGAATCTCCTCCAAATTTTGCATGTGCATTCATCATATCTCGGACCAGAAGCTTATTGATTTTGGATAAATTATGTCATATAGTTAGCGAGTTATTAATTAAATAGTGATGGGACACGTTGTGTCACTATAGGGTCATGAATTGAAACCGCAGTTTTGATCGATAAGTTCTCGGTCTCCGACCGATATTCTCGTTTGTCTGTTAGACACTTTTGTATGTTACGCGATATCTCACGAAAGCGAGGTTGAATCTCCTCCAAATTTTGCATGTGCATTCATCATATCTCAGACCAGAGGCCTATTTTGGATGAATTATGTCGTATAATTAGGGAGTTCGATCGATAAGTCTTAGGTCTCCAACCAATATTCCCGTTATTTTTTATTGTAGCATTTGATATTTTGTAAACAACAGATTCTGTTAAATTTCAGGGTGGAGCTGCCGCATTGGATGCTTCTTTGCAAGAGAAAGAAAGATTATTGGAAGAAGGTATGTATTAATTATATGTTGTTAACCTATCATGTATGATAGGAATAATAAATCCGAATAATCTTTAAATTCCTTTTGCAAAGGACTACTTAGATCAGGGTGGTCCAAACCCAGGCCCGCGGGCCACATGTGGCCCGACGCTCTATTATCTGTGGCCCGCGTCGCATTCGGAGAGTAATCAAAAAATCGCATTTCATGTTGTTTCGTAATAAAATTAATCAGAAAAATCTTTTGACATATTATTACATCAATAATGTCACTGAATTGACTAGTGTTATGGCTAGCTGAGGCAACTAGCGAAGTTGAATGATGTGCTTGGCAGTCTAAATTAATATCTGGCTTTCTATCTTTCTGGTCAGGAATATATGCTAACAATATAGGCATCATAGAAAACTAAAAATCAAATGCGGATTCTATTAGCCTGGGATGGCTATGTCTGATAACTATGTGTTTGCACAATAAAAGTTTTTGTTTTTTATTGCACTGTTTACCTATTTTTGGCACTATTGTGACACGCGAACAATGCAAAAATAATTTTGTGGCCCGCGAAGCCGACAACCTTGGACCACCCTGACTTAGATGTTTTGATAATGAAGATAATTCTTTCTATACGTGTGCATGATTGTTTGAACCAGGGCTGGAGCTGTGACATTTTGATGGCGCTTGAGCCAAGCTCATCGTGATAGACAGTACTGGAGCCGAAGCTACTAGAAAATTTTAGTGGCTCCAGTTTCTAACCGTCTAATTATTTCTCAACATTTATAATTTTCTGATACTTCATACAAATAATAAAATCTATCTTTTACAGCTCATAATTTTTTTATAAAATTCAATTTGTAATATTAATTCAAAACTTTTAAGTTGAATTAATAAAAACTCTAAAACTTTAAATATGTAATTTGAAGCTTTTTTATCATGATTTTGACTCACACTTCCACTGAACTGCTTTGGGTAGATATTTCATGGTAGTCGCCAACTCGCCACACTTAATAATCTCAATGGGTATGGATTTTGAGCTGGGGCCCAGCTTAAACGTAAAAAAAATGAAAAGCTCTGTAGTCGAAGCTAGAGATAGAGCCACTGTGATTTCCGACCTACTTTGGAAATACTAGAAGGTTTAGTAGGTTAAAAGACTGAAAGAATATTTTTCCGTTTCAAACAATAAAATTATTTAATGTTAGGTGTGCAATACAGGGTGATTGAAAGGTAACTCCCTATTTTAAAAAAACTATAGTTTATTTTTAAAATATAATTTCTACAATTAATGAATATGAGAAGGAAGTATAATGCATGGGCTTTTATTTAAAATTCAATATGGGCGCCTTTATTTGCCACCAGCTTCTCATGTCGACCAGGAATCGCATCAACTGATTTCGCAAGAAACTCTTGCGGGATGGAAGTCATAACTTCACGTATTCGCCCCTCAAGTTCTTCCAAATTTCTTGGTTTGGTTGAGTAGACTTCCTCTTTCAGCCAACCCCAGAGAAAAAAGTCGCAGGGTGTTAAGTCAGGACTTCTGGCAGGCCATTCGTGCGAACCGCGACGACCCATCCATCTTCCAGGAAATTGAGCATTTAGCCATTCACGAACAACAATAGCAAAGTGTGGAGGAGCTCCATCTTGCATGAAAATCAAATCTTCAATATTTTCCCAAGCACTGATAATTGGCCAAATTTCATCTTTCAACATAGCGAGGTACCTTTCGGCATTCATGGTATCGCGAAGAATGAAGGGACCCACAATCCTATCAAAAGTAATTCCACACCATACCGTTACTTTGGATCGATTTTGCATTTTTTCACAGGTAACACGAGGATCTTCTTCCGCCCAGTAGTGGCAGTTATGACGGTTCACAAATCCACCTATGTGGAATACAGCTTCATCACTCCATAGAATATTTTTAAAAAGGTTGGGCCAATCTCTAAACCAAGCCAACATTATTTCACCAAACTCCATACGAATGTCAAAGTCTTCTGCAGAGAGTGCTTGACAGTAATGCGGCTTCCAAGCACGCCATTTAAGCTCGTTTTTTAGCACATTACGTACACAATGAAAGGAGAGCCCACTTTCTCTTGTTGCTTGACGAATTGACTTATGTGGGCTACGGGTAAACATTTCTTTAACAACTTGCACTACCTCAGGATCTCTGGATTTGGAAGGACGACCGCTTCTTTGAGTATCAGCCACAGATCCTGTGGTCATAAGTTTTTTATGACAATTCTTGATCGTCTTCGGGTCAATTTGGGCATGTTTTCCCTTAATAGTTCTCCACCATCTTTGCACTTGAACAATGCATCCCCAAACTTCATAACGCGCGGCTATCTGGGCACGTTCCTGTAGAGTAAGACGTCTAGCCATTTTTGTAGGGTTTTGAAATAAAATAAATTTGAAAAGATTGAAATTGAACAATATTTAAACAAATCTGAAAGGAAAACAAGAACATAAATTAAATTGCCATATATTAAGTAATATATACACATAAATTTAGAAACATGAAACATGATATAGCATTTGAATAAATTGTATTTATTTTAAAATAGGGAGTTACTTTTCAATCACCCTTACATATTGAAGGATTTTTCAAGTTTATCTTACAGGGGAGAAAAGTCAATAAGATGGCTTAATTAAGTGGCTGAACCTGACTCCCAGTTCTATAGTTCGGGCTGCATATCTGATTTATTAATCTTTTTTATGCTTGGACTTGGATGAGTGATGAAGGAATTCGTGCCCGCTTATATAAATTCGATACAACGACAAGAAGTCTAGCAATTTTTCAGCACATGATTATACCTCTTAAACATGTTATTCCACGCAGGGTAATCAGCATTGTGATAGTGTTTCCACAGCTTTGTACAAGATGCCAATTACCAATCCCATTTATTCATGGGTGATTCTTAGTAGAAAAATGTTTGCAAATTAAACTTGAGTTTTCAATGAATATTTTCAGCTGCAAATCGACTCGCCCAACTTCAACGAGAGTTAACAGACACACAGAAACAAATTGAAGATGCCAATCGTGAAATGTCTCGACTCGAGAGAGACAATATGGAAAGATCAATGTCTGAAGATGAGAAACAAAAACTCAGGAAAAGATTGGCTGCAAAAATACAGAAAGTTTGCAAGGTGATATCATCTAATAATTTGAACTAATATTTTTCCACGTGAATTGTTTCGTATATTTGTTCTGAACAAGGTTAAAAGCAATCAGTAACTGAGACAAAGTGTAAAGTGGTGAAACTGGTTTGGTATTGACTCCTTTTTTTCATGAGGCCGGTGGAAGTGGGAATTTTTTTCTTGGAGGGGCAGTTAATAAATAGGTTTCAAATCAAATTTCCCCACATAAATATATTAGAGAATTAGTAAATCTGATGAGAACCTTCTGGTTCTATTGCCTTGGAATTTCTCTTAGTTTAACCGTTTTGAATCATCATTAGTGTGCTGTATGGGAGTGGGTTAATCATTGATTGAATATTTTTTATGTATTTCGGTGCGAGCAAGAAATAATCATATAACAAATCACAGCTACCCAAGAATTTAACAGTGCAGATTAAAGACAGATCATATCAGGTTTTCTGCATACACTTAAATATAGACTTTAAAACTAAAAAAATTATACATCCGAGTCGATTTTGTTCTTCTTATCAACGAGTCTTTCATTCTTTTTGACAAATTAAATTTATCATGGTACCTACTGTTATTTATTACAGTTGAAAGAATCAGCAGAAGAATTGGAAGAACAACTACAGAAAGATCGTGCAGAATTAAGAAAAAGTCGACAAGAACTTGATAAAATGAAAGCTAAATTGAAGAAAATGGATCCAAACAGTCCTGAATATGTAAGTCTTGATTATTGTGAATATTCAGATTCAGATGTATTAGGTTTTAAAGACCTAGCTGCTAATTATTGCTGGTGAAAAAATTGAATGAATTCTTGTGTTATTCTTCCACTGTATAATATCAAATTATCCAAGTATATATATTTAATGGTGATATATAATGTTGCTATTTATAACTACTTATATTCTATGTTCTCTTCTATATGTAATATGTATATATATATATTGAATATACGAATATATATTATTTACGGTATATCAATAATTCCGCATGTTTATACCGATATATGACCTGTGATGCCACAAAGTTAGCACATCCACCCAGCCATTATGAAGCTCATTCTAAAATTTTTAAAGTTCTGTCCTTAGTTCATGTTTCATTTTTTCAGGCAAGACTCCGAGCTCAGATGATCGACAAAGAAAAACAAATTGATGATTTGAATCGACGAATAAAAGAAAATGAAACTCAATTGAACAGATTAATCAAAGGAATTGCTGTTGATACAGAAACTATCAAGTTATTGGAAGAGCAGTTAGCAAAAGGTTTCGTTTTGTTTAGTTATTCTATGATTACAGCAATGGAAGGTCAATTATATCCTTACGTTAACATTTTGATTATACATAGGCAACATAGCGCTTCACACTTGTCAAACAGTTCATGTTTTATACAATCACTAATTCCGAATTGTGTGATTTTCAGGTGTGGAATGACCATATTTTTTGTGCCAATACACCATTGTGAAGGAAATAAGTATAAGTCCAAATTGTGTTTTTTGAACTTTGATGCAATATTCAAGTGTTTCATAGATTTATTTACTGATATTAATTTTTTCAAGCTGAGGTTTGCGCTTAAAACGGATGATTCGCAACTCAGATCTTACTTCTGTTCTCATTCTATTCTTTTGCGAGATCTTGTAGACTTCAATTTTTCAAATCCTTTCCATTTTATCCAATCCATTTACCTGTCACTGTATTTAATAATGAGTGAAAATATTACTTGTTCCATTTTGTATTCATGTCATCGAAAATCAAGAAAAATCTTTAATTATAATTGATATTGATTTTCCAGGAACAATGACAGCTGATGATGGATTGAAAGGAGAATTAGAAGATATAGTTGGTGGACTTCAAGATTATATTCTGAATGTTCGACAAAAAGCAAATGCTCAACAGGTCAGATGAGTTACATCATGTGATTACCAAGTTATAGTTCATGGAAACTATGCATAGTTTAAGCTAGATGGAATTGTTCATTTTGACTCTTTCAATTTCACTATTTTTTGATTGTTTAATTTGTATTGAGTTTGTGTCCTTAGAAATGTCCAAACAGGATAATTAGATATTCCGAGATCAATATATCGGAATAAGTCTCATTGACTGCATTTAAAATTTGGCTCCTTTGCAAAGGGTATATGCATGAAAACTTTTCTTATTTGGGTAAACTAGGGTGTTAAAAAGCTTCTTCATTTAAATCTATTTCCTACAATTTGTATTTCATCATTCTCTCATGTCTTTGAGAAGCAAGATCGAAAAAATATTAAAATATGAATTTATTATAACGTTGAAATCATTAAAAATTTGTATTCATCTTGAGAGTTGAAAAGATAACAAAATTTCTTGCTTTGATTTTGTGACTTTCTTCATGTTTAAGTGTGCAGTAAACTTATCAGATTGTTGCATCACCAAAAAGGCTGAATAAAGTGTCCATTTTTCTAACCTGATTTCTTTACAACAGACTGAATTTGACAATCTCCTCCGAGACAGAGATAGATTGGCAAGAAAATTACAGGCAATAGAAAGAGAGAAAAGTCAACTTGAGGAAGATGCCGACGATTATTCACAACTACAACAACAGGTGAGACAAGTAGTTTTTGTTTTTTTATCAGCTCAAAAATTGCAAAGGAAGTTTATCAATACCATATATTGTTTTTGCCCTCACAGATGTATTGAATGAAGTAAAAATACTTGCTGATTAAACCACACCTGGTTAATATATATTGAGAACTGATTTTATAACAAAATTGAAATTGTAAAGGGACTTTATGGGCACCCTGTATATTGTCTTAGTAACATTCAACTTTGTTTGTTCATTTTAATCAATGATTTTTTGGAAAAAGTGTGTATTACTGCCCTTCACTTGACCTATGGTGTAATAATGAACAGGAAAAAAAAATTAACACTTCTAAAACACAGTTCTATTGGTAGTTGAATTTTCCAGAAGCAAAATTATATAACATGGGAGAGGATTTGGGGCCTTTGTGCTCCCAATAGTGTTATGGGTTTGATATTCCTCTGAAGTTATTTTTATTTATTATTTCTATTTTAATGCACAGTGTAAATTTAATCTGATGCTTGTCTCGATAATACCTTGCTTGGATTTCTTATTAATGTTGTAGCTGTGATTACTAATTGTTTGCTGCCAATTGGAAATGGTGTGGCAATGTGCGTGAAATAATCAACAAATAATCATTTTGAAAGCATTTCCTTATTATTAAGATATGATTTTTTGATCTGACCCTGAGTAAAAGGAAAGCTGATACGACTAGTTAGATATATAGTGAACTGCAATCTCTCAGCTAATCACCTGTCTAAATTGGAAATGGGTTTAGGATATTAAGTTAATTGTTTGGCTGGGGTATTCATAGAAAAACCAATGTGAAATACAGTGTGACATCGAGGAGTCCAGCTATTCTGGGATTTGAACTTCCGAGTTCCGATCTCCTGCAGGGTGATAAGTGTATGGTTCTTAACGCTTAAGCATGATTCGATATTCCTGTGGTATTATTTTGCATCAATTTTCAAACTCGTTAATATATACTGACCATCAGGTGTCAGTTTTGGGTGAACTGAATGATTTATTACAAGCGACACAAGATTTAAACGAATCAATGATGAGAGGCGGAACCAAACCAAAGACGCAGACGGAGACAGTTGCTCTCGATCCAATATCTGCTCTTAATACTGTAAATATTCACAAACACATTCTCACGGTTGATACTGGACTGAAATATAATTTGTCATCTTTTCATTGCACCCATATACATTAAAGTTTTTTTTAGTTGAAACACAATATGCTCCTTTTAGAATAATGATAAAATTCATGTTCGATTTATTATCAAATTTTCATTTTCACATGATTTACCCAACGTGACTGATGAATTGAAAATTTTGTTGGTGAATTATTGGCACTATTCCATCTACGAGTGAATAAAAATTTGTTTACAAAAAGGAGCAACCAATCTGGGTAGACTTTTGGGCTATTTAGAGGCCCTACATAAACATATTGTCTGGGACCAGATATAGATAATGATATTAATAATTCTCAAATTTTGTAATTGAGGATGAATTTATTATTACATTTTGTTTCATTTTTAGTCCAAAATCATGATTCTGTTAATTTTACGAGTCTTGCATATATAGAAAAAACACTCTGACCTTTATTAAATGATTATAATTTATATTGGCTAAAATTGGGTAACTTGACCTAAAATTGATGGGGCTATGGAAGTGCGAAGCCAACTGCAGCCACATAAATGACCTTTCGGATTGTTGAATTAAATGCAAATTTTCTACATTGAATTAATCTAGTGCCTACAGGTTTGTTACACTTTGCTTCAGTTAGCATGTTGCCTGTTTTTTATATTTTGATGTTGTTTTCAACTTCACTCCTAATTTAAAGTATGTATCTATATAATTTGTTAAATAGTAATTCATCACAATAAATAATTTCAGATCATATTCAGCAGGTATGCTGTAGAATTATGTGGTTGTGAATGTCTGGTGAATTGAATATTTATGAAATATTCAAATTGGTATTTGGGTTTAGCTGAGTATTGTAAACTTGTTGATTGGAAGACTATTTAAAAAAAATCCAAATTTCAATTTATTTTGGAATGGAAACTGAATTTATTTTTGTGATACAAAATTTCCTTTTTTCCCTTCCATGTAATAGTTGGTAAATGCACAATAAAAAGGGAAAAAAGTATCGAAAAATTTTACAATAATATCAATGGCTAGTGGCACCCATAGCTTACTCAGAGATGAGTCTCTTTTGTCTCTGAGTGAGTGCGCCAGGACTTGCTTCAAGCAAGTCTTTCAGAAAAAAGATCTTCTGCCAATTAATATACATAACTACTTGATGATAGTCTGATAGATTCTTGCTTCTATTTGCCTATTATAATAAGCCCAGTAGCAACCATCTGCTACATATATTTGTCATTTTGTATTGTAGTTGGATATTAAATAGCCAACATCTTAATTCATGGCACATAATATATGTTGATATTCCATCACTGTTTTATTCATCATGAAAGGGCAACTCCATTATCATAGATAAAAATGTTTTTTTGGTGAAATAGTTGGTTGAAAAAATGTTCAGACCTGAAGCCAATTTAGAAAACTCGATCTGTAAATGCAATTTCTCATTTCTATTTTATGCAAATAATTAATTGTATAATATTACCTACACTGGGATTTGAAACCTGTTTTTATTACCTGCATGTATGCTTGATAGCATTAATTATAAAATTCAAACACATGCATAAATATAGTAAATATAGAATTTAACGATTGTTTTATCGTTTTACAACAGTTGAAAACTCTTAATGATTCATTGAATGAAATGCGAGAGATCAATGATGCATTGCAGAGAGAAGCAAGTGAATTGAGTGTCCATGATCAGGCTTTACAATCTCAACTAGAAGATGCTGAAAAACAAGTCGATAAGTAAATAAGAAATTTTGATAACTTGCAGTGTTGGAGGCACTGTAGTCCTTCACTTGCTTTGAGTCAGACTGGACTCACTTTTTCCCAATGAGGTGAAGCCAAATGAATCTTAGACTCGATTATCCCTCAAAATGTCTTTACTAGAAACTCAAAAAAATCTTTGGTGGGAATATTTCGGAAAAGTACGATTTACCATGCCATGCTGTATTGGAAAAATAAATAAAATTAACTAGCTTTTTGCACTTGTTTCAGAGTGATAGCGTGACAATGTGGTATAAAAAAGAAGAAAATAATTTTATAATTTATATCTAATAATGCTACTCATTCATTTTCAGATTATCTCGATCTTTACGAGATGTCCAAGGCCAAGGGAAAACTGATCGTGATCAGTTAGACAAGCAAATGGAAACAACTGCTCGATTACAAAATGTTGTCGGAGATAAAGAAGCCGAAGTCAGTGGATTGAGAAAAGAATTGAAAAAAGCTAGGGTAAGAGGAATATAATGAATAGAGGATTTTACACATTCGAAAAATTTGAAATATTTGCTTCAAGAAAGTTAGGCTAGGAACAAGAATAAGCTATATGCTAATGTGTCGGAGTACTGGATTTTTTCGACTTTATTTTATACAATCGATTTTCTTACACACGGTGAAAATTTGCACATAATTTTTTAAACTTAAGATCTTTAGCCTGCAACACTAACGTACTTAGGACCAACATGCTATCTAATAGGTCTTTGCACCCACAAATGATAATGACCAAAGTGTGCTACATGACTGCACAATGTATTAAAATACTTCAATTCACATAAACTATCATTAGCTCATCATTAACTGAAATATCATCATGTTCTCTGTAAACGAATTTCGAACTGATACATTTCAATTTCAATTATAGAGAACCTCATAATCTTGAGTAAAGATTTTGGTGCTCCCGTAGTATTCGTACCAAGATGATGCACAACCTGAACATAGTATTGTACCAGGTTAGGGTTAGCAGGTTGTGCGCCATCTTGGTACGAATAGGGGGAGCACCAATATTTTAATTTAAACCAAGACAATTTTAGCCATCTTTCACATACTTATGTATTTATTTCTAATTGAGCTTTGGGCTTATGTTATATAATGTTATCTGTAATTAGGTCAATTGCTGCATTTAATCAAGTTCATATTAACTACTTTTCATTTTTAATACAAACCATTCATCACAAAATCAATATTTTGAGTGTTTACTTTAGTTTTCAAAGGACTTGTTGTAATTCTTTTTTTCTATTCACAGGCTGCAAATGAAAAACTTGGCCATGATCTCGCCAACAGAAGCGCACAATATAATGAAGCAATTGGATCCCTGGTGCAACCAGAAGATGTTGCCAGACGTATTGCGCAATTGAAAGATGCATTGAGGCGTGGCGATCGTTCAACTATGACCCCGGATAGTGATATGGATGAAGTAGGAAAAGCATTGGTCGATTTACAGAAAATATTAATGGATATGCTGGGTAAGTTTATGATACATTGGAAATTGAATTTTAGTGCACTGCTTTTGGAATATATCTAGAAATTATCTATTTACGAAATCAATATAAAATTGTCTTTCTCATTATTAAATTGCTTTTCTAATTATTTTCAGTGAGATTTTCACAAAGATTTCAACTTGAGATATGAGTTTTATATTTATTTCGGGGAAATTGGAACTGATAAAATGGATTGATCACACATGTCCATTATCCGATTAACAGTCCTTCTTATTAGCAGTTTTTCCTAAAATTTTTGTCAATTTTCATTTCTCATTTATTATGCATTTCAATGTATTTTAAATTTATAATCATTAACAGGTCGAGAAGCAGAGGAGCGAGAGGCTGCAGAAAAAAGACTGAATGATCTTGAAAGGCATATGGCCAAATTGAAAGCAAAATTATTAGAGGTAGGTAGAAATTTTGGTATAATATGAATGAAATTATTGAAGGCAAGAATCATCCATCCGACTCATGTCATCAAATTTGTTGTCCTAAATCTATTCAAGGCAATGTCCTATGAAATGACAAGTGAAGTCGTGTTGCTGCTGGTGTGAGTGACAAGTCCGTTCTGAGTCCTAACAAATTTGATTGGGCAACAGGGAAATTGCTAAACAGAAGCTACATCAGCACTTGCGAAACTTCCATCCGATGTTAAATCAACGTTATTTAGAAAACCGAACCTGGATTTAATAAAATATTGACAACATTTACCTCGGCAGTATATTTTGAATTATTGCTGCAACAAGGGATTGAATTTCCCATATTTTTTTCTAAATCCACCAAACTTTAAATCCGTATTTCACCGACTTTTACTCTTTTAAAGTTTTTTTATAGCCCAAGTTCTAAGGTATTGTGGATTATAGAGAAAAGGTTGAGAAGAATTTTAAAAATCTATCAAGTCTTGAAATGTGCATGAAGAAAAATCTGCTCATTGTAGTTTGTTTGAGTATATCTACAATATTATTTTTTCATTTTTGAACAGGCTCAGAAAGAATACAAGGAAACAATGGAAGCCGCTACAAATGCTAAATTAGAAGCTGAAAAAAATAAACATAAACAAAACATGGAGAGACTGGAAGATGAGATTGATCAATTGAAGAATAAATTAAGAATGGTTGGTGCTTTAATGGGGTTTTTGTACCATGGGTATAACCTAACCTTGCATCCTGATTGAATCACCTTCAAAAGCTATTGTTTTTGATTGTTAAAATCCAAACAAATTATATTTCTGCCAAACAGTCAAGTGTCAATGTTGAGTATCGCGTCCTCATTACATTTGTCATTTTTATAAGTTCAGTTATGTTAAGTCAGTCTCTGTAAGTCTTACATCACATGGGACGTGGTAAGGTATTTGACCTGGGGACTACGAGATCATTGTCATATTTAGGGTCAGATTACTTTCTATAACTTGAATAAAATTGAGACTTTGGAGTCGAATCTTACTCTAGTTGAATAATGGCTCCTTGGAATGACAAATACAATTCAGTCCATTTTATCACAGTCACTTTGTCTGTTAACTTGAGTGTTTATATAGTATGACTGCTATATTTCACCTCGACAAAATTCAACTCTAAATTTGATCTTTGTTAAGTGGCTTTTCTTCTCTTCGAGTCTGTGTATAATATTGATGATTTGATTCAGAATTTTCATGATTGTAATCTTCCAGACACCGCTTGAACATTGGATGAGATAACACTCGGAGTAATTTATCTTTCATTTCACTTTTTCAGGCTGAAGATGAAGTGGATAAAGCTCGTGAGAAAGCAGGAGATGAAGTTGAGAGATTGAGAGAAGAATTTGGTGAGAGAAGTGAAAGAGCAAAGTTGCGAGACGCCAGGTACTCAACATTACAACAATGTTGTCCATTTGCTCTTCTGTATTTGGTCTCTCATAGTGTGTGGTTAGGGTTAGACCATAATTTCATTCTGATTTTCCTTATTTTAGTTTCATTACGAGTTCGGGGACTGCCTGTGTTAGTCAGGTAAATATACCCCCTGCCCATAGGTTTCAGTCCCTTTACACAACTTGATGTAAAGTACCTAAACAAAATTAGTTACCCCCATATTGATAGACAACAATGTTGTCCATTTGCACTTCTGTCTTTTGTGATATATTTGCAAAGTGAACTTCAGACTTTGGTATTAATATTTCATTTTTAAGATTTTACTTTTACTTTAGAATATCTTTGTATTATCAGGGACCTATGGATCATTTTACTGAATAGTTGGACTTTTCTAGTTATCATTGTTTGAAAAACTGCATATCTCTGCAACCTATGAATTAATCGATTCCATATTTTCAGTACTTGAAGACATTTGAAACCGCTAGGAGGCTATCACTTTTATTTATTTTTTTAAATTTTCTTCTCCAAAATTTTGCTCTTATTCCCATTATTTCATGGGAACATTTTTCAAAATCTTCAAAATCAAATATCTTTTTTTTCCAGGACTCAACAAGATCTCAGGGATTTAGAACGAGAGCTCGGAAATACGAAACGTTTGTTGAAAGATAAGGATTCGTCAACTATGAAACAATTGAATGACAATGAAGATGAAATTGCAAGATTGCATGCCAAGCTAAAAAAATTACAGGTATTTTTCGTTTTTTATTTGAATATATTTGAAGAAATTTACCCAATAAATCTTGACAAGAAAAGGTTTGTTGCAAATTCAATTGGCTGTGTAGTCAGGGAAAATTAACAATGGGAATTACTGTTAATTACTGAAGTACATTTTAAGATATATATGTCAAGCTCAAAATTCAAATATATCTCTTTTAGTTAAACATGCTTATAGAATTCAGGAAAATCTTATAACAAAAAAAGTAATAGCTTTACAGGAAACATGTCTATCTTTATATACTGGAAAGTTATGGGCCAACAAATTGTCTCCTAACTAAACTTTGTAACTTCATTCTATCGATCTTCACAATAATAAAACAGCGAATAAATGAAGAATTTTATATTTTCAGATAGCTATCAAGAAATATATTAAAGTAATTGTTTTCTGTTGAAATTTAAAGTACTTTTTTATTCTCTGCTATAATTTAACCAAGTGACATTTTATAACTATTAAACCATTTCAAATCATCTTCCCATACCAGAACCATCTTTTGTAATGTTTAATATAATATATTGATGTTGCTATGTTATATGCCATAAACAAACCCTCATCAGCAAAAAATACATACATTTCAAAATTAGGTAGATGTAAGGTAAAAAAAGGCTCAGGAGCCAATAAAAGTAATACCTTTCTATGAAACACCTCTGTTATCTTTGAACATTAAGAAGTTTCAAGTGATTTTTTTTAAATGATTGTAACCACTCTGCTTATTTAAATAAAAACAAAACTGACACATAAACATAATATTTACATATTCATTCATCATTCTATATAATTACCATCATAAGTACCCACATGTGTACTTTGCGGCCTAAATTGACACTTATTATTCTCTCTCAACATGTTTTATTTGTTTTATCCACCCTCTCTTATCTCTCTCTTATTGTTTGTCTAGCCGTTATGTTTCAAATTTTGATAATGCTTTGTGAAGAGGCATTATTGTTCTATTGTTATGTCATTAACAACAACAATTAGTTAGTGATAAGCAAGAATTATTTGTGAGGCAACAATTACATAGTTGTGAGGTAACAATTGCTCTACATTGTGATGTAACAATCAATTGCCTTTTCTGTTGTAGCTAAAAAGGACAATGCTGTTGTGTTATGACTGTAAATAGCTGTGAGATTTGTCAAATAGCAGTAGGCCTACATTGAAATGTATAGTTCAGTATATAAAGCTTCCTAAGGTTTCAGATGGATGTAGCTTTTATATATATTGTGTAGTTGTTATATCAACATGAGTTAAGATGGATATGTTATATAAACAGATTTTATTTAGTCATATGGTTACGTATTTGTATGATAATCGATGTGTTACATTGTATGGTTTATGGATAATATTTAGTATCTACCATTTGGGTATTTCAAAGAATTTTTGTATTGAAATGCATTTCTCAAAATGTATATTTATACAGTTTTTGGAATAGAGAAGTCGAGCTATTTGCAGCAAAAGCCTCAAAATTATTTATTATTTGATAGAGCTCATTTGTTGTTGTAAACTGTGACTTATTTAATATTTACTATCTCTCTTGATTAATTTATTTTTTATTATTAATTATCATTTATTATGATGTACTTCTTATCAGTTATCAAAACAGATATGATTGTTCAAATTGTCAATTTTATCAGATTAGTTATTATTGATAAGTTTAGGGTGTTTGAAAGATATAAGATGAACTGCAATTTAGAGTTGGATATTAAAGTGGATAAACGAGGATTGAGATGAGATAATAAAAAAATAGTGAAGAGAATGCTATTGGGCAATTTTATTTGATGAATGTCTGCATATGTTTGTTCGTCTCAGATTCTATGCCAATCAGTGGCTATTATGTCAAATTTTGTATCTAAATATAAACATAGAGAAACTGCTCTACTCTCGATGTGTAACTCGCTACTATGTGATGGGTAGTACCATGGGCATTAGTGACATATTATTTGATATCTAGAATTTATTCAACAGAATTAATAGTCATTTTTGCAATCAGAGTTTGATTAGAATAAATCTATTTAATATTCTTTTGTGAAGCAATGAGTGCAAAACGTACAAGAAAATCTTATGATTATTTGTCATCAGAATCTAACTCATCTCTTGATAATGTTCGACATACGTTAGGTAGAAGATATCCTTCATATGATACAATGGTAATGTGCTATAACTAAATTTTATTTATCACATATGTCATTTGATTCCTGATATTTTGAAACCTAATATAACAAACTTGTGGAATTGGAATACTCATTTTCATATCCATAGCAAAAACATATTTTTTCTTCTAAGTGAATCAAAAGTGTTGCTGCACACTAACAAAATTAAATTTCCATAGCATACATAGTCTACTCATGCTATAACATCCTTGCATTATATGCATACAGATCGACTGGCACAAAAGCATGGAATGGATAGGTACTGGTAGTTAGTCTCGCAGAAACCCAATCAATACCATATTTTTTCTTCACTTGCATTTCTAATAAATTTTTATGACATTGGCATTCAGGGTCTTTTGATAATGCTAATACCTTGATTCTTCTTTGATTAACAAAAGTTTTCTTTCTATCGTTAGGATGATCGACTGCGTGATTCTAGAGCTGCTGCAGATGCGGATGCTGCTGCTCTTCGTGCCAAACGTGATTTACAAAATGCTGATGATGAAATAAAGGCTTTGAGGGACTTGCTGAGAGCTCAGGAATTTAAGGTTGCTTATGTTTTTTTGACTTTGAATAACTTTATTCATTGCAATTTGACGTTGGTCACTCCTGGTAAATAAGTTTATTTTGCAATTTATACTTTCGGTTCAATTTATGCAACTTTGAAGACCAGAATTATTTGAGCTAGAACTGGATGTCAAGCTCTACAGGCTTCATAGAACTCTTCCATAAATCCACACTAGAAATTTTTCTATTCTCGTTATTGAGAATGGCTGTTGAGTGTGCTATATAGACTATAGCCCAGGGGTTCCCAAACCAGGGGTCGCGACCCCAAATTGGGTCGGAGTGATGAGTAGGTGGGGTCGCAAACAGGTCATAGGGTCGCTGAGGTATGGTAGAGGATGGATGTACAAAACATCTGAAATTTGACAAACCATGTTAAATTTAGCAGTTTGCACCGTGGCTTACTGTAAAACAGACCAATAAGCATCGCTTTATGCTTATGCTATAGAAAATGTAGGTGCTTATTATGACATCACTGTTTGGTTTTAGCTTATTTTACTTAATACCACCACATGACCAAACTCAGAAGTCCAGTGAAAAAAGCTCTAGAGTTTCATGAAAAATATATATATTGACCTGGGGTCGCACTGGACACTTGAAAGTTGTCTTTGGGGTTGTCCTGAAAAAAGCTTGGGGACCCCTGCCATAGCCCATTGGTAATTCTAATCGTTTTTTTCTGATATTTATTTAGTGTTAAAAAGGTTTTTTTTTCAATCTATTCATTGCTTTTATCCACTCTTATTTTTACTCTTGAATCAACGATTTTTAGAGCAATCAATAATTTTTTTATCGATTTTAGGATTCTCATCTTGATCGAGACACATTGAGAGGATTACGTGATACGCTCACAACGAAACAAGATGAAGTTGACAGGTTGAGGAGAATGTTGAGTGGTTTGAAGGATGATAGCGCTGAGGAGGTGAGAAGTTTGTTTTATTTCAGTCTTAGTGGCACAGGAGTGAATAAATTTCCTCTAATTGCATCATAATTACTAATTAAAATCTAATGGTGGATATGAAGCACAAATTTTGTAATAAAATAATATAGTGCTTGTAACAAAATTGTTATCCACTTTCATATGACATACACAATACCTTAACAGTTGTTGTCACAACATCCAAAGACTGTTTGTACAAAATTATGTATGTATGCATTAATTGATTGTGATGTAAACATTCACAAGACAAGTTTTATTAACTTTTTGACAAATTTTCTAGCGTTCATGGTTAATTATGTAAGATAATAGGGTAACTTTTCTATTATTGAAGACGAAGGTTACTGCAATCCATGGTTTTTAGAAATTTTTATTTTGTTAAATCAAGACTGTTTGTATTTCTTGTTTAGATTGCAAACCTATTGAACGAAATAGATGCATTGAGGAGAGCATTAGCTGGACATAATAATCAAATCAGAGGATTGGTGCCTGTTGGGTGAATGTTTTACTGTTTTAACTGAATTTGTTTCTAGTAATAAAATATATACATATATATATGTAATAAAAATTTTTTGTATATTCCCACCTAATGATGACATTAACCATTTTAATTTACTCAAGTACTCAGTGAACTATATCAGTTTTTTATTATTAAATTCATCAAAACTGGTAGTGTATAAAAATCCCTAACAATATAATATTTCGTGGTTTACCGTATCATATAACAGAAAGTTCAAAAATTGAATAAAAAAAATTCAATACAAAATATAATCAACATCTGCTATTCATTACCAAATATTTCTATTCCACAATTATTTTTTGTTATTAGGATCCTGTTTTTTTTATGTTTATGTTGAACAATTAAAAGTATTGTTTACCAGTGAACAAAATCGTTCTCAGTTGATTATATTCATTTAAAATAAAGTAATACCAGAAAAATGTTCATTCCATTATTTTTTTTCATATTGCTCTTCAATCAATAAATCTTTTTTCTGCGAAATGTTATAAAAGAATATTTTTATTTTCAGTGGATACTATCAATTTGTACCATACTCTGGTGGAGGTGACCCAGGAGGAAAGTGGGTTTATATAACACCTGGATCATCAAGACGTTCTCCATTGAAAAGATCGTATGTTGAACCTCCACCTGGTCCTCCAACTGGATATATTGTAGGTAAGTGAATTGTTTCTGCAGGGTTGTTCAAAACGAATTGAATATTTGAATGTATTCCAATATCACCGTATTTGAATACCTTTTCTGCTGATTTTCGAATAATTCCGAATAGTGGCCACCTCTCGCTGCCAGCGAGGTGTTTCGTGTTAGAGAGAAATCTTCAAACGATTCTCCACGCTTTGTCACATGTTGCAATGACGGTGAAATAGTATTAGCACTTCGATTGTTTGTTATCTTCTGTGCGAGCGTGCGCCTCGTATTGTTGCAGCACCTTTGTACGATAGCCTGATTGACACTGTCGTCGTTCCCTTGCATGGCTACTAATTTGCGCATTCATTTGAATTAGGGCACGTGTCTCGCATAGATCCGACCATAGTCAGATATTAAATAAGTTTAATAAAGATGTGCCCGCCTTGTGCGCTTTGTTACAAATTATGACACCCAATAAAAACAAGTTGATTTATTAGGAAAAAATTTTTATACTTTTTCCTGTTTTTTGGCAAATAATTTTGTTAATGATAGTTAAAAGTATCGACCCTTTACCAGGATGATTTTCAGTTGTACATTTAATTCTGTTTGATGTAACTCAATAATTTTTGATTCCTATTCACGTACATACGAAAAACAAAAAAATTAAAACATTACAAAACATTACATTACAACTCTAAAATATCATGGCAATCTGTGGACATAAAATGTGTTCTGTGCGGTAAACTGCCTAATTATAATTAATTTTTGATTCGTATTTTCGTACTCATGGAAAATATAATTTTGATAATGATAGGTATTAGAAGTGTAGATTTTTTGCTAGGATGATTTTCGGTTGCGACAAAATATTCAAACTCATGAACGATACTAGCATTTCAAATGCCTTTACGAATCAATTTAATTGTTTTACGTAACTCATGGTTGCATCGACTAATGAAAAAATAAAAGTATTACTCTCTAAAATACCACTGCAATCTGTGGACATGAAATGTGTGGTGAATTGCCAGAAATCGATTTTAATTAATCTTTGATTTGTATTTTCGTACTAACGGGAAAATAATTTATATTTTTTCTCGCATTTTGGCAAATAATTTTGCAAATGATAGTTGAAAGTCCATACTTATACCATAAATCAAAATATCGCGGCAATCTGCGGACTTGGAATGTCTGGTAGCCAGCTTTTAGATAACCGTTATTTCATTGTTTATTGTATGCAAATTCCTTCATACACTAAGATAAGCTTTCTTTACTTGAAAATTATTTTCAAATGTATTCAAAATTTCATATTCAAAAATAATAATTTCGAAGCAGGGTTTCCCAAACTGGGAGTTTGTGAATACTGCACAGGAGTTCCGCGACAGTATTAAGAGTCTGATCAATCTTTAATGACTGATTTAAAGCCATTGCATATTTTTGTTATGTTGTGTTTATTATGTTATTATGTTATGAGTTTATTATGTGTGTTCACTCACTGGAAATGAAAAAAGAAATTTTTGTTAAAAACTACAAAATTTTATCCATAGCAAAGTTTTTGTGTTTTAAATATCTTCAAAATTTATACAAAACAAAAACTATCAAAAATAATTCGTTACAGAGGGGGCAACTCAAGCACCAGTGCTCACTCCTGGAACACCTGGTATGATTGCAATGGGGGAAGATGGCATTCCTATGCTTGTACCATTAGAAGGATACTTCTGTAATGTCCCTGAGCATCATCATTTGGAAGATGATATTGCTGAACTACAGGTTTGGGTTAACTTAATGAATTGAGTTGATTTTCTGAATCACCAATAATAACATCTATCTTATCTTATTAAAGTCAAAGCCGACCTTGTATTTATAAATTTCTAAATGTTGACATTGTTTTAGAGTCAAAAATATTTTTTTAGAACTTATTTTGAGGTCAAAGCTGACTTTTTGGCATTCTAGCAACTGCATTACTTTTTTTTTGCATCACTTGGAATCAGTTTTAACCCTTTTTTTTTAACTCCACAGCAGTGCTTGAATGTTTTCAATGAGTTATGAAAACTTTTGATGCACATGTCTGGTCATATTGCTATTGGGATATGTTATCAAATACATGTAGTGATTTGTTGTGTCTTTGGCATGGAAGAATCTCAATATTAAACTTCAATATATTGATTTAGGCCAAATTCCTGTTCATCTGTTCTTGTAAATAAACATTTTTTGTAATTCCTAATTGATAGGACGCTCTTGCAAAATGTCGAAAGAAGAAGAAAGCCTGTAAAAAAGAATTAGAAGAAAGTTTTCAAATTCAAGATTTGGAAGAAAGAAAAATACAACTCGATGCTGAAATATCTGAACAAGAGGTAGGAGTTGTTTTTGTAATTTGTATTTTTTTTAACTATGTAAAACATATTTCAGTGATTTTTTTTGTTCAATTAATACACATACTCATTAAAATTGATCAAGAACTTTGAAACGTGTAATCAAGACTCTCAAAACTAACCTCTATTTAAATTTGTTCATGCTGTATTTCTTATATGTTACTTATTTTATAAAGAAGAATGCATATAAACATAGGAGACACCTTTGCATCACTAGAATCTACATTTCCTCAGGGAAAGGTATCCCATGCAGGGGATAGAATCTGTGACTGATACCATATGGCAATACTGCATTATAGAATATCTTATGTTCAAATATGTTTCACCAGGCAACTCTCACAAAATTACGAGATGATGAAGAACGAATATCAAAAGAAAAAATTGAAGTTTCAAATGAACTTGCTGGTTTGAAATCAGAATTAGCAAGAAGATTGAAGAGGAAGTTAGTAGATTTGCATTACTAGCCTAGTGGTTAAATCGTTGAATTTAACTGTTTTGGTATTGTTGGTTAAAAATATCGGCCTTGAATACCCAAAGTGTAATAATTTTAGTAGGCAATTCCAAAACAAAATATTTCTGAGTTTCTCCATGAAATTTAAACGTTTTTCACCATTGAATGGCGGAAATTTTGAAAGATGACTTCCACTCCAGTAAAAATATGCTAACATGCATTGAAATAATTATTTTCTTTTTCCAGAAATATGTTAGAAGGTGAAGTGAATACATTACTTGGAGAAATGCAGATGGAACATTCTCTTGCGCAACATGATGATCTGTCAGAAGAATTAGAAGAAATGGAAAGAGATTTGCAAAGGAAACGAACTGAATTAAAAGAAGCCGAGAAAAGACTCCATATTGCTAAACATGAAGAAAAAGAAGCTACTAAGATAGTTAGTTTGTTTATTTTGATGTCACAAGTAGTGTGAGCATCAATATTATATTATTTCTATTTTATTGGGTAGGGAATATATTTTTTAATTTTGAGACCACTGACTCATGAGTGATTCAAATCTGCGATTGCATTCCTGTTCATTCAAACTTGCCTGCCCCCTAGTGTGTGAAATGAAAGCATGTATGAATTAGAGTTATATTAAATGATGGAATTATCATTTCTGTGTGGTTGATTGTAAAGCAGTTAATTATGATATCCAGGTAGTAAACCTACTTATATATATACCACACAATCAGGGACGCAGCCAGGATTTTTTTTAATGAAGAAGTTACCTAAAATTGAAACAGTGCGTCTAAAATGCAAAGAACTAAAATTTGTGTGCCATTTAAAGCGAAGCGCTGTTGAATAACTTTGTGGTAATTTAATAAAAATACCATGGCATCATTTTCAGACTGTTTATCCTTAATTAAACGCTATGCCTGTTACAATGTTCCCAATCCTATTGAGTGTCATAGACCTCATGTTTTCATAGTGACATGTTCAGTGGCAATCTTAAATTAGTGACAACTCATCAAGCTAGCCATATCAGGTGTTCAGATGCTTGTCAAGAAATTGGTTTAAATTTTCAAAGTTTAATAAATATTCACTTTCTCAGGCTGAAATTATGCAGAAAAGATTTGAAGATTCCCAAGTAAAATTAAATGATTCTGAACAAGATAGTATTGAATTAGAACGAAGAGCAAGAGATATTGGTATGAGTGTTTACTGCTTATTCAATAGATATGATTCAATTATAGTCGGAAGAGATTGTTAATTTGGTATTCTGTCGTACCATTACTTTTAATTTCAAATATCTGTAATCAATCTATATTTTTTAAATCATGTTTAAAATTTTACTTAAATTCATTAAAGTAGAAATAAAATGTTTTGGATATTTCCACATGTAATGTGATAGTTTAGGTTTATTTTTAAAAAAAAAAACTATAATGTGTACAACAATGTTATAGCATATTTTGAGTTTCAATCACATTCCGTGGTAAAGATGCTTTTAGGCATTAGTCTATACTTTTCTTTCAATATAAATTTTCAACATTTTTGGAACGACTTCATTTCTCACAGGTGTACAATTGGTTCGTGCTCACAAAGAACTACGCCAATTACAAATGCAAACTAAGAATGCAGAATCACAGAGAATACAACTGGAAGATGATTGTCAACAATTAACAAGGGTGAGGGACAACAGATATGTTTATTATTTGAAAATTCAGGAATTGAATTTTCTTTTTGTTAGAGCTGATTTGTATGTTGGCATAATTATATGGCACATATATGCAGAAATAAAATAAAATACTTATAGATCTGTGATAGGCTGGCTAGATTTGTGTCTTGATTCAAATTTCTTCCCTCCGTCTTATCGTGTTAATGCAGAGCCTCGATCAGAGCAAAGTTGTGAAGCAATTACCTTATTAGAAATCTAATGTGAAGAGCACGTTCTAATTAAACTATACAATTCAGGATTCCTGCTGCACACTAACACGAATGTATCAGGCCTTCCCAAACAAAACAAAAACGCACTTCTGTTCGTGTGCAGCTTGATTTGCATAGTATGGTCATTTGGTCATGTTTATTCCTGCATTATACACATACAGATCCACTACTGCAAAGCCATTGAGGAAGGAATGGGAGTTAGTCTTGCGTAACCTCTACGAATAGTCAAAATTAAAATTGTCATTTCTGCACATTTTTTAAACTCAAAAACTTGTCAAATTCTAGTTGATCACAAACAAAGAAGCAGAATTCACAGCTTTGGAACAAAAAACTGAAAACATGACGATGAATCTTGAAAGACTGCAATCAGAATTGCTTCTTGCAGAAGAAAAACAAACAGAGCGACTTTCTACTCTGAGAGAAAGTGAAAAAGTAGAAATAACTTATTGTTTCGTTTTTTTTTAGATTATTGTTTTCTGATACATTTAAGGTCTAACCTGTCAGAGAAATCTTAATATTTTGGGACTATATGACAACTGTAAATAAAGATAACAATTATTCTAAAAACTTACAAAGCTTTAACTGCTTAACTAGAGTTTTTTTAAGTAAAAAATGGGATATGTATGATGTATGTCAAAATGTATTAGTAAAATTAATGCACAAATATATATTTACTATCATTTACCCCAAATTCCAATGAAGCTCATCTTTTCTACTCAACGCCAAATGGACAAAATTGAAGATTAATCTTTCCTTATCAATTGGACATGTCTCGCGTCAATTAGTGTTTACTCACATATTATTTTAGGTTAAAAATTTTTATAGTCTCAGCACCGCCTGGGACTTTAGTAGTTGCCTGTAAATTCACTCAGAGATCTGTGATTGTTATCTATGAGCGAGTGCATGTGACTTTGCTTTAAGAAAATTTTTTAAAAATATGAAAATATTCTGACCAGTTTCACAGTTTCATTCTTCTCCCTGGTATTCCTCTCCTAACAAGATTGTAGCCAAGGCAACTTCCAGGCAACCTAATTGATAATATCTTTCGTGAAGTATATGTAAGTCATTCAAATCAATCTTGAGTTTCTAATCCTTGAAAACAAATTCTGTCACAGATTTTGGTTGAACGTCGAGATGAATTAAATAAAATCAAAGAACAAATCTCAATACAAAGAGAAGAAATTGAAGCTCTCGATAGATTGATTGGTAAAAGAGGAACAGAAGCCCAGTTGCTGCAGGTAAAGTTTGTTTTTTTGACAGGGTTTATCCACATCTTTCGCTCCGAATAAGACCACGTACAAGCAGCCACTGCCCACTGATATCCAATGTAATACGTTCAAAGGTATAATTTTTGGAAGAACCAAAATCTTTCCTCTTTGACTACTTAAAAATTAGTTTGTTTGGATTGCATTATATGGTGGTAGGCCTATTATGTTACAGACTAATTCATTTTTTGATTGAGTCATATGTACAATATTTTCAATTACAAATGGTAATTTTCCAAGTTATCTGCTTTAAAAACGGTAACAAATGAATATATATGGATGCTGCTAAACAAAATGATTTTTACCAGTAGAACACATCTTAATTTGGTTCAGTGAATAAATAATATTTGACAAAATTAAAACAGTTTTATTTATGGAATGACTACTTTGATTGCAGGAAAACATAGAACAACAACAAAATGAACTGGCAACAGTATTACGAGAAGGTCAGACAGATGTTCAAGAAAAACAAAAATTAATTAAACAACTTAAACAACAAGTTGAAGAATTTTCAAACCAAAGAGCTGAACTTGAAATCCAGGTAATTGATTGTTTATGCCTCCATGTGTCAGAAATGGTTTTAATCTGCTCTAAAACTCTGTGACATGAGGGTCAGGTTCGGGGAGTCAGCGTTTGGCAATTTTTTATCCATACTGGAGTTAAAACCAAAGTCAAAATTTTGAATTCTATACATGTTAGTCTTGAGTCATAATTTCAGACTTTTTTTATTGAGTCAAAGTCACAATTTATTTCAAATACTCAAAGAGCATTAAGTTGGCTGATGGTTATCAACAGCAAATTGAAAATCTTGTATACTCAATGTTATGAAAATTCGTTTTTTTATAGCAGGAGTTTGATTGAGTTGAAGGTTTTTCAACGCAAAGGCGAGCCGCAATTAATATCCTATTAAATCCGAGTTGAGAGTCCAGAATCCAATATATCTGATTCAATATTTGGCAGGTTTTGCTAAGTTTTGAGAACACTCTTGCCATCTGTCGTATAACTCATTATCATGTGACTGCCGATCGCACTGGAACTAATTTACATTAAGTCCGATTGTTGTAAAAAGATCGTACAAAATAGACACAGCTTTGGTATGTTCATGCAAAAGTTTCTTACATTAACTTTTCACTTATGTAGCTTTTATATTAATTTTCCTCATTCTTTACTACAGGTTTCAAGCAGAAAAGAAGAAATTACGAAACTCAGAGAAATGAATGATAAATCAACCGAGGAATTACAGAATAAAATATCAGAAATAAGCAAGTAAGTTATGTTATGGTGTATCATATGTGAGTGTTGCAATAGGCGAATAAGGAATAAATTTATAATGGGATTTACAGTGTGGCAAATTCTTTTTCAACGGGCTTGGTACAAGATTTTATGTTCAAGTCGAATTTGTCCACCTACTGTGTCAGTTTTGACATGGATGTTCAGTTCAATTTGATTGCAATGGCATACTATTTAAAGTTATATGTTGTCATTTCAAGTTCAAACTCCATGGTGTAATTTAATCGTGCAAGATCGTCGAGTTCGAAAGATTTTGGGCACTCTAAAAATATTGTTATCAGAGAGAAACTTGTTGGGTGACGGTGCGAAAATCTCTGTTACAAGTTTTGTAGAACTACTTTTGTTGAACTAAAAAAGTGCTTTCCCCATTTTGAAGTCTTAGTAAATGCTCAGTTCTAGTACCATGCTCAAACAAATGTATGAATGCTACCAAATGAATTAATATTTCTCTGATTAATGTAATCTTGCTACTTAATGTAATCTTGTCATTTCGTTTGAAAGGCACAAAAGTGAGTTGAAACATGTTCTTGAGATGTTGAAGTTGGAACATCAGGATTTAGAAAGTTTACGTCAACAACATGAAACAAAACTCACAGAACTCGATAAAACACAGCGACATCTACTGGACGAAAGATCAGAACTTGATCGACTTCAGATGGAAACGCAAAGACGAACTGCGGAAGTGGAGAGAAATAAACAAGTAAGGATATGGTCTTGAAATTAATATATTTAGAAATTACTGGCAAGTAGGATTGAACATCAGATCCAAATTCAGAAATTGGCGTTTGTATAAAAGGTTTTCTTTTGAAAGACATCAGTCCTACACAGTAAATCATTTAGAAAATAAACTTCGGTTTAATTCTCAATTCTCTCATTCTTTATATTTTATATTCCATAAATTCAATTTCTGATTTCAATTACAGATGGTGGATAAATACAGATCGGATGTTGATCATTTAACAACAGAGAGAAGTACATTAGAAGATACCGTTAATTCATTGACCAAAGAAAAAGAATATTTATCTGAGCAATGTGGTCATCTTGAGGAAAAATTCCAAACTACAAAGCAGGTGAGCTGAATTATCTAACTTTCATTTTAATGTTCAGAGTAGCTATGGTAATAATATTTTTTAATTTGATATATATCTGGACAACCATACATGCGATAAGTACACAGGAATTAAAAGTCACTTTCAGACATTTATAGGCACATGTCAAAAGTTACTGTAATATATCTATTATTCAAATCTAACTTGTCTGATTGAATATCTCTGTTCAGGTATTTGTTAAAATGTTACAGAAGTTTTTTTGTGGGGAAAAAGATCAATTTTTTCCGTTCGATTTACTCCAAAATGTAGTGAAGATGACAGTCTTCGTATAGGGCAGGGGTTCCCAAACCGTGGCCTGCGGGCCAAATCCAGCCCGCATAACAATTTAAAATGGCCCGTCGAGCTTAAGTGAAATAGTGTTCAACATACTTTGTTTCTACTTTTTTGTGATCTATAGACACTGCCAATTGTTATGTCATTATTACAGTTTAAGCACACACGTCTCTCAATTATACGTATTAGGTATTAGAATAACATAGGTCAGTAATTCAGATATCAACCATATAAGAAAGCTTGAGATGTCAAATAACAAACATAAACTACACTCTGGAAACAGATTTTATTTAAATCTTAAATAAAGAAATGGCAGCGTTTGTATTTCTGTATTGGAAAGAATCAAACTTTAGCGATTTGTCTTCTTTGTCAGCAAACCATCCCAATTCTGAAGGAATACGTTATAAAGCCCCATTATAAGTTAACAAACATGTTTTAAAAAAATGTCATGACTAAATCATCGCGCACTACGCTTTTCCGGCCCGCGAACAACCTTCCGATTTTAATTTTGACCCACAGCCAATAAAGTTTGGAAACCCCTGGTATAGGGTGACAAAAAAAACGAAACCCAGTCCATTTGAAACATATAGTATGGGTTGCGTTTTTTTTTGGTCACCTTGTAGTTACTCATAATCTTCAAATGTTTGCTTGTCTAGAGATTGTCTGTTCAGATATTGGAAAAATGCTTATAATATTCGATTCGATTATATTTAGGGAAAATTTCCTTGGACACACTGAACTGTGATGTCTTATTTTGCTATCATTTCTACAATGCTGTTACTTTTTTTCATTAAAAATTTTAAGTTTTCAATTTAAAGTTTCCATATTTCTTCTCAGGCCGTATTAGAAGCTCGACTTGGGATTGATAAATCTAAAGCAACACTAGATCAACTAGAACGTGATGTGGTTCAAGAAAGGAAAGAAGTGAAAGAAGCAAATAAAGAGAAATCTATGCTGACTAAAGAGGTAGTTTTTTTTTAAATCCGTTTTTATCAAACTTTTATGATTAGACAAGAATTTTGAGAAGATATAAAGTTACTTTTGCATTAGCGGGATGAAAATCTTCCTACCATGACACTTATTACACAATGTGATGTAATTGATAAAGCAATGATGAATCAAAAAGATTTTAATTTATTATCATTCGTTTGGTATTGAAATTTAATCCTTCAATATCTTTCATTAGTTAACATCATCCTTTGCACATTTTGGGCAGTTAGCACACATTTTGCTGATTATTGTGCAAGATTGGCATTTGCCATACCTGAAGTACGCTGGCAACCTGACGAGAGTCATTAGTTGGCCAATTACATTCTCCTGGGATAAATGTACAGATTCATTCAGTATTCAACTCCTGTTGTTTATTTCTAATTCTTAGGTAGCTCATCTACGTAACACAGCACGAGATATTAAATCGGAACTTGTCTCAAGTCAAACAGAACTTGATGAATTACAACAACATATGCAAACATTAGAAGAGGTTTGTTCGCTTTCTAATGTTTTTAACTCTATCTCACATGTTGCGTTATTCTAGCTACCTCTCTTGTTTTTTGTGGTGTCTGTAATCAGTTGTTTAAATAAAATTGGATGTTTTTAACTAGATTACCTAATGTATTTTTAGAGAAAAATTTGTTCACATTGATCGAGACAGAAATGGGGATATTAATTTTTTTAGGGCCATTCAATAGGCATAAGGCTCAAGTACTCAACCACTGATATGTCTACTATTCTTAGGAGGATTGGAATTTTTTGCCCCGGTATTGTCCACCTGATTTATTACCCCCTGGCCAAGATTGTGGGCAGGGTTTCACCTGCGATTCTAGAATAACCAACAGACGTATGCGACCCAAAAGTATTACGTATTGCCTTTTTTGAATATTTTACTGGATGGTAAAACTGGTACTCTATAATCTGGTAATCTACTCTATATCTGAATAAATAGAAAACTTTTACTATGCTCATGTTATTCAGGAACTCCGTGCATCGACTAAAAAGAGAGATGAAATATTATTGGAAGTTACTGGATTACGAGAAGATGCAAAACATAGATCTCATCAAGTTGAATCTCTGTCACATGATGTCTCTAGAAAGCAAGATGAAATTGAAAAATTAACGAGAGAATCGAACGAAAAACAAATGAAACTTGAAGAAAGGGAAAGAGTAAGTAGAGAAATCAGTAATAAAGAACTAAAGTACTGGATTTTTTTAGACTTTGTAATTTGATAACCTAAATAAAATAAATGCCTTTGAAAATTATGAAAATCTGAATATTTTGGAACTGACAATATTTTATAAAATCATGCAAAAAAGGTTTGAATCTGGAATCTATTGTCTTCATACTAAGTTACATACCCACTCTGGTATAATGTTATTTTTACCATGGTTTTATTAGGTAAAATGTTGTTGTTGTTACGTAACTGCATATTAAACTTGGCTCTTGTTACTTTATCCATGGATTATTTAGGTAAACAATTTCGGATGAAATGGCATGTTTGTGATAATTTGACTGTAAATTTTTACTTATTCTCAGGAATTGTCAAATTTAATTCGTGAGGTTGAGAGAGAAGAAGAGAGACTGTCTCGTATTATTACTCAACTAAACAATGAAATTGAGAGAATGAAAAAAGATCTCGCAGAGAAGAAAGATCAATTAGAGAGTGCTGTCATGCAGAGAGATGCAGTCAAGCGTGACATGGACAGGTGTGTGCTTCAATAAATGTTTTTTTTATATGTTACCCTGTTCTATCTCGTTTGCTAAATCTCTCTCGACATTCGTTGTATTTTTGAGTCGCTATAGAGAAGGATAGACGATAATTATGTTGAATATGGTTCTTCTTGGTAGCTCTTTCCTATTATTGACTGCTTTCACAGAGCCATGTTGAGAGCAAAATATGGTCAACTATGTTACAATTTTATGTCGTGTATGAGATTATTTACCCTGTTCCATATTTGTAATGCAAAAGTATTGTTAGGTGGATGAATCGGTAACGAACAGGGATAATACGACCCGCCCTGTAATGACGAGGGGTTCAAAAAACAGATTCTGAAATGATATGCCTCACAAGATTTGAACTTGAAATATCACAGATGCTCATGATTTAATTTGTTCATCTTTAGTTCCATTTAAAAACGTTTTTTGTCACCTCTCAAGCATTTAGTCAAATTTTGAATCTGTAACTTGAGGTAGTTACTACTTTAAAAATTTATATATACATTTATTCTAACCAAATTCTAGTTTCATCAGCAATATTTCATAAACTGATTTTGACATTGTAATTATGTTTGTTCCAGACTTGGACATGTCGATCAAAACTTCAAAGAAGTTGAAAGCAAAGTTGCGGAATGTCAGTCACAGATCAGCGCACTCGAAGATGAACTTGCTGAAGTGGAACGTGACAGAGCTGAGGTGAAAGGTCAACTCTCGGCAGCTCGAGGAGAAATTGAAGCTTTGAATATTGAGAATGAACATGAGAGGAATAAATTAGCACAAAAGGTAAATTTAAATAATTGCTCATTTATATGCAAAAGCATTTCATCATATTTCTATGGCTCGTGCGTGGTGATGATTTCTGTTGGTATTATTTAAGACACAGAATTCACTCGATTGGCTACTGGTAGTTTGGCCAATTGTAACTTTGGCTGTAACATTGTAAATCTTCTTTTTTTTTGTTCAGTGCACTTGCAGATAGTTTTTCACATTTGTATTGCTTTTGGCAGTGTTGGGTGAAAATCTTTCTTTTTGGGGCCAATTATGTTGTCCAATTGGCCAATTTAGTATTTACCAAATTAAAAATTACCACGATGAGCATATATTGTTATGTTGTTGTTATATATTGTTGTTATTGACATATTTTTGTTATATAATTGAACATTCCTTTTGTTCAGATCGATGATCTTCAACAAGAACTCGGTCGAACAAAAACACGAGACGCAGCTGAGATTGCATCGTTAGAACAAACTGCACAAGATCATTGTAACAGAGCAACTAGACTTGCTAACGAACTTAATAATTTGAGAGAAGAATTCATCAATGCAAAGAAGATCTTCAGGTAGTTCTTCATTTAAAACCTTTGTGAAGTTTTTTTATTTTGTTTCGTGATATTCCTTACTGTGCATCTGAAAATTGTTTCATGTTATGTAATATTTAAACAGAAATAGGTCTTGTTTGTCCTAGAAATTAGAGATCTCGAGTGCAAAAACCTTATACCAAGGTAATGTTGAAAATGGTATAATTTTGTCCTTTCAATACGATGTAGCTTCATATAAAACAATGGTTGCTTGCATATAGCCTTGTTCAAAGCAAATGTGTGATAAATTAGATTCATTTCTCATATTTATGTAATAAATTCTTTGTACGTAGGGACTAGTCACCCACATTGAACTGTTCCAGATTTAACAGCACTGAGAAATAGTACATTAACAGGATCAAACAATATAGCATTGTCCTAACCAATCGGATGATACTTGCTATCACACTGTTTGGGCTAGGATCTCTGGACCTTCCATAACCAGACTTTGCATATAACGTTTTCTATCATTACTAAATCAGTTTTTTTTTGGTAATTCCATGATGCAAATTTGTTCTCCATCACTGAACTAAATGATCTAATTCCATTTTAGATCACAAGAAGAAGAAACAGAGAAACAGCAATTAGCTCTTGAACGTACTTTGAGTAATTTGAAATCAGAATTGAGGTCAGAGGTCATTCAAGATGAGACTGGAGATATTGAGAATTCTCGATCTCATGCCGATGAAATGAATAAATTATACGATGAAAGAGAAACAAACCAAAGAAAAATGCATACATTACGAGAGGTGGCTACTACTAATGTCTGGATGATAAGAGATAATATTTTTCAAGACCTTATGCTCAGATTTGAGTATAAGGCCATGTCTTTGTGCCATCCTCAGTCCTCTTTTTTGGAATATAAACTTCAATATTTCAAAACTTCAAATAACTTTCAATATTGAAAATGCTTGTTTGGCCTATAAAACTTTGAAAAAATATCACCTATCTGTATATTTCTTTATATTGTATTGTTGCAAATGTTAACTACTTTTTTTTGAAAATGATATTAATGGCTATTTAATTTGTCAGATCCAAAGATCGTGTTCACCTCCAGCAAAAGCTCCTGTATCGATCCTTCGAAAAACATCTGCACCTCGAGTGAGGCACGTAGATAATAATACATCATCAATGCAATCGTTGCGTGAACAACTTGCTGCTCAACAAGAGGAAATTGCTTCACAAATTAGACGACAGGTTAGTAAAATGGTGACCTCGAGAGAACTTGTTATAAACCAACATTTTAGTACCTTATATCTTGGAACAATAGAACATTTTCCCAAATTTGTAGCAATGAATTGTGGAAAACCATATTTTTAAATTGTTGTGTATGTGTTTCAACTTTAAATCTATTATTTGATGCAAAGTCTCCCATCCTATGGAGCATTTTCTGTTTTCAAACTTTCTGAAAGCGCTGGTACTTTTTGCACGACGTCAGTCTCACCTGCACTTATGTAAACTTCTGTAACAGTTAGATATCACATTACATGGAAAACACTTATGTTATGACGTATTGATTTAGTATTTTAAAATGTAGCTCCCAGTTCTCGGGCTTGCTAATGAAAAAGATTCCTTAAAGATATACAAATCATTTATGGTTTTTTTATACTGTAATGTTGCAGTTCAACATTCATGAAACAAAATATTGGATGCACATAAAATATGAATAAAATATTAACTCTTACTTTTTTAACAGATGTCTCGCCATCGTGAAGCATGGGAGGAAAGGAAAAAACAATCAGAAGGAAAACTTGAATCATTGAGAAGAAAAGTTGATAATTTGGATGAATTGGTGAGTGATTACGTATTCATATTTATATCTGGATGTTAGGGTATTTAGTAAAACTGAAAAAAGCATGGAAAAATTTCTTGTTCTATCATCATAACTAACATTGTTTAGTGCCTTAGTGTTTTATTGTAGACTTTGGTGGTGAAACATGACGTATATACTGTTTTTATCATAGTACTTGTTAACTGGGTCATATGGTAATCTGACTTTAATTAGACAGAGAAACTCTATTGTTCTAATCTGTAGAAGTGATCTGTGTATTTAGTATTCAACTTTAATTTCAATTTGACAAATAAATTTATTTACAAATTTCAGGTCAGCAACACATCAATGAATTCATTATCACGAACCAGAGATCAACCATTAGATGAATCATTACCTGGTAGACGAACTCCAACATTCAGAGACAATAATATTTTACCTGAAAGAGACTATTAAAAGTTGAGAAAATTACCATAATGAAAAGTTTGTTGAGACTATTTGAGATAGTAATCATGCTTCTATAAGATCTCAATTTAAAATCCAGCGTATGAGTTTGTGATTTAGCAGCTTTATATTGAAGCAGTGAAAGAAGAAACCTCTTTGCAATGAAACTTCGTTTCACCACAGATTCTTCAAAAATTGACGCTGTTCTTCTTAAAATGAAAAAGTCCTAAATATATCTGACCACTTTTTAAAAGCAAAAATCTGTGATTATTTAGGGCTCAATATAATATTTTTCATGATTTAATATTTTGTTTGTTTATAATCCCCGTTGTCTATGGTTACTGATATAAGTCGATCTTCAACCTCAATTTTCTGTGATTATTTGTAATTTTCATCTGAATGAAGCAGAAATTTTATGTGATTTTTTTTTATAAATAGTTATCGAAAAATATCAATTTATCTCCATCAAATAAATCCAAGTTCCGAGTGGTTCTTGTGTATTCAGCAGCTTTCTACTGTGACATTGATTTTCCATTTCATTTTCCTCACCATGTCAATATTATGACAATTTACACATTTTGTATATAATTTTATATATAACTACTAAAATATTGCTACTCTAGTATATTCCTCATTTCACCACACTACATAAATGTATAATACACATCAATGATTGAAAAACGATTATGTTTTTATGCACCTGTGTCTTCAATTTTTGCTGAATTCTCACTGTTATATATCTTTCACACCGTCCAATTATTTATTCAATATTTGTAAAAAAAATAATAAGAATTGTGCCTTAGGATTTTAGCACTTACCTCACTTTGTATGTTTGAGATTTTTTAGAGCACTAAATTATATATATTGTGCCATATTTGCCTTGTAGATGTTTCATGTTTAGTTTTGTGACAATTTTTTTTAAATTAGATTAGTACACGTACTAAATTATTGTTGTTGAACTCAAATTTCTTGTTACCTACTAGACTCGCTTCGAATGTTCAATAGGTAAAGAGGTAGGTAAATACTTTTATTTGTTTTCTGTGGGCGACGTTAAGGCCACTTTTACCCATATTTTGCCTACAATCAATTGAGATTTTTAACAAGATAAGTGTGGTACTGCTCAGCAAATAATGTACCAAGGAAAGGACTCTATGTTTACATATTAAGCATTCTCTGTTGTTACTCTGTACTTCAGACTGTTCAGTTGTTGTATCCTACTCGTCTTTGATTTCAGTCTAAATATATTTGAATAGTTCTTCCAACAGGCATCTGGTCTTCCAAGAATACAGTTTTTTTACTTACACTGAGTGGTTTGGGTAAATAAATGTCAGTATCTCTTTAGAATCGATTAACGATTTATATTTGTGTCTACCGTCTGTATATCTAACGTCTCGTCTTCTTGCCTTCTGATATTTGTTTGTATTTTATGTTAGTGTATGTATGTTTGTGCATTGTGTACTGATGAACATTTCACAAAATAAGTTTTATTTTTTTAATTGTTCGTAGGAAATATATTCTTGACAAAATAAAGTCGATGTACTCGTTGTTACATTATAGAGGACTTAACATTGTTGTCTAGTTAAGGTTGACACTATGGTCTGGGCTTTGGTGGTTTTTCACACTATTCTGATTTAATATGCGAGTTCTTACAAAATCCGGATGATAATAAAGAACTAAAGTTGAAGCTATCCTACACGACAATCTCTGGTGGCCTAAAGATACCAACAGTATCAATACCTAACTAATCTGCAAGATGGATTTGAGAAATTGTATAAATTCAATTGCGATTATAGATTTAGGTAATTATTCATTACTCAAGCATTCAAACGAAACTCTATCAGTGGTTCACAAACTTTTTGATCCGCCCCTTTTTTTATAATTTGTCTCGCGCCCCCCCCTCAACATAACTATAACAAATAGTGAGGCGAAATTATTTTGTATTCAAAGAACACGATGAAAATACGTGGATAGGACCTAAATATACAAAATGAAGAAATGTGAATATATATCCATGGTCATGTGATTGTTATTAACCAATGAAAAAGTATCTTCATTTTGCGCCCTCTTCCGCCCTCGTTGTTCTCTATCATACCTACACACTTTTTTCTTGCCACGTCAAAATTTGTCTGCGTTCCGCCGGCCTTTTCAAATTTGACGCCGTCAGGTGAACACTAATTTTATAATTGTGAAATATTTAAATTTAATTGTTTATGTCGCTATCTTCTCACAATCCAACTTTGTATTATTTTACAGTCATTTTCTAAGATTTTTCCAGCTATATTAATGCAGTTACACTAAACTTAGGCCTGCAATTATTCATTCAAATATCTACAAAATAGAATTGAGATTAAAAGTTCTGAAATTTGCGCGGTGAATCAGAATCGGAAGATGCAATGAATATTGGAAATCAATCTATTTCTTCAGTCAGGCTCATAGCATAGTGCTAAATGAAAATGTTTGGACCATAATTAAGATCTACATCGTTGTTGAAATAAAAACTCGACAAAGATGCGGTTGTGCGGCAGAGATGTTCCGGAAATAGTACATGTGATATTTTCCGAATTTTTTAGTCATTCTAACGGTTTTTATTTCGTTTTTGTTTTTAGTCGTGTGTCATGTCCATTTCATCATATTCTAGCGTTTTTCTTCGTTAAAACCGCTTTTCTTCTTAACAACCTCATTTCTGAGTCTTTACAGCTATACGAATGCAGTTAAGACTAGGTTTAGGCTTACAATTGTTGATTCAAATGTCTACAGAGTGAAAAGAACGAGGAGAACAAAAACGAAAGATACACCAGCTAAAGATAAACTAAACAATATTTCAGTTAGGCCATAAAGGACGGTAGTATTAATGGTTTAGTGTACTGTGTAGTTAAAGGAAGACGATCAAGGATTAATAAGGTAACTGTTAAATTATTTACATTCATAATTGCACAAGCGCAGGGCAATACAGTGTAAACTCTTATTCAAACCAAGCGTTAGGATTCCGCCAGTGTCATTGTATTGTCTTTTTATATTACCCGTAACATAAATCTGATTAGTGATTACCTATGGAGGTTTCATACTACTGGGCTCTTGCGTCGAAAAACGTACATTTGTTCTAAGTGCATTCAAATGTACATTTTGAATGGATTTCCAATGTATCCTTCGTTTGTGGTGTTCCACAAATTTTTTATTTTAACGGCAGTTAATAAATGACGTGGCTTCATTTGCAGGCTTCTCGTTCCCTTTCAGGCAATTTATATGTTTTTACAGTTATGTTTACTAATGCAGTTAGACTAATATTAGGCCTAAAATTATTGATCTGGAGTGGAATTGAATCACAAATTCTGGAATTGTTGGCATCGGGATCTGCTTGAGGAAATGCGGTTGAATGAACATTTATCCAGTTGAGTATAAAAGTAGGCTACTAGATTGATATTGATGACTGCGCATCTGCAGTCCGGGTTGAAGTCTTTTCAAGTCCCTTGTAAGAGTTTCTATCAACACAATCATTAAACATACTTAGCCCATGCGACGGCTGATGGGTAATTACTGATTATTTGGTTCAATATTATTGAACACGAAATGTAGCCTACATAAGAATTCGTTATGTTATTATATTTTTTTTCGTGTTCATTTCCTTTTTAGTATCTTATTGTTATAAAAAACTACTACTCTAAAAACTACTTTTCATTAACTGCTGGATCAATTCTTTCATACCCGGACTACTTCCGTTTTTGGCTTTAGTATCCATATATTTGAGCATCGCTCTCTTGTTATAAGTTATTCGGGGAATATAAAGTAATTTGCAATACTGCTGCTTCGTCCGTACGTCTTCCTTATAAAACTTTATTTGCCGTTTTACACCATCATATTATAACCAGCTTTTTGTTTATATTTCAGAAATTTGAAATCGGTGATTGAATTTCTTCAAACGAAAAAGGAAACGTTTTCCTTTGGAAAGCAAGAGGAGTGACTTTCCGATACGTCTCAAATATAAGAAAGTATGTAGGTAATTATATTTTTTTGCAATTCGAATCATGATTTATTTTAAAAACAAACTTCAAAATTCATTATTTTTCTAATACTTAATTAACGCGCATAATCAGAATCTGATGTTTGTGTTACCGAAATCGTAGTGTGCAATTAGTCCCTAAATGTATTTGATGGAAGCTGAAAACTGTTTATGAAATGTATGTAATATTTCCGCTGCGTCTGAGAGAAATACAAGTATGCATTAAACAATTTAATTAAAGAAAATTGAAATTAACCTTAAAAGATTTCAACGTAGTGTTTTCTACAGTGGTTTTATTTTGCTTCAGAAATTGTCAATCAGTGCTTGAAAGTATCCAATGTAAGTGAGAAACATGTGTCGCAAGGTACGGCATTCAGGCGTGTCTCAAATATAAGCAAGGTAGGTTAACTTTTTATCATAGACTTTTTCAAATTTATATCCCTAAACGTTCCGAAACGAGGATAATTTTGCTCAGTATTTGCTGAAATACAGCCACTAAAATTCTGTATTTGTCATTATTGATCTTACTATATTGAATAACAAGAGAGCTACGCACAAATATATGGACACGTTAGACCAGAGCGAATCAGTCCTTACCTTTGACGCTACCGGTACCCTCAAAAAAGTTCTGAATTTCCAGTAGCAAGAATTTTGCAGAATCAAAACGTACAGCCAGTCATGACACTGACTAAAATCCGTGTTCCCATGGATAAAAAATAATACAGCAAAATTTTAGACGAAATATCAAATTTCATAGAATTCACGCAAAATTTTGAAATAAATAAAAGTAATAGCCTTCTAGCGAAAAAATTAATCTTTAACCACTGAAAATTTCTAAGCAATTGGTCCAGTATTCGAAGAGAAAAGCGACTTTTTAAAAACGTGTCAAAGAACAAGAACAACATAATATTGAAACGATCGTTATGTCCACTTCGTGTCCAATTATAACACACTTGAATTGTACAAAAGTGTGAGTGCGCATGATCTATCAAGTCAAAAAATAATAAAAAGTTCCAAAACGTTTCAACGATAAAGGTTGGAACACTGCTCTAAAATTACTCTTACTCTTTGCAAGAGGCCGTGTTTCATAAATTGAATTCAATTCACACTGAAATTAATTGCTATCATTTATTCCAAGCCGAAACATCCTATCTGTACCGGCATAGGCATCTATGTGTTAAGTGAAATAAAAATGAATGCCAAATAACATTGGCGGAGGTCATTTCGCTTTTGCTTAAATCATAAAGGCGTTTTTAATTGAGCTGGAATATTTCGGATTCGATGGTCTTTAACTTGTATTTTTATCATACAGGTTTTGTCCTGATTACGAGGTAAGCGAATAAGGTTAAAGCGAGTCGAGAGTTTGTTGAAGGAACTGTCGATAAATTTGTCTTTCCATATTTATCACAATGAAGAGGAAATCCGTAAGACGGATTGATTACGTGGACACCACGGCTTCTCGTTCAAGGTTATCAGTCCATATCGCCTATCGGGATTGGTTGGCTAGTTATTATTAGTCTTGGATGAATGAATTCAATGGCGGAGATATGATGGAACAGTTTCACGTAAATCACCTCCAGGAATCCAAGAGGGAGAACAGGAGTCCAACAATCGTCTTTCACATAATTTAACCCCACATGATTCAAACCTATACCAAAGTATTTAAAGATTCCCATGACTTACTCGTTATCATGTTGAAACCCTGCTGGAGATGCGCGCGTGCTTCAGCTTGAGATCCACAATCTTCAAATACTTCATTCCTTTCCAATTCTTTCTTGATATGCGTAAACAAACTCTTGGTTTCAGTTTTCATCAGGTTTGTCAGATAGTTGCGCACAACTCGCTCTTTAGCGTTCATGGTTTAAATAGTTGTGTGCTTTAATACCGAGTACAATAACTCTAAATAAGTAAATTTCAAGTAAGTAAGTACTGTCCACATATAGAAGTTTTTTTCTCTAAAACAATAAAATAATGAAAACTATTTATAATGCTAATCAGTTACCAGCACGTTCTTAGTCAAATGCGTTCTTTATTATCTTCATTATTATTATGAGTATTATCGTTTCTGAGTCTCGTGATGAAATTCGGTTAGTGGTCCATATGATTGTATAAGTTTGAATATATATATATATATATATATGCTTCATATCAAGGGTTGTCAAACTTTATGTTCTATTTCAGACTTATTTTTTCCAATTCTGTAAACTTGCTACAAGAACTTCAAGGGCAGAATGTATTAAATGTAGGAATGTGCAATGTTTACATTAAAGCTCTTATCTATAGTTTGTAACCAACAAACATGGTCTACCTCCGTAGTGGGAGCATGATAACTCTTATTACACAAATCCTAAAACTCGGAAATGCCCGTGGTGACAGATTTCACCACCAAATACTTGATGATAGCGCGTATAAAACTCAAATATATACGATTGTCAAAATAAGTTCTTTGCCAGCGCTGCTTCCTCTCGCTACTCGTTTTGTTTTTCTTCGTGGGTTGAATTAAATTTTTGACTTTAAAATTATTTGATTGCTAATTTACCCTGTTCACCCCCTGGGGCTAATTTTATCCTATAGACTGAGAACCCCAGTTTTTATTCCATAACTAATCTACAAGATGAATTAGAGATATTGAATTGCAAATCAGTAGTTATTCATTAGTCTACGCCCCCACTTGTGCGCGATCGCCACTGCTCTTTACGATCAGCAACTATTCCTATTGAAAATTGATATCTAACTTTATTTCATCATGCAAGTTCTGTCCGGATTGCGGAACAAGTGGATTGAGGCGAAACGGATCTCACAAATCATCTGTCTGTTCAACGTATCAATGTTCAATGTATTTTTATAATTGCGAATTGTTTCAGCTAGAATATTTGATAATATTGTTAATAGTCTATTAGTCTTTTATAGCTGTGAAGTCGGGATGTCGTTCCATTTAATTAGCAGTCTTGCGTACTTGAAAGTGTTAAGGCACATCTGTCATTGTTGGGCGAAGTCTTAAAATTTGATAGTTCATGACGAGTTCACAAGTTATTCCATTGCTGAGCTAATATTCCAGTTGCAAAAATACACTTTTTGCATCATTATTTGCTGCTTTTCCCCTAATACACTCACGGAAAGAACGATAAATTCTGTTGGACATACAATCGTTTTGTATTATGTTATTAATACGCCATAATCATTGTGGCATCTCGTGGTTTATTTCGAATTTCCTGTTCTTGCTTTGCATGACTGACTTAAATTAGGTAAATGTCTGATACCCCATAGCTATCCTGGAATCCTGTATTCTATTTTGAAACTTTGTTGTTATTTTTTGTATGATGAGTCTGATTGAGTGAATGTTTAGGTAATATTCCATAGTCATTGTGGCCTTTGCCGTTTATTTGGTGTTATTTTTGTTGTCCTATTTTATATGAATATGTCAAATTTAGTAAATGTTTAATATTGAAATTCTTTTTCTTGTTCTTTTGATGAAAAAAATCGCTTTTCTCTATTAACTAAAACGATCAAGATTAAAAATTGCGCACCTTTTGGCATAGTCTACTGAGACAATAGACGATAAGTTTATTTCGTCGTGCAAGAAATCACAACACAAATTTAAAATAGGAAAAAGTAATTATGCGTTACAGTAACGGATTTCATTGCAATTGACTGGAGGTCGCGAAGGACCAGAGATGGTCATCATAAGTCTGCGACACCAAGATTAAAAACGAGTTAATAAAAATTGAAATAAATTAAAGCAATAAGCACAAAGAGAAACTTATTCATTCAATAATAAACCAACAAGATTGATTTGAATCATCATATATGATTTGGAAGAGAATGTAGAAATAAAAGTCGGGGAAATTCAATTGATATACAGTAATTATAAAAATAATTCACCATATCATTCAGCTGTACTTCTGTACAATTGAGATAGATTCCATACTCTCCTACATTTTTTGGCTTTCGTGTCTATATATTTGAGCATCGCTATCGTGATGTATCAAGTTGTTTCGTTTACTTCCGAATATTACGGATTTTTGAGTTTAGTTGTGCAAGTCGATATTTTTTAATATTCAAGTCTGCTTCTCATCGGTAGTGTATTTCGTAATTTTCTTACCTGTGTTATGTTGAATCTGTTTTAATATTTCAGCTGCGTTCTGGTTGGAAAGATCAAAGGACAGTCGACAACTGAATATGTACGTTGAAGAACATTGGAATGATTTGCCGTACCATCTTAATTATATAAACAGTGTATTTTAATTTTTTATATAACCATCTTTCTACCCGAGTTTGCCGGATATCAAAGCTCGCCTCAGTAGTGGCGTATCTGTGTGAAATGGCGCCTATGGAAATATTCAAAATAAGAAATGGGAGTTGGAGCATAGGTGTAAGAAGTGTCTCAAAACGTCATTTTGACTGGTTTCTGAGGATTTTACACAAGGACGTCACAAGGTTATGACGTCACACTGGCTAGCCGCGATTTTGTGGGGCGCAATGTTAAATATTGCAATGTTATATTGACTATGTATATATACTTGTATATTCAAGCACATTCTCCCAAAAAACAATAGTCCTTGATAAGTGGCAAGCTCTCTCTATGAAGCCGCGAACAACCTCGGTGACTTATTGGATGTCATTCACGCAATGCAAATAATTGGTTGAAAATAGACAAATTTTTCCAAAAAAACTTGCTCAGATTGACAGATATTTAGTTATGTAATACAAACCTATATATGCTCCGACTAAATAAAAAAGCGAGGGACGATACAAAACTCATTATCTATTGCAAATCAGTACAGCAAATCAGTACAACAGTACTCAGCCTGCTACAGCATTTTGGTGTAGCAGGTTTTGGTCTCGCGGGCCACTTTCACATGACGAAATTCGTTTGCAAATTTAGGCTCCAAATTCATTCCTATAATTGCGCTCAGCGTTTGTCCCCAATGATCGCACAATATCCAAAAATTAATTCCAGAAATAAAATAAAAACTGACGTCGATGTCCACCAGGGTGCAAGACTTGACACATATGCAATAATAAGAACCGGCAATTGAATGTGGATAGATGGCAGGAATATTCACACCAAAATCACCAAACATACATAAGCCTATATATTGATATATAACATAGTGAACATTTAAATAGTCTTCTTGCAAACTTTGTAGGGCGGGCCGCAAAAAACAGTACGGTGGACCGCGGGTTGGGCAGCCTTGTCTTACGGTATACAGAAAAGGTAATTATCAGGACTCTCATGGTGTGAGATTAGCTGGTTAGGCAATTAATTCAAATGATTGAACGTAAATGGTGAAGTAATGTCAAGAGGGCTACACAAACTTATCAGAGAAACTGAGTGAGTTGGATATTCAGACATTTATTACCAAAAAGTGAAAGCACAATCAAATGAAGGCACACGTGCTAACGTCTTCTCCTGTGTGTGTTCTGGATATAATGTAGTATCTTACTGATTAAAAATTCTCGGTTCTGGGGCCTGGTGCAAAGCTACAGTTTAACAGTTTTATATTATATTGCCCGGTCAGGGGTTTCAAGCGGGTGGAAGGCCGTGTTTCGCGAATACGAATTATAAATTAATTATTATCGGGCAGTTCACCACACATTTTATGTCCGTAGATTGCCGCCATATATCAGAGCAGGGCTACTCAACTGGCGGACCGCGGTCCGAATCCGGATCTTTCGAGTATTCGACTCGGACCGCACCTGATTCTATATTTTGAAGCACCCACGAGAAAAGAACTGTGACGCCGTAACTTTTAAAATAGCGTTTTCTTGATTATCGAACAAACAAAAACCGTGAACTACGTTATGAATTTTTAAGTTTTTGCAATTACCCAGTTTTCCATGAATCGGTTTTCTGTTTACTCTCAACCTCAAATTTGAAACACTATTTAGGCGCACTGTATAATATATTTTCTGGAAAGGCCGACCGCAATAAGTTTTGTATACGGATCTTCGGCGAAAATAGTGGGGTAGCTCTGTTTTACAAATATAATGCTTTTATTTTTTCAAGTACAAAAATATGAATTAAAATTGAATTAGAATCGGGCAGTTTGCTACGCAGTTTATGCTTCATTTGAAGGTACACAATATTTCATCAATTTTGATTTCACTTTCGTTCGCAAAGTACAGGACTGATAGTGGGACTCGCAAGCGAATGAAGAAAACGTTTTGCGGGTGGCTTTCTAAAATCGAGTGTGCTTGATTATCAATTACGGATTTACCTAATTTACAATTTTTCGACGTAATAGGAATGAATGCGTAAATAAGGAGCCTTGACAAGGAATGACAGCAATGCCCACCACGAACCCTGCAAAGGTGTCGCAACAAAGATATCCTTCGAAAAACATCGCTCACGGGGAAAATTGGCTGGTATTCGAAATTATTTTAAAATTAGCTGAAAAAGTATTCGAATACTTTGATATTGAAATATTCGATTTGTTATGGACAACCCTGTGCCGGTGTGATTAAGCTGTTTTGCTGGGCAGAAAATCCAAATATCTAGGTGGTTCATATGGTCTTCCTTATCGCTCCACCAATTACGCTCACTCACGTGAAACGATCACCCGGCTAGCGTTTCTCAAGCCATGTATCAACTGATAACCATCTTACTGGTAAATTCTCATAACTTTGATTAGGTAAAAATATCAATCTCTCTCGTATTTAAAACAAAGTTTTGCCTATCCCTATATTATCGAAAGTAGGGAAATATACCTACACCAGCTGACCTTTGCCAGTATACCAAACATGCAAAGTGTTATCTGACCAAAACTACAAATATACAACGTTCAGGTAGCCGCATCCAATGATAAATTTGTATGTTCATAGGTCTGTTCATTATCTGTATCATGTATCTAATTATGAAACACTGTTGTGATTATTTGTGCGGCGTCACTACTGCCTACGTAATGAAAATTCAAACATGCAAAGTGTTATCTGACCAAAACTAAAAATATACAACGTTCAGGTAGCCACAACCGATGATAAATTTGTATGTTTATAGGTCTGTTCATTATCTGTATCATGTATTTAATTATGAAACACTGCTGTGATTATTTGTGCGGCGTCACTACTGCTGATGTTATGAAAATTGGAAATCCGGTTTGATGTAACGTGACGGATTTAAAAAATTGAATCACTCACCGAGATTTCCTGTTTGTTCTTCCATTACTGAATCCGCGGCAATTTGGTATTAAATCCAGTACTGAGAAAAATTATTATTAAATAAGACTTCTACCCACCAGAAGGGCATCCCAATAACCAACTGTAAAACCTTATTACATCTGAATACCACGAATACAATTTTTAAAAAATGCAGAGAAACATGGAAATATTGATAGTTACTGTCATTACAGTTACCAAGCAACTAATTAGGCAATTCAAGCAGCACAAGGGCTGAAAAGCAAAGTGACAGCCTCACGAAAACATGGAATGGGCTCGAGGAGACTACTGTAAAAAACTGGCAAATGTATGTCTGTAAACTGAGTGTATAGTATAGAACAGGGTGGTCCAAGGTTGGGAGGTTGAAGGGCCGCAAAAACTTTTGAGGAGGTCTCGCGGGCCGCAGTCCGAGAAAACCCAAAAGTGATCAAAACATCGCGAGTTTACTCACTTCAAATATATTTAAGAATGAGAGTTTATCGTTCTAATCAGTTTTTCAGTTAAACTATATGGAGCCTTTAGTTATTTTAAAATTGCTTCTCGAGAAATATCGTGGTATTTTCAGTATCTTTTCTCGTGATTGGTTGGGAGTTCAAGTTGGGACCTCAGACCCAGATAAAAAAAAAACTGGATCACACGGCGCTAAGTCAGCTCAGTAGTATGTTACTACTGTCACATGACCAACGCTTGAAAATGGAGGGGTGTTTTGACTAAAATAAAGGCACAAAACAAGACGATTCATTCTCCTTTTACCGATCACAGGACAGGACGGCATTCCCATATAGCAATGGTTTTCAATCTTTTACTGATTGCGCACCACTCTTATGTTTTTTCTCTGGTCGCGTACCACTGACAAAACTCTTTTCCGGGGTTGAAACCAATGACAAATGAAACGCGCTACTGGGAGTATTTTAACATGACACTACATCCATTTTAGACCTTCGTGCAAAATTGCAACGTATTAATTTTATGTAGTAGGAACGTATTAATTGCGTGCAAAATCGCGAAAGCATTTGCGTCATCTGCCGTCAGAGCTAAAAAGCTTTAATCATCGTTTCGTTTTAGGTGGGAAGTAGCGGTCGAGGGCGATCTCAATACAAGAATCGGTGGCGCTATAAACCCGTTCAGCGGATACATACGGGATGGAAGATAAATAAATAATTCAAAGCTTCTCGCGTACCACTCGAAAAGCTTTCGCGTACCACTAGTGGTTGGGAACCACTGCCATATAGGCACCGTCTTGGCGTTTATATGTACGACAATGAAATTCCGTAATTTTAACAAAAATCAATCCCGACATAGAGATTAGGAAAAGGACTATCCTCAGTTGGAATAGTTTAAAAATAAATCAACATTGTTCTGCTAATAAATACAAATATCTGCCAATGGTTTAGTAGTCTAAGCTGAAATTGTGTTACAAAGCTTAAACACGGAATGTGTTGGCGGGACGCATGCGGCCCGCGAGCCGCAGTTTGGACCACCCTGGTATAGAACAATCTAAGAATGAAAGCTTATCGAGTAAAAATAATAAATCGTATGTTCGAGGCTGTAGTCTAGACCAGGGTTTTTCTTCTTTGAAATCTAATCAAACAGAGCATACCCGCATTCTGACTCTATACAAATAGATGTACAGTGCACCAGTACTTACTAATGGACGAATCTCTGTTTTAATTGTTACTATCACTGGTTGGAGGCAAGTAAGCAACCACTTCAAACTGCGTTTACACTGAGACAAGACAGACTGAAAAATACGGTGCGATAGCCCCGTTACACTTTAATTGTTACTAAATTACATTACACTTATCCTATCCAACAACAGCAAATGCTTTAGTTAGGGTACTCCATTCAACTGGTAGGCGTAATTGAATTTGAGCTAACGAAGGAGACCATAGGTAGGATAAGTAATGATATCGATACGGAAAGTGATGGACGACAGCAACCTGCCTGTACCGGTAAGCGATATTCCCATGGTTTCTTCTAATTTGAAATTATGAGTTGCCGTTAATTATGGTAAGGCTGGGAAAACTGATTAGAGTGATTAGACGCGTTTTTCATGAGTTTCCGTCAGATTTTATTTTAGTATAATAGTATTTTGGTTTGCAATGCAAATAAAACAAATTTCAACAAAATCCTAGAATAATGTCGTAAATAAAGTTTTGCTTCAACTTTGACTGTGTGAAGCAAAAAAAGAGAATAGGCCTACAGCAATTTTCATAATTTTACGACCATCAGCATCAAGCGTGAATCAATAAATCTGATAGAATCCATTCTACATAGATTGGAAACTTCATATCAATTCTTTCTAATAAAATAGTAAATTTCCCGATCCTCGCCCGCTAACTGCCGACAATCTGCCGCCTCTTTGAAAACCGCTACATATATTTATATATAAATATATGCGCCGCGTCCAATGCCATTATTCCAAAGGCCAAAATTAAAATAGTAATTTAATTAAATTATAATTTTGTGTAGAAATTCAATCAATTTCCTCTAAAAATCTTATAAAATTATTTTTCGAAATAAATATTCCAATTCCTGGCTTGAGCATGCTGCTGTGCTCTGAAAATCATCAAAATGTAATAAACAAATCAACTAAACTATAAAATTTCGTTTCAGAACACATAACGACAACTAAAATACTTCATTCTCAACTAATTTTTGAAAACACAACTAACAACTGACAAATAACACGCAAAACCGCAGGGCGATGTGTACAACCATACTTGAATATGTGTATGAAAGAACAAAGTGTCTCGGGGATGCAATAATTACAATTATTACGTCACCGTTGACATTTTGCTATTTGGTCATTGTACGGAAATAAACAAGAAAATCGGTGCTCTTTGCAGCGTTGCCAACTTAGATTATTTCAAACTAGATTTAGAATATTTTCGTATAATCTAGATGTAATAAATGCCCAATTAGATGTTAGATTATTTTCTAGATTATTTCAGCATTCATTTAGATACCTATATCTAGATTATTTCGACAAATGTAATTTTGCATTGTTCTCTTGTGGCAAAGAAGTGAAGTTCACCAGCACCAACAGTAACAACATTTGAAGAGATAGCAATGTCTATGGAGATAAGATAATTTACAGAAAAGTTTTCCAATCGGGGTTAATAGTGCTCAAAACAACGAGGGAGGCTCGCCAAAATATTGTCGAATGTCCAGTATTGCCATACTCTGAAAGTAGCGTGAACTGAATGCTGAACGGGTCTCCCTAAAACCAGGCACTTGCGAATTCAGGCACTTTTTCAGGCACTTTGATATTTTTTATTTTTACCGTACGTCATTGGGGTTTTTGATTTACTTGACAAAATAATCAGACTTTAAAAAAATTTTCGCATCCATATATTGCAATAAAACAATATTATTTCCAATTTATTAGGGTATAATTAATTTTTTAATAGTGAAATATGCCAACATTGGTGACAAAATATAGAAATCAGGCACTTGTAAAATTTCAGGCACTTGGCCAAAACCTATTTTACAATGTATCTGATTACTTTAAAGCAAAAAATTAATTATACACACTTTGTATGATTGAATTTACAACATTTTGGTAAAATACAATACCGTTTGTGACTGATGGAGACGTGTAATATTTTGCAAGTGCCTGATTTTCCTCGGTGACAGTTGCCATATTTTTTGCAATTATTTTTTTATATTATTTGAGTCAGAACTTACTATTTTTTGCTTTCTAACGCAAATTCATTGTTCCATAACAATTTGAGCGTTTTTAATAATGTAATTAGCAAAAACCTTTGATAACATATGGTCGACCATCGTACTTTCTGGATTTATTTGAAATTGAATATGAATGATAAAATCTGGCAACGTCAAGCACAAAATACTAAAACCAGGCACTTGTGAATATTCAGGCACTTTGTAAAAACCTATTTCTCGATGTTTCTACTTAATTTGAAGCAGAAAACTAAAGTATACACTCTTTCGTATGTTTAGAATGACGTCTTTTTTGGTAAAAAACAAAAACGATTGGGACTGGTGATGAGGGGGTCAAATTTCGCAGGTGCCTGATTTTTCATTTTTTTTCGATTACAGTTGCCATATATTTTCGCAACAATTTTCTTAAATTATTTGAGTCAGAACTTACTAATCATTGCTTTCTAAAGGAAATTCCGTGTTCTACAACAATTTCAGCGTTTTTAATAATGCAATGAGCAATATCATTTGACAACATATGGGTAACCATCGTACTTTTTGGATTTATTTGAAATTGAATATGAATGACAAAATCTGGCAAACGCAAGCAAAAAATACTGAAATCAGGCACTTGTGAAATTTCAGGCACTTTGTAAAAAACTATTTCCCGATGTTTTTGATTACTTTAAAGCCGAAAATCCAAATATACATATTTTGTATGACTGAATTTGGTATTTTTATTGTCTAAAACAAGCAGAACTGTCACTGGTAGGGATGTGGCAAATTTAGCAAGTGCCTGATTTTTTGGATTTGTCAAAGGTAGTTGCCATATCTCTATAATTTTTGTCTTTTTTATATGTTGTTTCCCTATTGCATCATTTTATAAAAGTCAATGTTTGTATGAGAGCTCCACTTAGCATAAATGAAATTAAACTTTTAACATCAGTATCTACAGCCGGAAATCGGTATTTAATTGAACCAATCACGCTTTTGCAAACTATTTGCATATTGTAAAGCGTGAATGACATTGTGTTGTTTATTTTTATTAATTCAAAAGTATGACATATGTATTGTTTAAATACGGGTTTAAATTTGACAGATCTGTAGGGAATATTAGTTATTCAGACAACATTTTTATAGTAATGTTCGGAACCCTTGAAATTGGTTCAATACTTCTTTTAATTTGTTATAAACATTTCGACGTAATATATTACCCAGGTAGTAACAATCGCATCGTTAAAAACAATCTAATTTGCCTTTTGGCAATATTAGTTCGGAATTCCAGTTTTAATTGTTATCGGACGACGATTTTAATAATGTAATTTGGCCAATGGCTTCATATAAACTACATAACAGAAATAGAATCTTTTATAATGAGTATCCAAGTCACATTATCCCCTAATAGAACATAATTTACCGTTCACAAAAAAAGCCTGTGCAAAATCTATATTGACAACCAGCGGTGTTCAACCACTGCTTTGTTCAACTGAACTACAACTACAATAAAGATATTCAATCACTTGCTGTTGCTGTTGTATAATATTCTTTACAACCTGAAGATCTGACTGTAATATCTTTTCATGGATAGTTTACGTAGAATTATTTGTACATTATTTCATGCTGTAGCAGCTAACTTTAAAACACGTAGTTCCTAAATAAGAAGAATGGCTACAGGATGGTAAATACGAGATGGCAATGTCACCTAAACAAAATTCGCTCGGCGAATGACATCAGGTAGCTGATAAGCCAAAAATTAGGCTTAAAAGCATCGTTAAACGAATGTTACATTAAAAATCCTTTAATATTCAACACGCCAGTAGTCAGCCAACGAATTTTTTTGCGTTATTCAAAAAGTTGCAAATATATAAAAACGTAAAACAGTAATTGTTTTCTAATATCACAGAAGCCGTATTAAACTCTCGATTATAATTCTTCCCTCATCAGTAATTGGGGATATATATTTGAATTTAAATTTAATCAGGAGATAAAACATTAAAAACACAACTTCACAAAGGAAGGGTATGAGTGAACACTAATTGAAGCTTTCAGTTTGAAAATCATTAGAAATATTGAGTATCCAATAAAAATCCTCACTATTCGTTTTATTTTGACATGATATGATTTACGTCTCTTGCAATTAAGTAAAACCACAGATCTAAGAATTGGAAATTTTAAATGTCAGTTCTGAAATTAAACATGAAAAGGTTTTGTGTATATTTTTCTTCTTTTATATGTCGGGCGTATAGTTTCTTCATGTCGCGAATGAGCATCAGAATAGGTGGTGCAGAAAAGTTGGCGCACAACCCGAACATAGTATGTGTACCAAAATAGAGGTATAAGGGAGCGCCCTGAAAATACCCACATTTGCAACACCGACTTACGGAATACAAATTTTACACTTCCACAATTTCGCTTTCGATACTTTCTCACAGGTATCGTAATACCAACGCTTGCAAACGCAGTATTGGTATTGTAGGTGCTCCCGACCTGCTCCCGTATACATTTCGCACTTTCACAGACACTTCAATTATTATTATTTTCCAGAATGCAAAATTCATGCATCGGAATGTCAGAGTATATGGGTGGCTACGATGCAGTGCGACAAAGTTCCAAATGTGATTGAATTTTTGTTGTCTCCGCCTTGTTTACTCTTCCATCTGGGCGTTTTGAAGAGGTATGTACTCACTCCAAATATAAATACTTGCACCATCTACGGGCAGACGTCGAATTGAAATTAGCGAAAGGAATAGCACTCAATATACATCGGATTGTCTTAAAAAAACATTTTACTTAGAAAGCAAAGTATAGTAAGTACTAAGTTCTGACGAAAATGATTTATGAAATGTATTGCGAAAATATATGGCAACTGTAATCGAAAAAAAAATGAAAAATCAGGCACCTGCAAAATTTGACCCTCATCACCAGTCCCAATCGTTTTTGTTTTTTTACCAAAAAAGACGTCATTTCAATCATACAAAAAAGTGTGTATTTTAGTTTTCTGCTTCGAAGTAAGTAAAAACATCGGGAAATAGGTTTTTACAAAGTGCCTGAAATTTCACAAGTGCCTGGTTTTAGTATTTTGTGCTTGACATTGCCAGATTTTATCAATCATATTAAATTTCAAATAAATCCAGAAAGTACGATGGTTGACCATATGTTGTCAAATGTTATTGCTAATTGCATTATTAAAAACGCTCAAATTGTTGTGGAACAATGAATTTGCGTTAGAAAGCAAAGAATAGTAAGTTCTGACTAAAATAATTTAAGAAAATAATTGCGAAAAAATATGGCAACTGTTACCGAGAAAAATGAAAAATCAAGCACTTGCGAAATATGACACGTCTCCATCAGTCACAAACGGTATTGTATTTTACCAAAATGTTGTGAATTCAATCATACAAAGTGTATATATTTAATTTTCTGCTTTAAAGTAATCAGATACATTGTAAAATAGGTTTTGTCCAAGTGCCTGAAATTTCACAAGTGTCTGGTTTCTATATTTTGTAATCAATATTGCCACATTTTACTATTGAAAAATTATTTATACCCAAATAAATGGAAAATAATATCGTTTTATTGCAATATGAGAATTCAAAAATTTATTTAAAGTCTAATTATCTTGTCAGGTAAATTGGAAATCCCAATGACGTACGGTAAAAATGAAAAATATCAAAGTGCCTGAAATGGTGCCTGAAAAAGTGCCTGAATTTGCAAGTGCCTGGTTTTAGGGAGACCCATGCTGAACCGAACGTCTATTCTGCGTCTTCGAGATTGTTGCTGGCATGAAATCCAATATTTAGGTTGAATCCAATTTCCTGGTTTACTCGTATCGTATCTTTTACGACATCTCGAGACCAGTTCTGTCTCCACCTATTCCTTTACTTACGCCATCTATCGAATGTGGATAGATTGATGGAATTGACAATGAGTACCGTACCTTGTAAGTTATGTGGAAGGCCGACATTATTTGAATGGATTGGATTATACTGATGCTGAATTAATGGAATATACAATGACAGAATGGTGATGGGAATTATATTGGATGGTGAAATTTAATGTAATGTGTTGAATATTGTTTCCTTGTTTTAACAAATAATAAAAAAATGCGGAAATCTCAGAAAAGTTGCAGGAACTCCATCAGCGGTTTAAAACATGCCACCCAAATAACCAAAGACGGTTGGAGTTATGATTTTGTTTCACATTCGCTTCGCTGCACAAATAATAGCGCCTTCCAGGTCGTCTGCATTTTGTTTGTCCGTTTTTTTTGTCTCCTTTTATACCAGAGCGACCAAAATAAAATTGCTGAATTGATTGAAAAAATATTCCTAAATGAATATATAGTCTAAATATTATAGTGTTTACAGATTATTATTTTTAAACAATTACCCAGGCGACTGAAAGTCATAACTTAAATTGTTACCATCTGACCGTTACCGGTATATGCCACCTACAGACCTACTGTCCTAGTAGGCTAATCAAAATTGTATGAGGACTGGAGGATGCCCGATAAAGCCCTTCAAAAATATGTCGCTTTTTCTGGCTGAAAATTTCATGATTTAAAATTAACAAACCAATTTTTTGTCTTTGTCTGCTTTCAGGCTGTTCGCTGTTCGTACATTCCATTTTAAAACAAGCTACTGAGGCCATTATTTCTGTATTTTGTAGCATTGCGAAAAAACCTAGTTATAAATGTGTTATAAAAATATTCCGCTTATTATTATAATGTTTAGATGGAACTAACAGATTTATATTGCAATACTTCATAATCCACTTGTATTCAATGACACAATTTGTATATGTATACTGGTACAGGTTGGGTATAGGTTGCTTTTGTGATAAATATGCCCATTATTTTATAAATCCTCAACTATTTGTATATTATTATTTTTAAACAACTCCTAGGGCACCTGGAAATCAAAGTTTTAATTCAAACCTCCTTTTGCCATCTTGTTGTCTGTACTGTATCCATCATATATTGTTCAATTTTCACTTTGAAAACTTGAAATTCGCCAAATCGGCAAGCCAGCACTGCGCAATAAACTATAAATAAGTGCAATCTAAAAACGCTACCATAGAATTTCTCGGTAGAAAATGGTCCGATTGACAGATGGAAAAAAATTTTACTGTGACGACTGACATTGTTCCAGACGCCCTCGTTTCGGTGACAAATAGAGTGATTGTTTCATATTATAACCAAACGTCAAGACATCTTGGAATCGGAGAACTGTGTTCTACTGATCAATCGTACTTCTGTATTCACCTTGTTGTAGCTTGATAGTAGAAACAACTTGTAAACAAAGCTATGTAAAGATGTGACTTTTATACAATTAACTGCAAAAAATGTTAATTCTGTAATTGGACCAGAGTTAATCAGAATTGTTTTTATTCAATTCAGTTTCGTAAAATTTTAATAAAAAAAATAAAAAAATGGATAATAAAAAACCACTGAAAAAATTGAGTGAAGAAAGCTTGACAAAACAACCAGATGAAGTATTTGATCTTCTTGAAAAGTTGGGAGAGGGATCGTATGGATGCGTTTTTAAAGCTATTTATAAAGAAGCTGGACAGGTAAGATGATTTGATTCCAAAACTCAATGTTTGATTCAATATTCAATCAAAATTAAAATATTTGTTAATAATCCATGTAATGGTTAGATCTTTGAAGATTGTCTTAAACTCAAGCTCCATTGATATATACATATATATTTGCACAATTTATAGTTCGGATGTCATAAAATGTATTATCTGTATGTTGTTAACTTGTTATGCTGTTATACCCAGGGCAAGTTATTTTCATATTTTCTTCCTCTACCACAAGTTGTAAAAAAAATTCGATCTTTGACGCTGTTTGTTCAAAATTTTGAATCAGGTCTCCAAGGTAGCAAATTGAGAAATATGATTTTTATTCTGTATGACACGGAGTTGACACGAATAAAACCCCCAACTTAAAAATGAAAACAGTCGTGAAACAGAATCTTCGTATATCTGACTCTTTCATTTATTATTCAATCAGGTTGTTGCAATCAAGCAAGTTCCTGTTGAATCAGATCTTCAAGAAATTATAAAAGAAATAGCAATAATGCAACAATGCGATTCTCCTTATGTTGTGAAATATTTTGGAAGTTATTTCAAAAATACAGATCTATGGATTGTCATGGAATATTGTGGTGCTGGGTATGTAATATGATTTTAAGTTGTGCAAATATTTTATTTCAGTTTAATTTGTTGATTAATTATATTTTTGTATCAGCTCAGCTTACGTGGTATTCACTGTTTGATAGCTTATCATTGTATTGGCCTGATATAATTATTCAATTACTCATAAGGTATTTACCACTATAGTTCTTTGTAGTCTCATCAGCTCTTTGCACTCCAGTGCTTGCCCGTAACTTTGCTCAGAACTCATTCTCCTCCTCATAATCTCTTGGTACCTCAGTGGTGGCCAGTAGCTTTACTCGGAGCTCAGTCTTCTTCTCAGCAGCCCTTTTGTACCTCTGTGGTTGCCTGTAGCCTTGCTCAGATTTCAGTTTTCTTTACTTACGAGTTCCGAGTGTGTGACTGTAGCATTCTTCCTTCCATTAGATCTGTATCGGACATCATCAGACTCCGACGCAAAACTTTGATTGAAGAACAAATAGGGACTATATTGCGAGATACTTTGAAAGGACTTGAATATTTGCACTTCATGAGAAAGATTCATAGGTAAGTTGAAAAAAATTTGCGTTATTTACTTGTTTGAAATCACAATGGCTTTGGCTCCAGCTTTTTCTTAGTTCGACTGCTCCTGGGTTACTGGTACTACAAAACCATAGCTTCAAACTTTTACAAATTGAAACTTTCAAATTAATAGACTCACTCCAACTTTAACTGCCAGTACTGGTTGATTTACTACTCAACAAGCTCGTTTGGTTTCGAAGCCATGAATGTACGTGATTTATTGATAATCTAATCTTCAAAATGAAAATAAAATTTGGAAAATTAGGATTTAGTTAGAATTTGTTCTTCAGATAAAATCTGTTAGTTCTACTATTAACAAATAATAGTGGAAAATTTTTTTGTTTCGTTACAATAGGACAAATTGTCATTCTCAAATTAGAAAGTCAGAAACTCAAGTATGCTATGTATTGAAATGCTGGGATATGGTACTAATACTAATAATGACATTTTTAATGAGATAATATTTTTTCCATCTCAGATATAGACTATGTCCAGTATCAGATTAGGCTCTTAGGCGAATGGCTCAATTCATGGATGTATTTTTGCACAAATATCAAATGTGGGGAATATGACAGAATCTTGTTTTAATGATTCTTATAATTAAATAACCTCTAAAACGTTGACGACCATGTTTTTTTCAGACCGTCCCATAGCAACTTTCCTATTCCTAATTCATAGTCTTCAAATTGAGATATTTTCGAACAGTTTCAAACCTCAAATTTTTTTTATTTTAAATATCACTATAATTTCAGAGATATCAAAGCAGGCAACATATTACTAAACACTGATGGAAACAGCAAACTCGCAGATTTTGGAGTTGCAGGTCAGTTGACTGATACCATGGCAAAACGTAACACAGTGATCGGAACACCATTCTGGATGGCACCAGAGGTTATTCAAGAAATAGGGTAAGTTGATAATAACGGATCATTTTGTTGAAATGGTGAATCATAGCTGTTCAATACTTGCATTGCTTTGTGATGCTATATATGGTATATTTGCATTGCATGACATTATTGTCATTCCATTATAAATAAAAATAAATTAATTGTGAATATATTTGTGAACTTTTGTTGTATCATAGTCTTATTTATTCATACAAAACAAGATATAACTCAATCAAACACACTGAATACTATTTTGGGGAATTATATATTATTCTTAAGGCAGTTAATATCATTCATCATTTGGAAGCTATCTTGTTCAAGCATTCTTGTGGCAACGGCAACATACGGATATGAAGTAGGAAATAGACAGGAGAAAGGAATTGTAATTCAATACACAATATTACAATAGTACCCGCCTTATTAATTTGAGCTAAATATCCCGGCCCATCATGTATGAAACTAATACTAAATATCAATGCTTTAGTTGTGAGTATTCTTTATTGCACAGTCTTGTCATTCAACTAGATATTAACTTCTTGGTAGAAGCTGAACAGTAGATTATTGAATTAGTGTCTATTTTTCTTGTCCTAAATTCTGCTGCATTTTCTACAACACGGCTTTTGATTAATCAAAGAAATTTTAAATAATTGTTTCGGTATCTTATTGATCCTTATTAAAATAAGTGAACAAATACTTTATATACTAAATGCTGTACATATTTTGTTTAGTTATGACTGTGTAGCAGATGTCTGGTCATTGGGAATCACAGCTATTGAAATTGCGGAAGGAAAACCACCGTATTCAGATATTCATCCCATGAGAGCAATATTTATGATACCAACCAACCCTCCACCTACATTCAGAAACCCAGAAAAGTAAGCGGAATTTTTTTTCATGTAAATGGACATTGATACTACATGAATTTACTATATAGTAGCATTCATTTTTTTTATGAAAACCACTTTTAGTGATAAAAGAAGCAGGCATGTTGTTGCTGTGTCTTGCATTGAATTCCTTTGTAAACATTTGGTCTTCGTCTAGCCTTGTTAATTAACTCACATAATACAGTGTAAATGTCAAAACTTGGTATTGTTGTATTCCTAATCCATGTTACCACTACCAGCAATAAAATCATTGTAACAACTGTTCAACAGCATGATAAGAAATATAATATGGAATAGACTTCCGACTTTTAATTAACACTCATGATAAAAAAAAATTTTATTTTTGAAAGCAATGGCTTGACTACATTGTTAGTAAGCAAGCTAATTTACCATATAAGATGAACTTTGTAAGTTTTTTTCTATCTTCGCCCACACGTCATGAGTTGATCATGCTGCTTTTTAATCTGTTGAGTGTTGAATATTACTTAATATTCGTTTACAAGAAATAATCGCTCTAATATTAATCATTATTTCCATGATTTAGACTGCTTTCTTTGCCCTCTTTAATTTGGGTCACAGAGCTGATTTTTTACATTTGTTTCAATTGTTATTATGAATACCGTGTTGAAAAAATGCTCGACTAAAATTTGGTAGTTTTTTTCCGGCCGTTTCAGGCATTCTGTATGCTTGCCTTTTGTTAACTATTTATATCTGATAATATGTTTTATGTCTTTGCCTGTGAAACATCTGCCAATCATGATGTGATGTTATTTGACATTAAAGTATCTTGTAAAGTTATTTGTTCCTCCCCTTTAAAAGCTGACAAGGCCCGACATCAGAACACTCGGAAGCCCTAGGTCACTCATATAGTGATTTATTATGATAAAGTTTTGCCGATAAGGCAAAACGAGAGAAACAGACCAGACAATGACAGCAGTTAACAAATGTACAGCGTATTTTTTCTGCGCCTTTATCAACACTAAATTGTTTGTTGTTTAACTGGGTATGCTTCTATCGAATCAAGCATGATCTGATTTTAACAGACTTTGCCACATAAAATTAAGAACTTAAGATTAATGTGACAATTATTAGCCAGTTAAAGCATAAAATGAGTATTAATAATTTTTGATATTTTCTAAACCAATGTATAATACGCACCCCATATTTGTGAGACTAAATTTGACCTTGAAAGTGCGTATTATACGCGGAGAAATACAGTAAATTGGGCAGTAGAAATAAATTATAAACGTTTTATCTTTACATTCATCTTATCTTTATCACTTATCAGTCAGCTTCAATTACCGTAGGTATTTTTTCTTGACGTTGATAGTGAATTGTGAAAGATTGAACATGTTTTTTTTATTGATATATCTCTGTTTTCGAATGTCACATACAGTCAATTCTTTTAGAACTGAATTATTTCTCCCTTTTCTCTTGTCATAGAATCACTGTCATATCTTTTTCAGATGGTCAATGGAGTTTATAGATTTTGTCAGCAAATGTTTGGTAAAAAGTCCGGAGCAAAGAGCAACAGCAACTCAGTTACTACAACATCCTTTCATCAAAAGTATCTAATAATTTTTTTGCTAGCATTAATAAAAGCAGTATTTTCATCATTATAAACTTATTTGAAAGTTTGTGGCAGTTTAATATCAAATTCTCAACTAGGAACTAGATAGCGATCGGAGATCGCCGACTATTCGATCTTCCGCATGTTCAATATTGAACTTGACAATTTGGGACAATACACCGGTCATCGTCACTCGTCAGCCCCACAAATTCGAAGCGGCGTGTAACCTAAATACCTAAACGCTCCACATCGCAGACAGGGCATTGTTACGCACACAATCGTACGCAGCGACGAAAGTTAGGGGAACACACAAAACAGAAACTGTGGTTTCGCTCTGACTCAATAGCGACACCACGTGTCCCATCACTAATTAATTAATAACTCGCTAATTATACGACATAATTAAACCAAAGTCAATAGGCTTCTGGTCCGAGATATGATGAATGCACTTGCAAAATTTGGAGCAGATTCAACAGCGCTTTCATGAGATATGGCGAAACATACGAAAGTGTCTAACAGACGGACAAATACCTTTCAACATACTTACCGATTGAGATCGATAAGTAATTAAGCAGCAGTAGAAGTCTTCAAGCATCTGTTTTGCTATATCAATAGGAAAAATTAGTAGTTACTTTGTTTTATTGAATTCAGACATCCGAGTAATTTTTGGATATTGATGTTTATCAAGTAAATAAAATATAGGCAAAAATAAAGAGCCCAAAATAAAGATCACTCTGCTAATTATACTTTGGAATATTCAAATGTCTATGAATCTATATTTCAGGTGCGAAACCAGTCGCTATATTGAAAGATATGATTCAAGAAGCAATGGAAATAAAAAAGAGAAAAGAAAATGAAGAGGGAGAAGATAGTGGGAGTGAGAGTGATGAAGAGGACGAGGATGAGGTATTATTTGAATTCAAACCCTTTGCACCTTACTCAGGGTGTATTTATAAACTAAAGGGAGACTTTGGGGAATTTACGCAGACCCAGAAAAATTCAAATTTTCCACAAACATAGTAGCATCATGCATATTAATATCTGCTTGTCCACATCCCTTCTGTTCCGCCAGCTCATTCGCGGGGTTCGCTGAGAGTCTATGTTATTATGTGTACCGGTGGTATATTGTTTAAAAGTAATCGAATACTCGAATTAATATAATTATACAGGGTGGTCGCTAGAAAAAAAGAAAATTTGTCAAACAGCTATTTATTTTCACAAAGAATAACTCTTACAGAGTTTTTTAAAGGCATAGGGGATATATAACGGAAATCTAATAGCACCCAAAAGGTATCAACTTATCTGAATTCAAATATTCTGCTTTCCTAGCGACCACTCTTATAATAGGTGTGTTTCACTAGTCTTCCACTTCATATTATTGTTTCACATTTTTTATTAGCAAATTTTATGATAACATGTATAATCAAATATACATATTAGTCATTGCACAATGCACAGGATTTCCTCTGAGCCCCTGGAATGTTTCATTGGGGTTTTGCTCTACAAAAAGATTAAAAGCCACTATAGATCGTTTTTCTAACACTACCCTTAAACAAGATTTTGGCCGGGTATAAAGCGTTAACAAGATCCAGTGGTTCACAAACTTTTTGTTCGTGCAGCGCCAAATTATCAGGGAAAAAACTCCAGGCAGCAGGCGTAATTACACAAAAAAAAATGCTGCTTTCAAATAAAACTCAAATTTTGTGATCGGTAATGTGTACTTTATGCCTTTTAAAGTTGGTAAACAGGCAATAGCTCAACTCTTCCTCACCATCTCTGCCTTCTCTAACTCGCAAGATTGCAATAAGTATTGTCTACCTGTATTGTTATGAAACAATAGAAGCAGACACTACGTAACAGACAGTAAACAACATAGAAAGGGAAAATTAATTTATTGATTTATTACACTGCATTTAAAATTTAAAAAAAATAAATGAAACGCTTATGATAAATACATTATGTAAAATATTCAATTATATTTTAGTTAATTTTCACAGCTCACTTAGCAACGCACCATGGCTTACCCTTTGGTAACCGCTGCTGTAATCTATATCTTATGACTTTGAATTTCTATGAACAAACCATCAGATACTTTCATAGTTTTTATATCGTATATTATTGTTTAGATTGATGCAAGCACAATGGTTACACCAGGTTCAGGTGTGGATGTTGATTACAGTACCATGGTCACTAATTCTAGCACAGGTATGTTGGTTATTAATGTAAATGCTTTCAAAATGTCAAACAGAACTTTTTTGTGTTGAACATTATGACAAATAACCAAGTCTTGTGCCATGCCTGGAGAAGTTAATTTTTTAATATATTTTTACATTCTATTTCTTCTTGTTTCACCATGAGCATGGCCCCCAATCTATTTTGTTTGTCATTGTTGAAATTCAAATCATTTTTCATTGAATATTCTTTAGCATTTTGTTGTATACATTTTGCTTTATGTACTCATTCAATAGTTGAAATTCCCTATAAGTACTACATTCTTATTCTACTCTACATATCAACATTTAAACTAATCTCCACTTGAAATTGGAGTTGCTGTTGCTGATGCGGAGTCTTGAGTATAGCATATTTTAATGGAGTCAGAATTTAAGCAGGAATTGTATATACAAACAGAGTTGTAGTCAAATTTTGAAGTTTCTGGAAGATAAAAAAGTCCAAATAAAGTTCAAGTGTTCTCAACGATCTGTTAACAAATATTGGTATACTTCGTCAGAGTTAAAAATAAAAATTACACTATACTTCACCCCCTGGTTGCTACAGTGCTGGAACCCAAAGACAATACCTGAAACCATTAATACTGAATCAGAGTGATATAAGAGTCCTTATTAACAACTAAATACCGGTATTTTGCAAAGCGCAGCAGCACTTTTCACAAAGATGCGCTATATATCTATTTGTACTTATCTTCATATTATTTAATTTAAGGAAATGCTACAATGATAGAACATGGAAGTACACTGGATTCTGAGATTGGTACAATGGTTATCAATGAAGATGAAGAAGATACCGGAACTATGCAACGTTTCGATACCGGCCCTACAGCCAACTCTGAAACAGCCGGTGGCAACGGTCGGCCATCTTTCATGGATTATTTCGATAAAATGGATAAAAGCGATTCTGGGGGTCAGGGGTCGCGTTCTATTGCTCCGGATCAAGCTTGGAAAGTCGGTAAAAACATCAGTGAACTTGATTTTGATTTCCTCAAAACTTTAACCTTGACAGAACTTCAAGGTCGCTTGAACCTACTTGACCCAGAAATGGAAAAGGAAATTGAGAACTTACGCAATCGCTATCATCATAAAAAGCAGCCCATTTTGGAGGCAATTGAAGCAAAGAAAAAACGACAACAAAACTTTTGAATGCTTTAGTTTATTTCATTGACATCTTCTTAAATGCAATGCAAAGCTAATTTTATTCAGCCTTTTGGGATGTTTGAAAAATTTCCCCGTTTAATTGAATTAACAAGTGCACTTGTTTCATTTCGAATTTTCCTAGCAATAGTAGAAGTCAATCATGTTTGGAATGAAAATTTGATACATGTTCAGTCCAGAATACATTTAAGTGCACTTCTGCAAATACAGGTTATAGATTTATTTGCATAATAATTTATATTAAATTGATGTTAGTTAGAAAAATCATATCTTTGTTCGTTACTCATGAAGTATGTGTACTAGGTTTGGGTTAGGCCATAATTTTTAGTCCAATTTTCCTTATTTCAGTTCTATTATGAGTTATGGGACTGTCTGTGCTAGCCAAGTGAATATTCCCCTGCCCATAGGCTTCAGTCCCTTTACACAACTTGATGTAGAATAGGCGAATAAAATTAGTTTCATATTGATACACATACTTCATGAGTACCCATTGTTCTTATTCAAACTTTATAGTCAAATTCGATGTTGAAATTTTTTATTGCCCAATATGTTGAGAAGTGTATGCTGTCGCCAATAATATGGTAAGTTTTTCTTACAATCCATTATTATTTGTGCCTTAACTCACACTAAACAGTACTTTTGTGCTTGTTTATGGCAAGCTTAGCATTTCCAACTTGAGATGTTCGTGATTGTTTGGTTTTGTTACAAATGAGAATGTGTTGAACATTAGAACAGGGGTGACAATTACTTTCCTGAGTCTTGGTTACTGGGCCGGAGGGTCGAAGACCTGAAACTCAATATGAATAAATAAAACAGTTTATTTACAAATAACTAGCATACCAGCTCATGTACAACAAACAGATAGTTTATATCCATAAAGAATATACCGGTAGTCATTATTCTAGCAAACACAAGTGGGCCGGATGAAATACTGTGATGGGTCGGATCCGACCTGCGGACTGTAATTTGCCCATCCCTGTATTAGAATAATCCGGATAAATAATTTGGCCTTACTGCCAAAAGAACAATATGTCTCAATACATATCATTAATATTTATAGAGAGCATGCTTTGAGGAAACCTTCAAAAAATTTGTTTGACTGACTTTTATTCACACGACTCTCTTATTTGTCTCTGTGAGGAAATTACGAAATGTTCAAAACTTATAATTGAATTCCTGCATCTCTTTTTTGTGTACTATTATTATATATCATGTTATTTTTCACTTGAAAAAATCTTATCACTTGGAAATACTTTTACATTCTGCCAGTTAAGTTTTTATTTATTGTTCTGCGTATTATATGCCCTGTTATTTTATTGCTTCTTTACATAGAAATGTCCTACTGAGTCGTTAAAATTGACACAATCTAGAAACTCAACTTAGCAATTAATCAGATGAAAATTAGTTCCATATAATTAGGAATTATATCGATTTATGAGCAAAAAAATCTTTGGTTATATTTCGCTTATTTAAGAAAATTCATGTTTTTCATATTTTCGCTAAGGTTTTGGTTTGTGCGAAACTAACTACTTATCCTTCTTCCATGCTTTTGTGCCGGTGGATCCGTATGCATATATTGCAAGGATGCTGTAGCAAGAGTAGAGATATTATCTTAAGTGATTCCTGCTGCATACTAACACAAATATATTTCTGTAACATTTTGCCTAACCAGGGTCAGACTTCTTTAGACATACATTGATACATAGTTCAACTATGAAATATATTTGTGTTATTGTGCAGCAAGGCTCTTGAATCACTTATATCTTATACTTATCTTGTGAATCGATCTTGTTTCTCTGATTAATGTAAGTTTTTATCCCTTCATATTATACCTTCCACATAGAAAACAGCTTTGCATTGAAATTCAAACAATATATAGAGCATTTGTCCTATTACTTAAAAAACTTTGAACTGATATTTTGACCATAGTGACATTTTCTTATCTGTATTAATTCAAGATTTACAATTGCCTTCTTGAAAACACATTTTGATCAAATATAAACTTAGATGTACCCTATCTTGAAGTTTTTCGGGGTTGATGCGAAATTAATGTTAGTCTTGGGTATTTAATCTTTTTGTGTATTATTCCATATTACGGTATATTGGTCTAATGAAATCTTCATGGCACAATGGTGTCTTTCATCTTATCTTGTTATTATATGTTTTCTTGTTATTTTGTTTTTCATGTATGAAATATTCAATAAACAGAACTTTTCAAATACTGGTTAGGTTCTGCAGAGTGAACTGTAATTTTTAGATTTTTTCAGTTAGTTTTTAGTTTAGTTTTTGAATGCAGATACAGAAGTCATATTCTGCTTCGAGGCATCCTTCTCCTATGATGTCGCTTGTCCCAGATTCTACAATTTTCAAGTGAAAGTAGTTCAGTATTTGTTTCAGAGTGGTCAGGAACGGTAGAATTAAATTCCTGAATCTAATCACAAAAGGTTTACTAATTGAGAAATTGACGTTCATACCTCATGATGAAGTGTTAAACTCCCCGTAGTGTTGTTCACGCACATAATGTATTTGATATGTCTGATTGAATATTTTTAAATTCGATTAGAATGATAACTGCATGAGAGGCAGTTGCCGTTTATATTGATTACGCCTTGCCCCGCCTCGAGTTGTTTTGGATATGCAAAGAGCTGATAAGTTTTTTAAAAAGAAATATATCGGGTTTGTCAGGGCATGCCCAATTCAATGAACCTTGTCCGGTTGAGGTGGGGGAACGAGTTTGAACCACTGCTCGCCATCCCGCCCAATCATCTTTGTTTGCAAACTACTGATGCCTACCTTTTACGGAGAGACGTTTTTAGTTTCGTTATTATGCATTTGGTCGCCGGATATACTTAGGGTTACCAAATTTTGTTGCCTCAAATCGGGACGCCTCAAAAGACAACGACCCTTTAGCTTGGATTTTATAACTTCACATTTTCCGATTTTACTACATAGGCTTACATTCCTACATTTAAAGCTGTCTTTATTGACTATATTGTTATCGAAATTGCATGCGCATATTCTCTGTCAAAATATCGGGTTCAGTTCGAAAAATAGGAAGGAATTGACGTTAACGATACCAGTACAAATAATTCGAATTTAGACTAATTAGTATTGGTTTTACATGCGATTCGTCTGCCATCAATGGGAATCAGCGGGAAACGAACGCATTCGCCTTCAGTAGTAGGCTAGCGCTGCGCTACAAAGAAACAACAGTAACGAGAACATGTTTGTGTATTATGCTGCAAAAGCGGGACTTTTGGCTGACTTATCGGGACGGCGGGACAAATCGCTGAAAAGCGGGACTGTCCCGCCTAAAGCGGGACGTATGGTAAGCCTAGGTATACTGCATCGCGTAGTGATGAGACAGATCGAAATATTAACTGTAGAACTCATTTGATACATGCACAGTATAAAGAGCAACACACGAGTAAACCGGAGGTTCATGTCCCATTTAGTAATCATTCGGATTGTTGAGACCCTGATGTCGTTATCTGCTGTCTGTCTGACCAGAGATTAGTTTTAATAATTAAGTAAGCCGTAGGTTCGATCGTCATCTGCGAGTAAATCAACCATAATTGACGAAGCGCACAGGTGATGATAATTACTGAGTAAAAAATTAATAAGATACTCTTCCTATGCATTAGCGCAGAAAGCCCTACAGTCGAAATTGAAAACCCTTTATTATGGAAACACGTTCCGTTTACCAATAGCTATAATCTTCTTCTCTGAGTGGGTTTACCACCAAATTGATTTATTACCGTACGCACAAAAAAGATGAATATAGTCCTATATTCAGTAGTTTATTTTTCATCGAACTGAAAATACTTTTATATATACGAACAGTAAATATAAAAAAAACGTAAAAATGATATTTCAGAGTATAGGCTCGAAAAACTAATATTATACTGGTTCTCGATCAGCAACACGCGTGATAAGGCCCAAAATTGATATAAGAGAACAATATATTTTCGAAAAGCCAAATTTACGCTCTGATACGCGAGTGTGCTGAAGCACTGTGGTTTGTGTACTTTTCTGATCGTTCATTTGCTGAGACCACAGGCCAAAACGTCACCTTGAAGGAGATTTCGGCGAAACAAGTTGAGCGAGAACATTAAAGAAAGCCCAGGGTAACGACTGCAATTACACCAAATTATTTCGATCGTAAATAAATATTTTTTGCATCCTTTTGCATAGCTGAGGATTTAGACGAAAACACACCTGTGATTCCATATTGAATATTTTATGAGTGGTATAATATTTCCTCAACACATGCAGAGGAAGCTAAAACAGCCGACTGAATAATTTTGAAACTGAAGACAGAATGATGTCAATCACAGCTTATTACTCTCATGTAAAGGTCGCACAGTGGCACAACGTTGAAGGATAAGTTACCGAACAATGACAGGGCGCATTTCACTGCGAAAGTGGCATTTTACACACAATTACCCAATGGCGATTTTCAGAGGGTTTGCGGGAACCTATTCATGGATTATCGTCCTAATTGTTGTTTTTGTTTTAAACACTAGATGACTGCAGTAAATGGGTAACTTGTGGCGTAGCTGTCAACTAGCGTTATCTTTCTCTTTCGAACATTATGTATTAGATTAATGTAAAGTGTACCATAGTAGAGTATAGCTTGCATACATACATTTTCTGAAACGAGGGAAGCTGTTGTCAACGAGTTTGAAGCAAAAAGAACCTGGTCTAAAAACTTTGAATCCAACCCATTGCAGTTAAGCCGTTGTTTAAGTAGAAAAAATGTACTGTCAGAATATAATCGAGTATATATGAATATATATATGAGTTGTGTTTATATTTCTATTCTCTCTCGCGTTACTTGTATTCCCACACTCAAATCCCAAGAGTTTTACAATATTTTTATAGCTTATTTCAGCTTACTAATTGAACAACATTAGCGGTCTTTATTCGATGTCTGGAGATGTGTTGCAGTTGTGGTTTTGTTAGCCTTTGAACGCGAGTTATGTTACATTGCGATAGACTGTTACCGAAAAGCCCAGCGTCGTGACAACACCCATTTTTCTGGTTATTGTTTTATTGACTAAGAGTGTGATTATATAAAAGAACCTCTTCGCAATATTCTCGAAAGTATGGACCAGGTCGTGATTTTTAATTCGTATAACTTTTCAAAAAATGAAATGTTCGATTTGAAAATGTTATATAGTCTAGAAATCAAAGATTAGATAACTTTTGTGAGGTAAAAGTGATACTGAGTTGCAGCATAAAGATAAAAATATTTCCATTTTCGCACCTGTATATTATAGTGTGTAACATAGCATCATGCTTTTGGGATCTGCAACCTGGCTGATAACTCTATTTATCATTTCTGATGTTCAATGTAACATTCCTCAACCGAGTGAAACATTCACTCATTCCGCAGTTCTGGCATCCGGTAATCTGACGCTTTACTGGATGTTCACAGACACCCACATTACTTTTGAGGTTAGTACCTGTTTCATATTTTGACCCCAGGAAATCACTCTTCTGAGAAAATCGCTTTCCAATAAAAAATGGACTAATTTTTTCCAAATGTTCAACAATTAAAGATGTATGAGGTCTGCAGAAAGCTATTATTTATTTTCAAATTTTCTCTGATTCCAATGATATGCGACATTTGGTTCCAAATTGTTATGTATATCTTTTTATAATCGAGTACGTCCACTTTTTTATGACATACGGAACAATCCTTTTAACATTTGGCAAAAATTTTATTGACATTGCAATGGCAAGCATACTAGTCATTAGTCAATTGACTTTCTTGTTGTTAAATTAGAACATTTATTTCTTGTTATTTCATTGGGCTGCACCAGATCAAACTGCTACATTGTTTTATTCAACTTTTTCAGATTTACGGCAAGACTGCTGGGTGGGTCGGAATCGGGTTCTCGCCAAATGGAGCAATGACTGATTCGGATATTATACTTGGATGGGTGGCGAATGGAAGAGTCATTGTGAAGGTCATATGAGAATTATGTTGTTTGTTGTAATTGTAGATAAATGTCGACACACATCAAATAATAAATAGTGAATGTTTTTGTGGTGCAGAAATAAACACTCTACTTTGCATTAAATTTTTTTAGTAATCATCTTCTCACATTATTTATCTTCATTCATACCGTATTCTTGTGTTAATTCCCATCCAAACGACCCATCCGCCGTTGGAGGCCAATTGAAGACTACAATGTTTGCGAGAGTTTTATTGTAATATTACTGCACAGTGGTGAAATGGATGCCCAGTAATCTAAAATTGAATTTACGAACGCCGGAAATTTCTGCCATGGCCGCTTTTTGCACACGCAATCTAGTACTGATAATACTTTCATTCACTTTCTTATTCATGTCGTTGCACAGGACATGCACGCTGTCGGACAATCACCACCGATTGCAGATCCCGAGCAAAACGTAAATGTGATAAGCGGACATGAATGTAATGGATGGACAGTATTAAAATTTTCAAGACAACTTGCAGCCTGTGAGAATAAATACGACAGAGAGATTTCGGTAAAGTTCAACATTTATTTATTGGGAACCTGATGTCTCAAGACGTATTCACACAAATGCATACCCAGTGGTTCCCAATTTTTTCTGTTAAATTCCTCTGTTTAAAACTCCTTATTCCTCCGTTACTGGACTCATTCTTTAATTGGTCCTTACTGCTACTGTTATGCGCAATTTGCACTTCAGTTCTTGTACCGTTTAGGTATTATATATAAAATATGAACAAGTATTACAGTAATAACAAACAACTGTGAAATATTAGTGATACCGACAAAAATACGAAATTTCTCCCCAAAACGACGAATTCCATTGTGGGAAGGAATTCGGGTAATGTAGAGAATATCTAAGGTTACTTCGACGTCATAGGTATATATATACAACTTTATCGAATTCTGCAAATGTGATAATCTTGAATGAACTCTACTTTTCAACAAAGATAATGTAGAGGTTTTGAAGTTGGATTATTGTGTCTATAAATTTTTAACAAAATTCAAAAATGCAAAATGAACTTATCGATACCATACATTTTGGCCTTCACAGATGTATTAAATGAAGTTAAAAATACTTACTGATTAAAAAACAACAAACCTAGTTAAGATAAAATGACTTCACAATAAAACTGAAGAGCGACGTTATGGATACCCGGTATGTTTCAAGTAAACGCATATATATTCATCAATTTTCACAGACAAACACGATGCGTTTAATTTGGGCCCTGGGTTCAACTGATCCACAAGGCGAAGTTTTAGCAAGAAAACATTATCATTGGCTTGGAAGAGGTGAGTTATGATTAAAAATAGCATCGCAACTCCACTGCACAGTGCACACTATGCAAAAGGTTTAATTTTTTAAAAATCAGCTAATGAGAATATATAGGCTACTGGTAACAAAAATTTCACATCGGCGACTTTTTTTTATACAACTCTCAAAACAACATTAAATTGAGATATAGATAAATTAAGCAAGTACTTCGGATTCCAACATACTGCATATAAATTAAGCAAGCACTTCGGATTCAAGCGTGATACTTTTTTTTTTCACTTTTTGTAGCATTGCAAAATCTAAATTGAAGTGAAGTAATTGCGACCTCAAATTTGCAACCTATTAATTTTTATGAAACCTACACACTAAGTTGAATGAAATGTCGATTTTACTTTTTTAATATATATATCACTAGGAGCTCAAAGCATGCATCTCCTCGAATCTCCAAATAGGCCGAAAGGGAATTTACCATCAGGACCTACATACAAAACACTTGACATCGCTGTTAGCGATTTCACGATTCCTCCGCGACAAACTTATTACAACTGCAGATTGTTCAAAGTTCCAGATTTCCAAAAGAAACATCACATCGTGAAGGTTTGTCAGAATGAAGTCTTCGCCAAATTAGCGCGAAGTTGAAAAAATTTTTTTTTATTTTGTTTGCTCAACCCTTTGAAACTCGGATTCCTATTTAATCCTCCATAAATATTAATTAAAATCGCTTAATCATTAGAAAAATAGCAGTGATCTAAGTTAGCCTATAACCTACCGATTTTTCCAACTGATAATTACGCGTTTCTCCGAGAGCTGAAATCGCAGAACAACAATCAATTCGTATTTATTATGATCAAGCAATAATAAAATGCAGTCAATCTTCTAGGCGAGCCCAACTCATCAGTCTATTGTTTTTATTCAACTGTTAATTATTTTTGCCTATTTTTAGATCGAACCAATCGTCCAGCAAGGCAACGAAGAGTTCGTTCATCACATGCTGATATATAGATGTGGTGACATAATGGAGGTAACATAGTCTTGTACATATTAAATTCGTTAATTACACGTTTCAATTTCTTTTATTGTTTTAATTTCAAAAAATAATTTCATTTCACGTGATCGTATTGATTCCATATATTTGGCGTTTGACTCCGATTATTCTCACAGACGATATCCTTGTTTTAACATACGTGCTGACCATAATTTACTTTTGAACTAATTAATACTCGAATATGGTTCCATTACATTTGAACCCACGTACATTTGAACCCACGACAATTGCACCTGCATGCCATTGCATTTTTTTTGGTTTTACGGATATTTGTACCCATACTAACCTAACCCATGGGTTTTAGCACCCGCATATTGATTGAACGCGCGGATATACACATGGGTTCAAATGTACGGTCACCCTCGAATATTGACATCTCATACTAACGCTGTCTTTTATGTTGTCTCTAGAATACTACAGAAGTTGGCATCAATGCTCCCTGTTACACGACTGATATGGCTCACTTCGAAACATGCACTGCCGTTATTATAGCATGGGCTACTGGAGGAGGGGTAAGACTAATTCCATATCTACGAGAAGTCAGTTCCACATTAAATACGGTATTAGACAAAAACAGCGAAACCAGATCCAACATATTTGTTGATTCCACTTTTTTATATTTCAGCACATGGTCTATCCTGATAACGCCGGTCTATCAATGGGAGACGAGGACGATCCAGTCTACATACAGCTGGAGACTCATTATGACAATCCATCTCGTAAAGAAGGTAAAGTTAAAATATTATGTCATTAAGTTACGGCAATACTATTGTCGTAAGATCATCGGTAAATATGAAATAATTCATCGAGCGCAATCATGCACATGCGACAGAAACTGAAGGCTTATTCATTTTTTTGTAGCATGTTCCCAAAAAGAACGTTATCAATGGATTTACCATATACATCAATTTGCGCTACACACACAAATAATAATTGATGAAAATGTATCGCAACCTGGAAATAAGCCATAAAACCTTTCTGTTAGAGAAGGGAAGATGTTACTCATGTCCTACTGTTTTATTATTTTATTTAAGCGATTATGTTGTTCCTTGACTCATACGAAAATTAAAATAGTGCAAAATAAATTAATGTTAGTCTGAAATTCCTAATATTATTAAAGGATTTACACTGCTAATTGTTTGCAGGTATAATTGACAGTTCTGGAATCAGGATGACTTACACGGATACTCTGAGAAAACACGATGTCGGCGTTTTATACGTTGGGAATGCAGTCATTCCTACTCAACATTTCATACCACCCGGTGCTAAAGATTTCGTCAATGTTGGACTTTGTTATCCAGAGTGTCTCGAAAAGGTATCCAAGAGATTATATCTCCGCTCGTATTTAGAGATTATAGTTACTTGATGTTGGTGTTAATATCATGAAAGGTTGCGTCAACTTGCGTGTTTATATTTCAATTATTGATATTCTTTTTAGCATAATGTCCATTTTGAAACATTGTCACGGCGGGAAATTTCACATTTCTGGGCATCACATCTACATGAGCAGACATGGGTAAACTACGGCCCGTGGGCCAAACCCGGCCTCTCGGGTAATTCAATCTGGCCCGCCTGATGCCGTCACAACCAATTGGGATTGCGATCAATTTGGGTTTTGGCACGAGGCTTATCGTTTTCCACTTTTGCAACACTGTAAATATTGTTCCTAAAATGATACTTTTACTTCATATTTACATGGCCAGCCAGTCTGGATAGGCAACATTTTTGACCCCCGGTCCGAAAACCTTGCCCCACCTCTGCTCTAAGGTCATTTGCTGTTTAACCAAACCTCTCATCTTCCTGAAATCATCCTACTCTTTGTTGTCGCACAAACTTAACGGTACTGGCAATTCTGGATACATAAAGTGCTATTGCATTTGAACAAGAACAACACTATTATCAGAATCTTTTTCGTTTTCAAGAGAATACTATTAAACTGAATTTTCTTTTAAACAGGGAATGGATGTTACTGGTGTGCAAAACGTAACAATATTTAGTGTTTTACTGCATTCGCATATCGCTGGAAGATCACTAAAGCTGCGCCATATCAGGTATACAGTCATATATTGGCATTACATCAATCATAACTCGCAAGTCTCGCGAAATGCAAATCTGAAAACGAATAAAGTTTATTAACTATGTCTAGAATTTATAACGCAGTGCAGGCTCGCCAATGCAATTATCTTCATTTCAGAAACGGCACTGAACTTCCATATCTTGCAAATGATAGAACATATGACTTCAATTACCAGGAGCAGAGACAAGTTGATCCACCAGTTACACTTCTACCTACGGATACATTGTGGATGGAATGCGTTTATGACACAACAGGAAGAAAGGAAATGACAGAAGTATGATCATTCATGCATGACATAATTTTCGTTTATGCCTAAACAATGTCTAACTCTGTATTCATTCGTTTAGCTCTGTAGTAGTGATATATGATGTAATACATAATGTACCATTTGTTCAACTGTATGTTTGTCAAAATGGCTTATGCGGCGACATGGCTATGGATAAAAATAACACCACTCGTTGAACCTTTGTATCCAGTACAAACGCTATCATACGAGCCTTCACTCATTTAACTTGTAAAAACTAATTTTTAGTTTCTACGTTATAAGTAATAACCACCTAAATCCCAGAAGGACTGACAAACAGTTAAACTATAGCTCGATGACCATTACGAATAATACAATCGGTCACCGCGTGTACCTAAATATAATTTGGCTTGAACTTTCAGGGCGGATTTGGAACCAGAGAAGAAATGTGCATTTCATTTGTATCATACTATCCTAAGATAGACACTGCACATTGTTCATCATCTGTATCTGCGTATAGAACATGGCCATACTTTGGGATTGATCTGACCCAGTTAAGGTAACTTTGTTGTTTTTATTATCAGGTGTTTTCTAGATTAAGCTCAAATCAAGAACACAGACCGTGTTTCCCCGAAAATAACACCTGACCTGAATTTTAAAAATGATCACAATATAAGCCCTCCATTTGAAACAAGACCTAGTTAGTCGATAGTGCAAATTTTTTTCGATCTAGCCTAGTCGATAGCAAGAAATCCTCCTACATGTTTTAAATGATTTATCTAAAACGTGTGAAAGAGAAAAGGGTTCATTGGAGAAAATAAAAGACATCTCCTCAAAATAAGCTCTAGTTTTATTTTTCGAAAGAAAATCGAAATAAGACAGTGTATTATTTTCGGGAAAACGCAGTAGTTGCCATGGGTACATCCACACTTTGCTAGAACTTGTATTATTTATTGTATTTCTGCTGAGGCGAGCCATCAGAGCGCCCATCCTTTTTATTTGAGATAGTTTGCCCAAGTGCCCTATATTGTGGTATAATCGTCTGCAAATTACCTACTGTAAAAAATGCCCGTATTTCTTTATTTTTGGAAACTAAGTAATCTTTTTTGATAGATATAACGAGAAAGCAACGGGACTTCGGTCTATGTTCTTGGCAGGACCTCGAGATATGGCAGGAAAAACTCTGATGGACGTTTTGAGTGGGGTGAGATTTTACACAATAGATCAAATATATAATTTAGCATGACAAAACGCAAATAGATTGGTATTAATTTAATATGTTAGCTCGGTGGTGAAATAATTTCATAACAAACGTAAAATTGCTGATTTCGTGTGAATAAGTCAGCGTCGAGTAGTAGTTGTCAAATTGCTCAAAAATATACAGTTCGCCAATCTTGATTTACCTACAGTCATCCTGGAGTCTTAGACAAAAATCTAATGGAAATTAACACATAGAGCTACTGTAGCGTCGTGATACTCTGTGTCGTCGCATTGAATTAAATTTTACACTGTGTTCAATTATATCTATTGCAGCAAAATTGGACTGAAGAAGCAATCGATGAATTTGAAGAATACTATATTGAAGTAGAACAACAATCAATATGTGTTCCTTTCAACAGAAGCAAAAGCGTAAGTTTATATTTTAGGCCTCCCTCGTATGCTAGTTTCCTGCTTGCTTTGTTCAATAAGTCAATACCTTTGTATCTGTCTGTTTTCCAATACTTAGAAATCAACAATTTCAGTTATGTAATCAACGCCTGCGACCTGCGAATATCAGCTTTGCTATTTATTCCATATCAGATTTTGAAATTGAACAATCCTAGCCATTTCTAGCTAAGAATAATGTAAGATCGGCCAAGGAAAGTGTTGCCTAGAACAAGTTTAGTTACCAACTGTTTACATCTTCATGTAATTATATTTACATTCAGACCTTGACTGAATTGCCAACACCTAAAATAAAGACCAACTACACTGCCATAAAAAGGACGTGCAGCGCAGAAGTGATGCCTCTTTCGCAGACCAAAGATGCCATGAGATGCAGCGGAGACGCCACTCCTAAACCGACGCCGTCGCCTCAAGATTCAACAACCAGTGGAGCCGCCTCATTCACGATATCTGCAACAACGCTTGTGTTTCTTCTGTGCACGATATTATACAACTGAAACATTGTTGTTATAAACGAACATTGTAGAAGATTAAAGGCATTCAAAAAATATAATGGCAGTATAAAAATTAACCCTTGCTTTGATTTTTGTTTTCGACCTCAACCAAACCTTGGTACTCCCGAAGTATGTGAACCAAGATGGCGGACACCGGAACGGTGTATGTGTACCAGGCAGGTTAGGGTTAGGCCATACTTTCAGATACAAATACTACGGAAGTCACTTGGCTAGTCACCAAACTCGTAATAAAACTAAAATAAAGAAAATTGGAATAAAATTTTGGCCTCTAACCTGGCACACATACTACGTTCCGATGTCCGCCATCTTGGTTCACATACTTCTGGAGTACCCGAACCTTGATCTATTGTGTTAACGTGTATCGTTTTATAGCACTTTCAGTTAAAGGTTCTGTAACAAAATTTAAACTGAATACACAAGACAAACTTTTTGTTATAGTCAATGTTTTGTAATACATATAATACTGCCATGTTTTATCCAGCTTATAGTCGAATCTACTTCATAAAGTAATATTTGTCACCCACTAGTATTATTCGCCTCTATTCGTCAAAGGATTTTTATTCTGAAAAATTAAACCAAAGACATAAATATATGAAAAACTGATTTTCTAGTAATTTGTATGACGTACTTTGTTACGTTTAGGAAAATGTTTCAAACCGGGAAATAACTTTGATCACTTATAAATTATTAGTGAGGATATATAGAACAATATCGACTTCTCGGCGCAATAGCCGTCTACTTGCCGACATGATATGATTTATTCCGAGTTTTAATAATCTACAAAGTAAATACAGGTGGTTTATTGCCGACGATTTTCATTATTACTTTTACAATAACTTCGTAAATGTCTTTTGTCGTCTTTCATGAGTCAGCTTTTTTAACCTATGTCTATACGGAATGTGTATAATCGCATATACAGGACAATATTGGTGGGATAAATCAAAGTTCCCAGTCGATGGCCAGATGGCAGTTCGAAGAGTGCGACAACACTATAAGACGACATGAGTTTAATGCGGTTCAGTCCTTTTTCCTCCAATACTAGATACCCGTTCTAGTTTCATTATCTGGAAATGTTATTTAAGGTCACTGGACGTTTTCACTCTCTTGTTCATTAATTGTTTATACACAATAGGACTTTGAATCTACCAATCAAAATATACATCTGCTCTGCGTATTCTACATTTGTAATTGAATTACAATAAATAACTCGACTGACTTGACTTTTTAGCCTTGGGTTTATATGCCATAAAAGTAGTAAACGCATAATAAACTCGAGTACTTCTATTTTTTGGAATGGTGAACAGGACTAAAAGCCTCCAGAATGGGGCCACAAGTCATGACAGGTTTGGAATCACTGGGATAAATATTCTTCGCATATGAGCAGGAAGATTGCGTAATATTTGTTTGTGACAAGTTCGGTTCATTCACCTGCGTCAATATATTGTTATCTCTTTGAATCAAATTCAACGTATTTTGGTTTCACGTAAACGGTAAGTTTGAGCGATTGTTATTTTTGCGACATCATCAGTTATATAGGTCAATTATCCAATGGGACCCTACTCGATATATATCTTCATCTTTGGGACTTGACACTTTCAATATGGTTATTTCTTCTGTGTGACGTCGGATACCTGAATTCCATTATGTCACTTTATAATTGCTGACCATGTTTGGCAAATAATTCTACATTTGAAGACGAGATCCATGTGACGATTGATGTCTAGTTAATATTTAACCCAACATTTATCGTCTGCATGCTAATCGTGATGAGACTGATAAAACCCATGTCTTACAATCGCGGTTACTATGGGTTGCGAGCGAGTGCCGGGAATGTCAATTCGACAAATATATGTCTTTCTCAATATAGTGATTTAACCCGACTGAAATAGTTCTTGCTAGATCGACGAAGACGAGTTAGAGGTGCAAAGGTGAAGTGTTCCAACGTTGTTTAATTATTGATAGTTCGAAAGTATAGAATACGCTAAAGTTAGTCTAATATTGTATTACAATTTTGAGAAATACAAAGCTTTAAGCATCGAAAGCAGAACTGCGAGAAACAGGACAAAATTTTCAGAAATGCAACTGCGTTTACAGCCAGTGCTTTGTCTTATTTACCAACAGCTTCCTTCAATTGAAAGTTTTTTTCCAGGCCAATATAAGATATAAATCTGGCACCAGAAGCACAAGCTTCAAGGTATGGGGGGTCAAGGGTCGGAATGCAAATGGATAAATATCCTCAAATCGTACTCGGTATCCAGACGAGATCGAAGTTACACTTTGCACATACCGTGTTGTTGTAATGGTTCTGATATATTTTTAATTCAAGGAATTGTTCAATATCTGAGATTGATTTGATGCTGTGGCATACCGCTGAAAACTTGTAACAGTTTATATAAATCCAAAAATGTCGTTAGATCCCAATTATTACTCAAAGCCAGTAATATTAATAAATATCTCCCATGTTGTTGTATAGTTCTGTTCAGGATTTGCGCTTATATCGGGATAATTTATAAAGAAAATTAATCTCAAAAATGGGGTCCGTGGGGCCCCAGAACCTAGATCCTTTAAATGTGACCATAGCAAGATAAAATAACAAGTATCTTAACACAAAACTCAAGCAGAAGTACATATATGTTCAAAAAAAATATGGACATTATTCTACATGTATATGTATAAAGTCACATCAACAGCATCTCGTTATCATTATTTCTATCGTATATCGAAAATACACCTTTTCTGACTGGTAAGCCTATCGTTTGCTATATCTACGCCAGCATTGGATAGCGCACGAGACAAGGATGAGCTTGGGAAAGAAATATCTAACACGTAATTTGACCTTTCTCATATATTTTCCAAAAACCGTATTTGTCGAGTTTGCTTCAATCTGTTATTTGCTCGTCTTACCCTGATGGTTTTGTTTATAGCTTTTAATTTCATTGTTCTCCTGCCCATTTTAACATGACATCTAATGATGACGCCGAATTGAAAAATTGCCAAATTTTGAAAACACAAAAGAAAGTAAAACGTCACCACCCGCTAAGATTTTACGATCTCAATTCTGGAAAAATATTTATTGTGTGATGTTAGTTTATATCACGGTAAAAAAAAAATCGATGTTAGACCACGGAAAACAAGTAAAATTCAGATAAAAATGTCGTTTTTTCATATATGGCTCATGAAGAAGATGAATGTTCAAATGAGCTAACAGCAACCAATATTACCTATTCTATTCAAGTCGACAAACTCATTTTAGTTTGAAGGCTAATAGTTCGAGAGATAATTGTATTGGATAATTTTTCGCTGAAACAACCATGACATTAATGCGTTTGAATAATTCACGAACTACATTTATATTGACTGGGGCAGCCCGGCCTTGGCGAGTTGGAAAAATTTTCTGAATTACTCCGCCTTTATTATCGAGAAAACAACTTGTTCATTGGGACACATAAAGCAATGGATAGAAAATTGTATGTAGTTTGTAGATCGTGTACCCGCTTTGTAATTTGTTATTTCCTACTCAGAGTTGTAGGTGGCCTAGCCAGAATATAAAAGACGGGAAAAAACTTACTGTAATTGAATGATGTAGAGAAATAATGTTTTGGATGTGGACGAACAAAATGAATATATTCAGTATAATTCTATTCAGCGTCTCACATATTGATCGAACATGTTTGCCAGAGGTTTATTATTCGATTAGATTTCTGTTTGTCGCTCCGATAAGCTATTGTTAGACTAACAATTGATCTATCTCGTCATATGACCAGTCATTTATCTTGACTATCTTGATAATATTCGACTTACGTCGTAGCAGTACCGAGCATGCGCCGCAGATAGAATATTTGAGACTAGGTGTTCATCAAAACGAACAGAGTTCATTCATCGATTGTATCATCTTGAGTTAAACCAACATTTTCTATTATTTGAGAAATAAGTTGGGGTGGAATCTGTTTGTTTAATAATAATGCGTAACCAAAACAGAAGCGAGAATTGAAAAGATCAAGTTTGTACGCAAAGAAAGGGATGCACTTTTGAAGTGATGATTGAAATAATATATCCTTAGATGTGTATTGACTCGCAGAAGCTGTCATATAAACAGATGGTGAGACTTTGCAGCGTTTCAGCAAGATCTGAAACTAGTAAGAATTCAACTTTTCCAAATCGCATGAAAACATTTCGAATGACATTGCAGATAGCAGGTAGAATAATTGGCGCTCCAGAAGTGTATGTACCAATATGGAGGTAACTATTTTTGTACGCCTACTTTACATCAGGGTGTACGAAGCTACTCAAAGCGGGTATATTCACTTGGCTAACACAGACAGTCCCCAAACTCGTAATAGAACTGAAATAAGAAAAATTGGAATAAATTATGCCCTAACCTTACCCTGGTACACACACTACGGGAGTACCGAATAATTCATGTCTTCGGATGGCGAGTAGCAATTATTTTTTTAAAGTACAGTGTGACTCAAATAAAAAACAGAGCTTATAAATTTGTTTTTACTTTTACAAATATGACGAGAATATGTTCAACATTTGAGCTTTTGTTTGTGCATGATAGTACCCAAAAGTTGCAGTAATCTCCATAACAGTGGTTTTCAAACTTTTTAAGCAGCGCCCCTATTTTAGAATTTGTCAAGTTTGCCGCCCCACCTCAAAAATAACCAGCTACAAAGGCGAAAATATGTATTAATAAAAAAAACACGTTGAAAGTACGTGGATGGAACGTAAATAATGAAATAAATGAAAAGTTTTGAAATGTAAATATCCAGAATAAGGCGGGCAAGATCAAATCTAATAAATATTTTATTTTAAATTAGCTTCACGCCCCTCAAAAAATTGTCCACGCCCCCCTTGTGGGGCGCCCCCTATCGTTTGAGAACCACTGTTCTAGAATATGTTACATATGCCCTGGTTCTGTTTTCTGGGTCAGCGTCTGTATAGCGGGCCGTGAAAAACGACCTGTCACAAACTCATGAATCAAACGCTAAAGTTAGTGAAAGGATTAAGGTCAACAATAGAAAATATAATTGTATTAGGACGAACAATGTGACCATCCCGGCACGTTTTGATGGTTGTAGTGACCGTTCGTGGTAGCAATTAATAGCGCTCTTTGTCACGTTATTTTTGACGTATGTAAAAGAAAAATGTAGGTATAACATTTTCAGAAGTTTTAAATTGATTGAATGTGTATTAGATTTTTGTATTACATCTAAATTATATGTAGCATCCACTGGAAAAGACATCGAACATCAAAAAGTGTATTATTGATCAACAGGACAAAGAATTAATATAAAAAAAAGTGGTTGAGTCATTGCGTGAGAAGGTTTCTCCATTCCAAGTTCAATGACCGACCATACGTAGTTGAATATTAATAAGATTTCTAAATTCTCATAAAATCCTTAAATTTTGGTTACAAGGTTTATAGTCCAAGACCAATAAGTTATTTATTTTTCGGTTATTCATGACGCACTTTGCGCACAATAATATGATTTATCTATACAACTATGAAAGAAAGAAAAGTATATTTACATTTAGATCATAGAAACTAGAAAATTAAAACTTGAAAGTAGATGAGACTAAATATACGTAAAAGTTTGTAGTTATAGAACTTAAATATGTATATATATTTATAATACTTCAGACAGATTGATGTTTTTATCGATTATACGTTAGTCAACGTAAAATGTATTTCGAGTTTTTCTTTACTTAAAATTTAAAATACTGAATATGAACATTCAAGTGAAAAAGTAGGGTTCAATAAATATATTGAAATCATTTCTGAATTCCTTAAAATTTTGGTTAAAAGATTCATAGCCCACTCAAGGTTGCGAAATTATCTTATTTATTTTTCAGTTATGACGCACTTCGCACACATTAATATGATTTATTTAGACAGCATTAAAAAAGGTGTATTTACATTTGGAACATAGAAACTAGGAAATTAAAGTGTATTTCTAGTTTTTTTTTGCCTAAAATATGAAAAATTCGGTATGAACATTCAAATAAAAAGTAAATAGGTTACAGCTTTCACATTATAGTATGTATCAGAATTTCTGACTGAATTCATAAATATACATTTTAATATTCCTCATGGTACTTGTAAGTTTTATTAAATATTAAATCAACAAAATTCCATAGACGACCATAAATTTTATCGACAATTATTTGCATTCATAACTTTGTTCGACAGTGGGAAATAAGTGCAAATATTACGCCATGTTATGAGAAAACATATGTAATACATTGTGTAAATACATTCCATGGAAACTAAAGATAAATTAAACCTTGCGGTCTCCAATATTAGGGTTCATCACCTGGACAAAAAAAACATTTTGATTCGATGTGTATTCTATACTATGGACCGTTGGATAAGCATATAGTGTTAACTCGATTATGTGTGATTCAAGCTCGATATGTAATAAACGTTTGTAGGATGAGTATTTCAACAAGATTTTACTTATATATTATTAATCATATTAAACTTAGGGTAATGGAAGTATATATTCGCCTTTCTGGTTCGGATATTTGCTTTGATGAGTAATTTGTATCCCCAAAGGTATATCAGAAAGGCCTCCTCTACATATTTTGAATATTAATTTATATTATTTTGGAAATTTTTAAACCACGTTTGCTAATGGACGAAATCCACGTTCTTGTATATTTAACGGAAATTTTTAGTGCCTTTCCACGTTTAGTGATTATTTCTGCAAATTTTTTGATTTTTCAGTCGCAATAACACGATTTTCTCTTTAACTAACGCAACAATTGACGTGAAAACATCAAACTTTACAATTCGAATTGCAGCTTTCTATTGTATGTTTACCTCAGCAGGAATAAATTTATTATCGTTCTCAAGTCAAGGCCACTCAAGTAGTGATTCATTTTATGATATTCCACTTGAGAAGATTAATACAAAAGAATTTTTTCTCCTTGAGGATGCTGGCGTGTGAATATTAATATATTGGCCGATATCAATATATTAAAGCTTACAGCAATTGTAAAATATACTCGTTTTTCATAAACTACAACCTACGAGTGTAGTTAGTTTTGAGATGTCGAAGTTCGAAATTTTAAAATGTCCGATTGGATCGATTAAGATTAGAGCAACAATTTAGGCAGATTTATTCCACCATTTTAGAATGTAGTACCGAACTGAATAAGAGAACAAATAGGTTTTATGGAGATTCGCCGCAGAAAATTTCGCGTAGGAAATCTCGTCGCATTTTTCATGCGGTGATTTATCCTATGCGGCGAAATTTCCCGCCGCGAATTTTCCGGAAACGGAACAAATATACGCACACGCAGTTTCGCGCAATGGAATCTGGAAGGCCTTAGAATACAGGATTTGCAGAATAGATCTGCGGGCAATCGTGACATAAGCGGCCAAGCGTTCTGCCGAATGAGGAAATGTTCAAAATTATTGCAATTATTTTTTACACTAAATCAGTAACAACACTATAGGTGTCACTGCTTGAGGACCCAACCAGGTCTCTCGCGACTTCTGTCGCACAATTAACGTTACTAGTTTATTTATTTTCTGTACCAGTCTTTGTGCATTTGTTTTTGAGACGACAAATAAATGATTGACTGACTGACTTTAAACTACAACAACAACAAGAAATTATCCGAACGGTTCAAAGGTGCACATCGCGTCTAATAAATTTTATCAGTTATTATCTCGGTTTGCAGTATAGCTTGTGACTAAGCCCACAGCACGCTAAGGAAGAGTATGTGATTCTTTAAGTCGTGGATGTAAAAACTAAACTCAAAATTTTTACTCACGGCTGAAATTTTCTTTTTAATGATGATTTAAATAAAGTTTCCCGGACTTCGGCGCGATGTCCTGATTTCTCAAATTCGTGATTGGTTAGATAGCTCGTTAAAGATTTAGATTCGATTCTTTGTCTCGAGTAGTCATAGTATATAGATATTCGCCACTATATAGATGTTCGCCACGGCGGGTTGGAAAGAATAAAATACCATGGCATCGTTATTGATACTTTTCTTGAATAAAGTCAGAACAGTCTGCAAACAGATGAACAAGATATACTCGTCTTGAAAGGATTATGATATGTGATCATGGCGAATACTTATTCTGTCAATATTTTGGATTAACCAAGTCTATGTTTGGTCAAGAAACGGATTAACTAGGATTCCAACTTTTATGTTCTCGCAAACAATGGATAAAAGACTTTTGTGAATCTGGGTGGGACGTTTTAGACTCCATCGTGAGGCTAAATGAAATGGATTTCGATAAGATTTCACATCTCCTAACATCTTGTTAATAATGTCCTGGTTGTATACTTGGTTCTACACCCAAGATATTAGAGAATAAGGACGCTTACACTTATTTATTAAATCAGCATAACACGCACCATAAGATGCTTAGAGGAACGGAACAAACTTCGACACGTAACACTAGACATATAGCACAACCATTTATTAGGGACGTTACTCGACAAGGCATTATTAGCCATCATCAACACATTGTCACCAATGGAGTCGTTCCGGAAAAATATTCCAGAGATGTAACTAATGGAATACGCTCTTATTATGTGTGCTGGGCAGTTTTAGTGGCCAGGGATCTTTCAGAAACCATATAACTTATTTTGCCTGATCAATTTTTTGACTTGGCATTATATTATATTAACTTGTTTTATAAAGTACCACGAAACACACATTCTAGTCAGACGAGTTCCCTCTAAAAAACTGCCTCAGTTGAAAAGTACGAAACGTTTATTATTATTAGAAAAAAAAACTCTTTTTTTTAATACAGATTCAATTTTAAATATTTATGATGTAGTCAATATCTTAATATATACGGAAGAAGCATCAGCAACCAAAGTTTCCAATTTTTGACAATTTCACCGTGATTTCAAATCAAAATGCCGGTCAATGCATACCGGGGTTCATTCCCCACGTTGTCCGCCATGGTTAAAAGAGAAGATGAAAACAGAAGAGCTAGTATGAGAGCAGAAGCAAAATTAACTCAAGAATTTTTACAACCAGGGGGAATTGATGGAGCAAAAAAGTGAGTGTAAACATACGTTTATTTTTTAAATTTATTTTTAAGTAGATGTACAAACTTGTGATTTGCGTCTATTTTTGTTAACAATTATCTACTCAGTGGTGGGATTCGAAGGAATCGCACGGGTTCGAGCGAAAGAGGATCTGTTCTCAAGGTTTTAAATCATCAATCAGTAATTTTTTTTTTCACCATTCTTATAATACACTCTGTATGAAAAAAAAAATGAAAAAAAAACGCAAAAATGTCATTTTCCGAATTGAAAGGTGACGCGCAATACTCATTAACGAGCAGCGACACCCTTGATTAAGTCCAACAGAAATTAATACGGAAAAAATCAAAAAGTCAAACATTGTTTTATTAGAAAAAGTTTACAGCGAAAAAAAAAACGCTACGTACAAAAATACAACTCCAAGCGTCAAATAAGGTAACCATAGTAACGGCATTCCAATGACACAGAATATACCGTATCGAATTAATCATGTAGCAAATTATACATCCTATGAATATCAATACCTATGAATGAAAAGCCAATCTACCAATGGTTCCCCCAAATTTGACAATATCACTTACGTTAAATTTTATCCAATCAACAAAAAGACAACTCTTTGAAATATGAATAAATTTAATAAAGTTTAAAAAGGGGAAATACTGACAAAAAATTACTTTAGAAAAAATTAAGTACTCGATCTAGCCCAGACATAGGTATGGCATAAAATACAGTGGAAATTATTTTTGTTACCGCGTGCGGTAGGGTGAACTTTGGGAGTGGCTGACAATTAGTCAATCAATTCTTACAAGGAGAAACGAGTGAAAGTAGAAAAAATTCCGTATATTATAAATCACGTTCTTCTTTTTTGAAAATAGTGTTTACGTAATTTTATTTTCACCAAATAACATAAAATTCAAAAACAAAGTTTAAACTTGACGATGGCTCCTAAATCATAGGTTACCAAAGGGTTTATTCTCGGACGTATTACTTAGTATTTTTTTCGCCGAACCGACTACAACCTGAGAAAAGCATCTTCTTTTCTTGTTACTTTAGTTATTACTTTAGCATGGTGCTTCATAATCACGCCAGCAAATCGTTGGCGGTCATGATATATTTAAATGTACAAGAATCAAGTTAGTAATATTACCGCCATCCTTGTTTTTGTTGCCCTATTCAAAATCTCGCCTTAGTGACGTCCGCCACAAATGAACGATTAATAATCTAATCTAAAAATACTAATTTAGATTTCCAATTAATATTCAATCTCAGTAATATGCAGGGAAGATTTAAATTTGTGAAGTAATTACCATGTTTCTTTTACATATCTACTTAATCCTCTAATAGTGTGTTTTTGCGCAGCTGACTTATTACATTGAAGTTTTAAAGGATTTTGTTTTGTAGCCTCTCTACGGGTTCTTGACAACAAAAGGCTAAGAATATGAACAAACAACCCGCTTATTCATGAGAGGCATTTTATGAGCGGAAATATCAACAAAAGATTTATAGTTTATAAAAACAGTAAATTATTCTGAATTCGAAAGTTATTGTGATAACTTGTTAAAATATAATATTTTAATTTTGATGAAAGGGTAAACAATGCCGTAGAAAAAGAAGATTCGTGTAAATCCAGTATTCTGAGTGGATTGAGATGTTCTACACAAAAAATCGAAATATAATAGTTTATCAATTAACAGCACAATTTTGATATAATTTTTGCATTTCATAGAAGGGTAAAATTGTAAATTTTATGTCAGAAACTTTTGCTTGTGGCTAACTGGGAGTAATATATAGGTATATGGCAGTTATACATTTTCATTTAATTATTCTTGACGAAGAATGGATATAGACTGAGAGGAAATTGAACATGTGCAGATTTAATGTTAGAAAGAATATTAAGTAGTAGCGGGGCCGTGCAATAGGTCATAATGGACAGTTACTTGTATGCATTGCTACTAAGATATCTAGTTTAAATAGAACTTTTGGGTTTACGACTTTCTTTATTCTATATCAATATACTCTATTGGCGCTCCAGAAGTATGTTCACCAATATAGGGTAGCTAATTTTGTTCGCCTTTTTTACATCAAGTTGTGTAAAGCGACTGAAACCTATGGGCAGGGAGTATATTTACTTGGCTAACACAGACAGTCCCTGAACTCGTAATAAAACTAAAATGAGGAAAATCGGAATAAAATTATGGTCTAACCCTAACCTAGTACACATACTACGGAAGTACTCTCCAACTGTCGTCTTCTATTTATTTCAGACATAGTTTATCAGTCCACAGACGAGAGCGTGAGCAAGTGCGACAAGAACTTGAGAATATAAAATCATCGTTCAATAGAAATAGCATAATTATGATGCAAAATCCAGGTAAGCAAACATTAAATATAATTTTATTGGAATAAGAAACAGTTTGCCCAATAAACGAGCTCATAAGAAACATTGTATTGATATATCTGAATTTGAATTGTCGAATGGCTTTTATATGTTATGTTTTTCAATTCTTATACTGTCAGGAATGATTGGTGCCCCATTATGCCTTGATTTTTATTCAAAGTCGCTGTTTGTTGCCATATGTCAAGTCTGATTGACGTTTGAATAGATGGGCATTCCTTTTGAATGAATATCGTCTCAATGATTCATTTTCAGATTTTAAATGAATATAAATGATAAAAGATATCTGGTATATATACATAATCTAATTGAAATACTCAAAATGATACAAATCTATGGCAAACAATGATTGCCATGTTTATAACATTTGCCATATATATCAGCAAATATAAGAAGTATAATTTTTTTTTCTTTTGCAGATAACATGAAATATCTGAATCCTCAACTTGCTGAAGATTTGGAAGAACAAGAATTTATAAATGCGCAGAATCAACAAAACAATCGGAGAAGTGGGATCCCAAAAAGTGCGATCACATTTTTTTAAATATGTCAATATCAATACAAAAATGGAAAGGGAGCAAATTGCTGATTACATTTCGAAAGAATAGAGAGTAACATCAAACACTTAAGTCTTTATATTTAACATTTTACCCTGAAATAATATGTATATTCATGTGTGTTCCTGTATGAGTGACTTTCATATTTCCACCCAGCAAAATTGATCGCTTATGCTGACCATACAAACTTTTCTGTATTAGAAGTTGGTTAACGATAGCCAAACAGCAACATCTATGTTGATTGATTGTCCATTTTGATTGACAAGCGTAGCATTCCGACACGATCAGTCAGATTGATAGATACTCCCGTAGTGTGTAAACCAGGTTAAGGTTAGGCCATAATTTTATTCCGATTTTCCTTATTTTGGGTATATACATTACGAGTTCAGGGTCTGTCTGTGTTAGCCAAGTAAATATACGTCTCTTTACACAACTTGATGTAAAGTAGGCGAACGAAATTATTTACCTCCAATCCTCCATATTGGTACACACACTTCTGGAGCGATGATATGCTTGTCAGTGAATACATGAATCCTGAGCATTTCATCCAAATTTCTTTTCTAGATTACGGTCGTAATTATTTCGGATACAAGAGTCAACCAGGAAGCAATCAACCTCAGTTCCAACATATGAAAGCAATAAAGGACAAATACAGCCATGTCAAGTATGTTACAACTTAACCTTTATGCTTTCATGCTCTTGCGCCCTCACAGTCCTAGATGGGATTACGAGGAAGAATGGCCGAGCGGTCTAGGGCTCTGCGTACAGGTCGCAGTCTTCGATGCAGGCGTGAGTGGGTTCGAGCTCCGCTTCTGTCATCATCATTTATCGCGTTATGCAAATCACTTACCTCATTCTACTTGATACATAGTAAAAAAAACTTGCTGAAACGTGAAAGCAATGCTCGAATATTTGGACACAAAGATCACACATAAGTGTGTTATATCGAGTCATGTTTTCATGCTCATTTGCATGTATTTCTGCGCCCTCACAGTCCTGAGCATTATTTATCGCGTTCTGCAAATCACGTACCTCATTCTACTTGATACATAGTGAAAAAAACTTTGCTGAAAGAAGAAAGCAATGCACGAATATTTGGGCACGAAGATCACACATGAGTGTGCGGTATCGAGTCCAATAGGACCTAAACAAAATGCGAAAAAAATTGGTGGCGTGTTCCTTCTTCAGTCATTGACAATTTGAACCGATTGGCCCATTAGTCACTGAGGAAAGTGATTTTTCCCAATAATATAAACATTTAGCAAGAAGATCCATTAGTGCATTTCGTTCCCAATAAGAACGTTCTTACTTTTTACTGTTTTAGAAATTACTACGAATATAAAGGACCAAAAATGATGGATAAAAAAACTCGAGAAAAATTGTCAAAACAAAAACAAGAAAATATGAGCGTGCAAGAGAGAGTGAAATCATTTTCTCTTCCGGAGAAACCAAGAAACGGTAAGATGACTAGAGCCAACGCGGAGTAAATTCTTCCCATTGCAAATATTGGATTACTTATCTGTTATGTAGATCGTCCGTGGGCAATCTCCATGGGCAATCTGATCTCAAATTTCGCCTATCGTAAATGCTTGTCGAAAATTACGTTGGCCCAATAAATTGTGAATTATTGTCCGCATGACTGTATAAACCTTCATATATTAACTAATATCTCCTTGTGCTTGCTTTTTTCCCATTCATGTTCCTGTGCTTCTTATATGATATATATTTGCTTATGCTTCTTCCTTAATACATTTAATAAATATAGTAAGTGCAAACTTAATAAACTCATAAATTTTAGCACAAATAGTTGGTTACCAAGCACTATCAGATGACACAAATAAAACGGCAGTGAAGCAAACAAATGATGAAGAAATTCAAAAGCCATCCATAGTTACAGAAGAGGTAAAAGACATTGTTTGTACGCTGTTAAAGTTGGCCACTATCTTGTTTGAACTACTGAAAAATCACGTCGATGATGTTTTATATGAAATATTTGGCGCTCCCGTAGTATGTACACCAAGATGGCGGACAGGTTAGGGTTAGGACATAATTTTATTTTAATTTTCCCTATTTTAGTTCTATTACGAGTTCGGGGACTAGCAAAGTGACTTCCGTAATGTTTGTACCTGGAATTATGGCCTAGCCCTACCTGGTACACATATTACGTTTCGGTGTCCGCCATCTTGGTTCACATACTACATTAGTACCAAATATTTTTACCCATTTCAGTTGAAACAACATGAAAATATTGAATACCCTCAAACGTAGTTTGATAGAACTTTTGAATTAGGCTTAATATTAGAGATTTAACGCCGAGTGGAAAGGCTAAAATATTGCTAGGATGTCATGAATAAAAATATTTTTTTTTCATGTTTTTTTTCGTCAAAATCTATCTTTACAAATCTATCTCTATAAGCATAAACGCGAAGAAACTCAGGTATTGGTTGCTGGTCTTGCTCGGGCAAAAAAATCATCTAAGAACACAACAACAGAAGTTGGAAACTCTGCAGAAGAAAAACCGTCGCGAGAAAGCTACACTCTTCCAGGTTTAAGAGAAGATGAAGTAGGAGAAATTTCTCTTCCACCATCAGCAACGGTATTGATAGTCAAAAAATTATATTCTAGCTGCTCAAGCTGGGCATTGCAAATCGAATCGAATATTGAAGTATGCAAAATCGTCGCCATATATTTTGTCCGGCATAGGTCGAAGTGAATCCATCTATATTTTTTTTATTGAAGCATATTTTTAAAATGCAATTCTGACGTATGACTCTCTTCTTCTTGTTGAATTTTTGAAAAAAAAATTTATGTTTTTTCATTGTGTATGAACACTTAGCGAACTGTCTGAGTGATAATTTCTATCTTTTTAGTTTTTTATGTGCCTTGAGGGGCCATTACAATACAATGTCGCATACAATTACATATTCGAGATTGGATTCGAAAAAATATTCGATTTGATTCTGAAATCCCAGTCTTTCTGCTCAGTAGCGACATATATTGGACAGCAGGTCGGCTTCCGCTTTGAAAATTTATTTGCTTTGCTATATTTATTTTTTCTAGTATTCGGTGGGCCATTATATTGCTTTGCTCTCAAACAGCTGAAGTAATAGATGTCAGCGTTACAAAATCATTGAATGAAAGTATACCCTGGACCCCAAAATCATATGAATTTTATATATTCCTTGTTTTAATGTTTTAGCCATCTCGAAGAATGAGTCGCATCCGACCTTCCTCGCCTGTGGGATCATATCGTAACTTCGATTCGGGTTCAGTGATAGGCTCAACAATGTCTCTCCCGCCTTACAGAACTTCGAAACCTAAAACTGCGCTTGATCTCGTATTTGATGCGGATACCTACGCTCCAGATGGAAGGTATGTTGTGAATTGAGAGTTTAGATTGGGAAATCTTCATTTGAATATCTGCCATCTGTTTATGGAGTATATTGGGCTGATTTTAATGCCGCTTAATATAGTGGGAAAGTATGTGAAGAGTACAGTTTTAAAGGGTAGTCTACATAAAGAGTAGCCTACAGTTTTGTTGTGGGGTTGGAAGGTCCCGAACAAAAATGCAAAATAAAAATTTGTGAAAAATCCAATGTGTGTATATAATATATAATCTCAACTGTCGTGACATATAGTAGTCGCAAGTGCATTCAGATTTGACAGAGACAGGTATTGTTCTATAAATTACTTAGGAGAATTGAGTTAAATACTAAATCAAAGATGCTGATAAAAAGTTTTACAGGAGTGTACGGTATATCTCCAACACTCTAATAAAGTGAGTTCGACGCTCTTGGGCGATGCTCAACAATCCTATTGACAATGTAATACGTCAGAATGACGTCAAATAATGTAAAGAATACCACAATATTTTATTAAAAATCATTTCTGTAACAGGTTACGGACTGTTCACTGTTTACCAAACGTTGACAAAGCTTACAAAGAAGCAAGACAAGCAAGATACGTCAGAACTAAATACAAAAGGGAAATCGACAGAGAACTTACTGTCAGCGAAATATTTAGACGATAAACAGTGTCTGCAAACAACAACACCACGCTAATAAGCCATATATTATATATTTTCTATATCTGTCACCATTTATAGCTTTCTTTGCGACATGAACAATATAGCTATACGAGGAGGGCCATATATATAATAATCAGCCACACCTGTAAGCCAAATTTAAATTTCACAATGACACAGAACCTTCAGATTAGTTCGAGACGTTGAGATCCTTTTTAAATTCAATTTTTAATATGATTAGATTATACAACCACGATTGTTTGAGATGAGTATTATTGATAGTATGCTATAATATTCTCAATAATGGGGATGGAGTATGGGAGTTGAAATATCAGGAAATTAAAGATTGCTTAGGGCAACTGACAAGTAAAAACACTTTTGTGATATATATATATGTATCGATATGTATATTATGAATGCCATATGAAATATGAGGTTCCTATTTAAACATATCGCCAAGTAGCCCATCATAACTAAGAGCCCAAAACGCTTGGTAATTATTGGCGATAACGGTTTGGTATTCATTTTAGTTTTGTCGTACCTGATTGCCTAAAAATCGTATTGTAGAGCATAAACCATTTGCATAGTGAATATTTTTTATTGCGTACAAGGCAAATTTTGTTTTCGTTTTTGTGGAGTAGTTTTTGCTATTTTTATATCTTTCACTCAACAAATTCTATTTAATAAAGTCTAATGATACTTGACACATCTTCACCAAAAGAACAAAATTGATATGTTCGACCACGAAAATTTCTTTTATTGTAATAAATATTTTTATGTTGCTTTGATTGGATTTCCTTCGACCTTGGTCTTTGATATTCCATTTATATTAAACTAAAATATTACTCAGAACTCGGATATCAGTTCTCAATATTGAAATATATTATAAAAGTGGTGGAAATCTAAGGTATTGATCGACGTTCAATATAGTAAGAAAAAGGGGCGCTCCAGAAGTGTGTGTACAAATATGGAGGTAACTAAATTTGTTCGCCTACTTTACATCAAGTTGTTTAAAGGAACTGAAACCTGTGGGCAGGGGGTATATTCACTTGGCCAACACAGACAGACTCGAAACTCGTAATGGATCTAAAATGAGTAATTTTCTTTTGTCCAGATTTTATTCTTGTACTAACCTTACACAATACTTCTTCGAAAAAAATGTATCACGATTGAAAAGGTAACAAGGTTAGTTCGCGTTAGGTTTCAAACCTAATTGCCGGATATCCTAACAGTGACATAATAATAAAGAAACGATTGTATTGCACTGAAAGAATATTAAGCATAAAATATAAAACTGATATTGTAAAAAATAATTATTAAAGTCGGTCGGCAAATTAAAATTGGTTATGTAAGCCAAATTCATGAGTCCCATAAAACAAATGACTTTGAAAGCCTTCACAATATGAGCATTCCCCACTTTATTCTATGAAATAAATATACCTTCGTAATTTTATTTGAAAATCGCTCATATGCACTACACTTTTTAGAAGGTATTGTTTCTTTAGAATTATTCGTTTTTCAAAAATGTTATAATTTAGTGTCAAATCTTATTTGTTGTAAAAAAATAACAGAAAATCCAGATTCGAGAATTAAGCTACTTTTTCTGTTCACCTAGAAGTACGTCATTAAATAGGTAAATACATTTTCCACCGCGTTTTGTTGTAAAATATTTCCATTCAATATTTACTATTATTTCCATAACATTTGTCCGCATTGAAGCACGCTATTCGATTCCGGGTCGGAACTGTTTGGTATTTTCAATTCAAGGAATAAATATAGCGAAGAAATTTTATGCAAATTCGTGTCAACAAAATACTAAGAATGTTAGTAACGTAGTATTCCGAATTATTAACCGTTAAATTGCTTACCACGTTTACCGGCACATAGTGCTGAATGTATACTGTAACGAAACGTGATTTATATAGCAGCCGGCAAATAACACCGGAACAGACATGATTCTGATTTGTCAATAGTTAGCATAAAAACTATGACACACAAAATGCTCTGACATAAAAGGCCAAAGGTCCAAAACTTTATATTCATTATTTTCAGTTTCGGTAATCGAATCGACAATGTGCAGGGGATAATAAGATATCGGAATGTAACAGATTGGACTGCCGATCGTGCATTAGATTTTTAAGTCACTGTCTCCGAAGTTATTGGAGGAAGAAAAAAAATTCCTACGCTGATATTTGTGTTGCATTTTGATTAATTCGTTCGAATAGTTTCTATGTGATTTTTTTGCTAATTTTTTAATTTTCGGAGCTCTCCCGTGTGTCATTGTCAGTATATTTTTGTCGTAACACTCGTAACATCTGAACATTAAATTCTGCCATCCTTCGAGATTTTCAGGTGAAAATCTCCCTAATTTGGAAAATAAGTACGAATCTATTTATCTATAAGTGGTATCTATTTACCGAAAGTGATTTCATGGGTGACTTTCACTACATGGGCAGTTCCTTCACGTTAAATCCATTATTGGACAATTAGAATTTCCTTGAATTATTTTTCCGCAAGTGACGTTCTCACATCAGTACTCTCGCAACTTCTGACGTCAATCGGTGACTTTAATCGATATAACACGTGACGCAAGAAAGGACGTCATGGTCTCAACGTACGGTTGTTTTATTTCAGTTTAGTTTAGAACGTTTACTTAACAGAGACGAAATAACTTTCCCAGTTTTGCAACAGGACCAAGAATTTATTGTTGTCGCTCTGCTACAATTTTTCAAAAATTCCGTTCACCAAGTCATCAAGTCATGTCACGCAGTTGAAGATTCTCGGAATTCCTTCCAACGTTACATGAGTTGTACACCGACTTTTGCTAAACGAAACTGCACGACTCTGCATGGTATACTATGACTGATATGAGAGCAATATATATATATGTGTATAAAACAACATAACTTCTCTAATTAAGTACATGTATCTTCAATGACAAACTAGCTAGCTATTCTTATATCTGATCTTAAATGTAGTGTCTATACATGACAAGCTGTGGTGTTCGCCATATGATTAAGCCGACCTGGCGGATTCCATTTCGTTCCATTTCTGCACATTCAATGAGATAAAACGAAAAATTTAATTACAATTACAATAACTACGAATATACATTTTGAGCAAAGCCAATATCAAAGATGGGAACGGAAATTGTAAAACTGTCCATTGTTCAGTTATTAGGACATTAACTTAAAATCTGTGGTGTGATAATACAGAACCCACGGGCTTGGTATTGAATATTCACTGTTCAATTTACGTAAACGTGCATTTTTAAATAACGTGTGAAAGTATTTTCTTTCAAAAAAATGACCAAAATCACGGTATTCACCATGTTACGAATATCCAATCGATTAGCGAATTAGTTTTGCCATACTTGGAATGAGTAAGGAATCGATGCTAAAATAAACTCGATTCAACCATTTTGTCCTCATTCGGTGGAATCACTGGTAACCACGAGAAAACAGTTTTACTTGAATATATATATATATATAGAATACTTTCACTACTCATTCAGAATGTCTAGTGCCTTATCGCAACGGACATTCAATATAACTTAATAAAATGAAAATCTTAAAAAAGGTTCGACTCAGTTTCATGCAGTGAGAATGCCTGTCTTTTCATAGAAGAAGGCGAGCGCTAGATCTAAACAAAATATCAATAGTAACTCAGATTAGTTTATAAAAAAATTGAGTTTGACAATGGAGTTATTGGTGAAATACAGCTGTAAAATTAGTAGGGAAGTTAGATGAAATCGCTTTCAGATAAAACTTGTTTTCCTAGGAAATTTTTTCCCGGCCAATCGAAGCATAATATAGAGATAATGTATACCGGTATTTGAGGTACTGGTACAAAAATAGAAATAATGAACAGCAAAATGCAATATTAAGTAAGCAGTATGTATAATAAAAACAGGATTCCTAGTTATAATTTGATCAGGTTTAGGTGCGGAAACTGGAATAAGTTTGCGCTACTCGAAACATTTAGGACAAAAGTATTCATATTATATTTTAGAAAACGATTTCACTCAATAAAATCGAATGATTAAAAATCATCATTATCAAAGTTATAACCAATATATACTCAGGTTTTTTCTACGTGGTGATCGTTATCTCCTGAAGGCTACAATTATACTTTTGAAAACGAGTAATATAACATTATGTTACGTGATACACTGAACATCAATATCTTAAACCTTCATCATAAGTTAATAAAAATTAATGCCTTGGGCAGTTTTGCGTTTTTTGAGATGTCAAAGTCAATCAAATATATATGGTTATCTGACATTTAATTTCATTTGAACATAGATTATTACTTTTACTTAATAAGATTAAATCAAAAAATAAACATTGAAAGCACGATAGTAATATATATTCTGTGTGGTTTAATTTAAACTAAAGTGTACTGAAGAGTAACTGTACTAAAGCAAATCAAGGAGTAGGGACCCAACTGCTCGGTCAGATTGAAGCTAGCTTCGTCAACTTCGAGAAAGTCATTTACATGTGAGAGAACTAGTTTGAATTAGAAAAAACTTTATACACGGGAGTATCATTCGCATGTAATTCAGTCAGTTAATCATTTATTCTTCCCCACAAAAAAACAAGTGTACAAAAAACGTGTAATGTAACTCTTGCGTTCAGAAGAACATTAAAATATAGGACCTCATGAAGTATGCGCACCAAGATGGTGCATAACCTGCACTCAGGTTGTGTACCAGGTTAGGGTTCAGGTTATGCGACATATTGGTGCGCATACTTCAGGAGCACCAAAATATATCCCCTCTTCACCGACACATATCTGTATATATTTTTGAACTTCATGTTACGTTTACGGGGAGCGGTTTTTCAGTTTAAAGACATAATTTGTAATTGGTCATGTTATTCCAAGGAGGTTCGAGGAATATGGATCTCTAGATGCTGAGAAGAGCGACGCTTAGGTGGTTGCGTCTAAAAATTGATAAAATAAATTTGTTTGCAATTTTTCGATGCACAGATATACATGAACACCAATGCATACTTAGCTAAGGTGTATAATTTTAAGCTAGATAAGTTTGTCAATTTCCCTATAGGCCTATGTTAATATTTGTGACTTCTTAATTCAAACGTCACAGATATTATAGTAACTAAATATTCCAAAAGATTTTATAGATCAACATGACCGAGCTTTCCGAACGAACTCGCATCTTGATGTATGATGACATCACAAATAACCAAACCGAAGTACCTGATGATTCAAATAAGACGATTATTACCACGCCACCAGATGACGTAACAACATTCGATGAATCAAAAATATATTCCGAATGGTTGATTTGCGAAGCGATGACAATATTTTTAGCGATCATTCTTGCGTATGTGTTGATATCTCTTATCATTTACCATATACGGCGAAAGAGAGGGGTTCTACCAATCAAAGACAAAACCAGAATACGAAATCAACGTTACTACACTGCTTTAAATGGATTGACGATAGCTGGTATCGGATTTGCATTTATTCGAGTATTTTGTGATATCGACGCTATATGGGGAAGAAGTTCCGAATTGAATTGCAACTACATGAAAAAACCAAAAATATTATTTGCATTTCTAGCATTTGGCTTCGTTTGTTTCAACTATTGGCTGAGACAAAGGATAATCTACGGCAACGAACAACTTAAACATCTCGGTAACAAGTTTACAAGAATAATTAGTCCTGTTTTTCTTATCATCATCGCAATATTTTATCTCGCAGACCTTGGTTTATTTCTAATAAAAGATCAGAACTACCGTCCTTTACCGCCATACGGATGCTCAGAATCAAAAGAACTGTTACCGTTTTATATTGTTGCTTTTACGTCTGTGTCGGCACAAATTATTCTTGTGGTTCTGCTTGTTTACCCGATCATCAAAAGTCGGAAAAAGCTACCTGGCAGTTTTAAACGTAAACAATGTAAGCTAAGAGATTTGCTTTACAGGGCATTTGCAACTTGCTTGACTGGTGTGGTGTTCAACATCACGGGTTTGATTGTTTTACGATTCATTCCCACTCAAGTTGACGACATAGGAATGTTGATTGTTGATATTAACTTAACCATACTTGGACTTTGCATGGTTCTGTCTTTCGCTGACTGGAAAAAAATGTTGTTTCCGTGCTCGATATCGAAAAAGATAAAATCATCAAATTCTATCAGCGTGACGTCAGTACCTATGATGAGTCCTCAAACACATAGCTAGCAGTGAAATGTAGTTTTGAAGATGAAAAGAAAAGTATATAATATTGATTGACTGCTGACAACCATGAAACAAACGATTTAATGATTGGTACATTAAACGCCATATGAAGTAATCTTATCGAGTTTTTGGTGCAGAGATTATGACACTTCAAAAAAGTGGTAACAAGAAACGTAATTATTATAATATTTTATTTTCTAATTCTTATATAATAGTTTCTGATAACACTTTTACAGCAGAACAATATACTGTGAAATTATTAAAATATTTTCTAGCATATCTCTTGATGTTGCAATTTTCAATACTTTGTTAAGCGTAAAACGATAGAGAGTTCACGATCAAGGTTTACGCAAGTTTACAATCAAAGTTTTCAAAAAATCGCATAATTTTCAATCGAATCCTGGAATACAATCAAATTACAGTATATATTCCTGGTCAATGTATCCACATGAAACAAAAGAACAAAATTCTTCAAAATGGTACGTTCCGAATCATAAAATATTCATCAATTTTGAACGTTATGTATCACTGGATAAACTTCTTATTTTTCAACTTCTTCACATTTCAATAAATATATTTGTAAAAGCGCTTGCTTCAATGAATTTTATGCTTGTGTATTTTTAGATATTTGTATGGAGCTTTATGGTATCTTGCAAATGTATATAGGGTTGTTTTGCGTGGGTATTTCAGTCATAATTAGTCTCTTATTTCCCTATTAGGACTTCGGCAGTACGTGGTTCAATTGCGTGGCAGCGTGTAGTTATTTTTGTAAATGCATTGAATGTTCAATTCACGTTTAGACTACGTGAGTCGCGTACCGTTCGCCGTATCCCACACCAAGCTGCTGCCGCGTTCAACAAATACGCATCACAGTAAGTATATAAACAGTGCAAAATCTACCAGCACATTTGCAAACGTCGGTATTGTCACAATGAAATGAAACAATACGACTGAAATCGGCAAAACAATACAAGAGTTTCGAAGTAGAAGATAATTTGTACGTTGTTGTTTGCTTGCGATTTTGTTGCAAGCATTTATAAAAAAGTATTACCGTTTCCCCCCGAAAATAAGCCAAGGTCCTATTTCAATTTTCTTCCGAAAATAACACTAGGGCCTATTTTGGGGGGATGTCTTTTATTTTCATTCGTCAAAAACAAAGTTACAAAGTGGAGAATCACGAGATTTTTAAATATACAAAATATGAAAACCGATATCCATTTACTTATAAAAAAACACGTTTCTATTTCAATATTAATCATTTGAAACGTGTAGAAAATATTTTTTGCTATCGACTAGGTCAAAAATAAATTTCTTGCTATTGACTAGGTTTCTTAAGAAGAGGGCTTGTATTAATAGAGGCAGTATTCTTTTAGTTTAATATAATGGCAAAAGCGTGATGTAGAAAAATGTATTAACCAGCTGAGTTTTCCTTATTATGTATTCATACCCGTTTATGGTCATTGCTAGTATGAATTATGAAAATGGCGCACTTTAAATTTGAAATAATTTTCCAACTCCAGTTTAATGCTACCATTTTTTTGTTGCAATGACAAGCTTTTCACGGGTTTTAGTATGTTAGAAGTGAAACATTTATTTTAAAAAATGACTCAGTTTGGTCTCCTGCAATAAGTCATGATGACAGTTCAACGTGTTCGGCATGTAAGCTAAATATATACGATTGTAAATAGAAAAAAAAAGAATATATTTCACAGTTTTGTGAAGACGCATGACAAAGGAATCAGAAGTATGATTTTAAACATATTGTGAGTGGAATATAAACTGGTAAAATTGAAACAACTGCATTCATATTACGTTGTTTACTTGTGTTGTCAACATGGTTGCCAACACAATCTTCATAAACTATTTACCAATCCAATCCAGCGATATATCTCTCTCCACTATATATATACATAGTTAAGAGTGGCGTGCATTATAAGAATATCACACTCAGTTAGTGGCGGAGTATTTTATATTTGTGAGTTTTATCAATATTCCAGGTCAATTTCGACGAAGAAATAACCCCGTTTCCGGATATTCTTATCAAGCTATTCATCGGTTCCCGTACATTTGAACCCACGACAATTGCACCTGTATACTATTACACCTATGGAATTTTTTGTTTTGCGGATATTTGAACGCATACTAACCCTAACGCACGGATATACACAATGTACGGTCACCCTATTCATCATCGGCGTAGGGTTAGAAGGAATGGTGATCGTACATTTGAACCCATGTGTATATCCGCGGGTTCAATCTATATGCGGGTCCTAAAACCCACAAGTTAAGGTTAGTATGGGTTCAAATATTCGTAAAAGAAAAAAAATTCTTAGGGGGCAAAAGTATGCAGGCGCTATCGTCGTGGGTTCAAATGTAATGGAACCGAAGGAATCCACGAACAATTTGATTACGAAACGAGACTTTGATCGGCACAAATATTTTTATGAGAGCATCGTTTGATCTGGAGGATTTACTATGTTCGAACGTAAGATAAAATTAAATTAGTTCATCTCAAAAAAATTACTTTACGTTGAATTGAATTCTATGCACGCAATTGCCAGTTTTCATGGCCTTATTTTCGGTATTCCAATTGATTAGATGCTCTGATATCAGTCCCTGGTCACCCTAACGGAAGATATTGCAGTAGTACTCGTGTCAAAATGGGGGCTCCCGAAGTATGCGAACCAAGATGGCGGACATGGGAATGAAATATGTGTACTAGGTTATGGTTAGGCCATAATTTTAGGTATAAATACTACGGGAGGCTCTTGGCTAGTCTTCGAACTGATAATAGGACTAAAATAAGGAAAATTGGAATAAAATTATGGTCTAACCCTAACCTGTTACCCATGTCACGTTCCGATGTCCGCCATCTTGGTTCGCATACTTCGGGAGCACCTCAAAATGAGTCGTCTCAAACGTCCACCGAGTCTGGTTATCCAATCTTAAAGAAATTTTCTGAATAAATCCCGCATCGTTTTTTTTTTAGACTGATTTGAACTCATGCGATCACTTTTAAATGGCTCTTCGAGACCTCTTCTACAAGGCTATTTCTAACAGACCACCATCGGGTCCATTCAACTTCACAATTAAGCAAGAGGATACAAAAATCCTTTTATTAATTTGACGCTTCGGAGATAGTCTTACTCAAGAAAAAGCCAACTACGAACTAGGAGTAAATGTTCAAGTCGTCGCCCAACTTTAAGCGGCGCTCCCGAAGTATGTGTACCAGGCTAGGCTGTGCGTAATATTGGTACGAATAACCCCGGAGCGCCTTCGAACCTAAATACCAACCTTTGATCAGAGATTCTACTTCACCCGAACTTGAAACTTCAAACACTCATGGAACACCAGAGAGCTATACGGTGACAAATAACGTTTTTCTTTAATGTTGCATTAGTCGCAACAAAATCCCCGGCTTCAATAAATAGACCATATTACGGTGACGAATTAAGATTTTTCGGACACTAACAAATTTTTCAGTGCGATTTTCTAGTCCAGTGTTCACATATGCGGCAAATTACGAGCAATCTGACAAAATTGCAAGTGCAGTTTTAAGTATTTTGTGGCGTCCGAAGAACCATTGCGACTGGCTCTTTAGCTGTCACAAACCAATGGCGGGTGAAATTTTGCTGCCGTAACCACGGCATGTCGGCAGGGCTGCCCCTGACGGTGACAATTATTGGGTAAGTTATTATGGATACAGTTTTGGGGTTAGGTTTCAGTAGATATAATTGATAAACTAAAATCTGGGTTCCATTACGTTTGAACCTATGACGATTGCACCTATGGAAATTTTTTTTGTTTTACGGATATTTGAACCCATACTGAACCTAAACCGCGGATATACACATGGGTTCAAATGTACGGTCACCAAAATCTGGTACATGACTTTGTGATTATACCAGTAATAGCGCCATAACCCATGGCAATAGCCGCCATCGCCACTCCAAAAAGGATTAAATGAAGTGTTAATAGTTAAATAACCTCATTTTCAAGACACTCGCTCTAAAAAAAAACGGGATTCGTTCAGCGCATTATTTATTAGGAAACTTCCACTGAATAACAATGCAAAGCTTCCATTTTTATCCCTCTTGTTGCTTAGCACGCAAGAATGATGCTTTCTTCTGTTTAACACGATCTCTGCGCTGGGAGAATGTCATCTTCTTGCGATTCCATCTGAAATAAATTTTAGAATTTTTATATCAAACTTTTCATTTATGAGCTGCTGTCTATTCACGATTGAATGGTCAAATGATGAAATTGGCTAATTTATCGTAACAGAAAGATTTCATCGTACCACAGAAAGTCTAGAATTCTTAAACAACATTACAAGCCAAAGCCAGTATTTATTTTTTGTTACTTTGTAGGTCCGATTGAGGATAGAACCACAGTAGTAATACTTATGGCACCGAAGACATAGCAGACCAAAGTTCAGTTTACCTCCCATTAAAATCTTGACAACACACAATACCAATGCAGTCAAGTCAAGAGTTAGAGGAATCAAAATGAAATCAAACAAGAGTGAAAGACATCAATAGCAAAAAAAATTGGTTAATATAGAGCTAAGATTCTCAAACTTTTAAGCCACCCCCCTTTTTAGAAAGTATAGTCTTATTCCAAAAAACTTGTCGAAAGCAAGTGGATGGAACGTAAACAACGAGTATGGGCCCTCCTTGTGGAGCGGGCCCCACAATTTGAAAAACACAGATAGTTGCATGCAACGTTCAAAAATATACATAAATAGCATTTGGGAGTATATCTTGAGAGTTATTTTAATTGTATTGAAAAACAGTCAAAATAATATACGAGGCAATTCAACCAGACAGCATACCTCTTAGTCTTTCCAGCAAAGTCAGTCTTCTTCTTAGGAGTAGGATCCTCCCTGATAGCAGCATGAGCTTTTGTGTACATTTCTTCAACAGTATCTGCCGTTACGCCATGCTTAATGTACTGAGAGAACTGGGATGAAAAGAAAACTTCAGTTGAATTGAATTGTTTAGACATTTGAAATCAACTCAAGACTGCTGTCTATTCACGATTGAATGGTCATTTGATGAAATTGGTTAATTAGTCAACGATTACCACAGAAAGTCATGCTAGAAACAACATTTACAAGTCGCAAAAGTATTTATTTTTTGTTACTTTGTAGGTCCGATTGAGGATAGAACCACAGTAGTAATACTTATGGCACCGAAGACATAGCAGACCAAAGTTTAGTTTACCTCCCATTAAAATCTTGACAACACACAATACCAATGCAGTCAAGTCAAGAGTTAGAGGAATCAAAATAAAATCATCAAAAGACATCAATAGAAGAGAACAAGTGGTTTTTAATTAATATAGAGCTGTGTTCCTTAAACTTTTGAAGTCGCGACTTATTTAGGCTTGCAGCGACAATACTCAAAAACCTTGTTTTATGTTGTATATTGAAACTTTGTAACATTTTTATTGCTGAAACACACATACTTATATCAAACTTATCCCTGCTAAAATCAATAAAAATTAGTGTTCATATTACTTATATACATACTCCAAATAAAAATTCTACTTCAAAATCGAAAAATACTAGTTCAAGGTACAGATCATCAAAATAAAGATTCAATAGAGAACTAATATCGGTACTCCAAAAGTATGTGAACCAAGATGGCAGACATCTGAACATAGTGTGTGTACCAGGTTAGGGTTAGGCCATAATTTTATTTTAATTTTCCCTATTTTAGTTCTATTACGAGTTCAGGGACTAGCCAAGTGCTCCTGTAGTATTTGTACCTGAAATTATGGCCCAACCCTAACCTGGTACAAATACCAAGTTCCGGTGTCCGCCATCTTGGTTTACATACTCCGGGATTATCCTACTATCAAGTTCTAGTAAAACTATATAATCATGTTTACTCAAAGAATTATTCGATGTTACCTGTCTCTTGAAGGCCTCTTCATCTTCCTCTTCCAATTCTTTCATGTAATTGGAAACATGTCCGCCAAAAATATGGCTTCGATGAACTTCAGCACTGAAATCACCAGACTCGTCATCGTAACCTGTTACAAACCAGATTATAAGAATCAACAAAGAAATTCAAAAACCTGCGACACACGTGCGTTAGCTCACTGAGCTATGGTCTTATCTGTAAATGGTGTAAGCAACAAAACTAGCGACATATGTGCGTAAATGTCAGAGATTTTGATAAATCTAAATGAACATTGTACCATAATTTAAAAACCATCTATAGACGGTAACAGCGCAATAACTGCTTCTTTGCCATTAAAAGAATGGTTTCAATTTCAACTGTACAGTACAACTTTACTGTACCATTATTCACAAATCACTGTATTTATTCAGAAACCAACTTTTTATAATTGTACGCAAGTGACTGACGATCGCCCCACTGACATCTAGTGATGATCGTTAATTAACGAGCAATTTATATAACACACTGGGAAAGGCCGCTCAAGCTCATTATATAAGCAAGCACGGGGCAAAAGTGTGTAAGTTGATGATATCACACGACATGATATGCAATTCAAAAGTCCTGCTGCACACTAACAAATATGTATTTGTTAGTGTGCAGCAGGACCTTTGAATTGCGTAGGATGGTATTTTTATTCCTCTACAGCATTCTTGCATTATACGCATACAGATCCACTAGCGCAAAGGCATTGAGGAAGGATTGGGAGTGAGTCTCGCGCAATCTCTACTGATAAATACATAGCATACTGTTAAAAAAGGAATCCACTCTACCACAAAAACTTACAAGTAGAAGTACTCTTGAATTATTAAATTGTTTAACAAATATAAATCTGATACAAACCAGGAAACCTTTTTGTTGAATGAGGAATATCAAGTCCACCATCGGCAGCTCCTTTCATTGCTCCAAAAACTTTGGCACCAGTGGTGGTACGAGCGAGTCCAACATCTAAGAATGCACGGAAAGCACCAGGTTTTCCATCCACATCCTCGACATAGAATTCGTCTCCATCAATTTCTGTTTGACCTTCATAAATCTCATCCAATCCAAATTTGTTTAGAAGCTGAAAAATGAATTCATTGAGTGAAATAATAGCTGCACCTGAAACTGCAATGAAATACTGTTTCGGAACTGCCACATAATACAATTTTAGGTCGATAACTCTAAATCCAGAGTCTAAGTCCAGCCAGGTGTGGGCAACTCATTGAGAGTTTACTTTCAAACTTGAGAATATTTCAAGTACTAAGTTTTGTAAGCAAGTGACTGACGATCACCACACTGACATCTAGTGAGGATCGTTAATTAACGAGCAATTTATATAACACACTGGGAAAGGCCGCAGATGCTCATTGTTGTAAGCAAACACGGGGCAAAAAAGTGTGTAAGCTATTCCTCCATTTAGGACAACATCTTGACTTAACTAATTTCGAGTATATTCACGACTACAATCATCATTCTCGCTTTCAGAACTGGCTAATCGGGTCCAGGGATACATCAGTCGTAAATTTATTTAAAAAGAAGAGCACTGCTCAATTGTATGGACACGAACTTGCGTCTTTATAATAAAACACTGATATTTCAAGTGATATATCTGTTCCAGTGGAAACGTTAAAAAAATGTATAACAGTAAGCTGTGTCGCAAATTTTCATCTTAACGCACGGAAACGTTCCATATGCACACTTTGTGTCAAGAAAGCAAAGAACTATGTACAGAACGAGTTCATACATAACTATAACAGTAGCCAAACTAGTTAAAGCAAGCAAGCAAAAGCTCATCTAAGCAAATCTTACCCTTCTGCTCAGTAGCAATCCAGTACAATAAGCAGCAGCATAATTCGTCAGCCCAACCTTGACCCCATATCTTGGAAGTTCATGAGCGTATGCAGCACATATCACAACATCTCCTTCAATACGGGCGTACGCTATCTGAAAAAATAGTTTAACATTATTACAAATCGACAATATACTGATAAATGGATCTGTGAGATTTCAAACGGTTTAAAAAATCGCAAAATCTATGCGAGTTTATTCAAATATATTTACAAAATTACGAGGCTGTATTTAACTTAGTTTTCCATAATTTGTTTGTTTAAAGTTTATTGAGTCTTGCACATATATCTGTATATATGTATTTACAATACGCTATGGTTCATACAATCTTAGGAAATAAACATCTGTAAGAAGCAACTCATTTTCATGGTCTGTTGCACAGATAATATTATAAATCAGGAAATTGTTTGCTACACTGGCAACTGGAAACAGTCAATTACTAAAATACCAGCTTTGAGAATATTCAATCAATTACGATTTGAATAGCCATTAACAGATTATAGAATAAATACCTGGCATACAATGTCCTTGTTTGTGAAACGAACAATCATGCGATACTTTGGTGTGTTGTACTTGTTTTTATCTTGTACAACCAATCGTTTACGAGCAAAGTAGTCAGTTTTACCTTGACGTCTACGCTTGTATTTAACTTGGTATCGCTTAAAGTAAGCTTTGTTTTTCACAACTTTTACAAATCCCTGAAAATCAAATGAAACAATTTGTGAACTTCAGAACTCGATTAATTAACTGATTACGGTAAATAACTTTTTGATGAAGGCGAGCAAATGAGACTAGAAATGTCTGGGTCTAGTATAGTTTAGTACCAGAAGTACTTCCAGTGGGCGTAGCATAACAAATTTTGCATGTTATTCCTAACCCCCACCTGACTATGCCACCCAAAAATTACGTCACCATCACGTCATAGGGCTTGCTATAGTATAATTACGATCACCCGAAATGGCATCTGCGCCGCCAATCTCGCTAACGCCCGCGATCTCTCTCCTATCGGGATCGTTGTGGCGAGAGAACGAGAGAAATAGCTTGCTCAATTTCGGGTGATTGCACGTTTCGGACGACCATCCGCATATTTTAGTGGGCCCTATTGCGCCACTGTGACGTCGAAATGACCTAATTTTTCGGTGATATAGTCAGGTGAGGGTTAGTATTGACATATGCAAAAATTGTTGAGCCAGGCCAACTAGAAGTGCGTGTGGTACCGGTACTAAACTATACCAGACCCAAATGTCTTTATTATCTCTATAGGTGAAATACTTTTTGCTCTATATTCCAGTATTCAGACATTCAATTCTAAGTTTAATCATTTTGTGATTCTTCGTCTACAAGACGTTTAATCTCAATGGTGCCGTAAGCTTTGTTTGCTACAGTTTAAAGATAGCCTGTTGTCCTTATCCATCAGTCCGTACATGCTTTAAAGAATTCTTACTCATAAATATGCATATTATGAAAAAATAAACTTGACGACCAATTCGCGTCTCCTGCACCGTGACACATATTTTATTGAAAACACCGTGGGAATATCCGTGATAATCGACAACACAGAAATATTTAATATGACAATTACATGCACAGATTGTTAATATACTACCACTAATCTTATAAAATTCCAAACGAAATCAAACTTACCATATTTACAGTCAAATAAGGTTTTCAACAAGGACAAAAGACCGATAGCATCGGTCTAGGGGGTCGACTACATTCGAAAAGAGAGACTTGGGAAGGTTTTCATGCTGACTGCAATAACTACCACAAGAGGTCGTTGTAATGATAAGTATAATAAAAACGGTCTTACTACTTACTGAATACAGCGCGAAACACCGCAAAGAGCGCAAAACAGCGCGAAACCGCGCAAAACAGAGGGAAACAGCGCAAAACAGTGTGGAAACAGCGCAAAACAGCGCGAAAGAGCGCAAAACAGAGGGAAACAGTGTGAAGCAAAAAAAAATTTTGCAATGAGTTCGGGGCACCTTGTTTTGAGTTGGAGTACCACGGCAGCAAATTAAAAACACAAACCAACGTATGTAGCCAGTAATGCTGTAATGGCAGGTCTCCCCCTGCTGGTGACACATTTTGGGTACCATAATTTAGAACATTTTCCATATGGACATGGTTGGCTTTAGGGTTAGGGTTAGGTAAAAAGGGACCTACAGAAGTATGTGCACCAAGATGGCGCACAACCTGAAAATAGTATGTGTGTGTGTGTAGCGGATTCAGGTTGTGCGACCTATTGCTGCACCTACTTCTGGAGCACCAAAAAGGTAGATAAAATTTCGCATGATGACCTATAATCCGGTACATAACCTTTTGCGCCATAAAACCATGGCGAGAGGCGCCGTGGTTCTTTCGTGGCAGGAGGTGGTAATGACTGCGTCTCCTGTTTTGCGCTGTTTTCCTTCTGTTTCGCGCTGTTTTCCTCTGTTTTGCGCTGTTTCGCGCTATTTTCCGCTGTTTCGCGCTCTTTTGCTCTGTTTTGCGCTCTTTGCGGTGTTTCGCGCTGTATTCAGTAAGTAGTAAGACCCTAATAAAAACACTAGTGGCCGCGAGTGGTCGTCATTAGATAAACGTGGGTCTTACTACTTACTGAATACAGCGCGAAACACCACAAAGAGCGCAAAAGAGCGCGAAACAGTGCAAAATAGCGCGAAACAGCGCAAAACAGAAGAAAACAGCGCGAAACAGAAGGAAACCAGCGCAAAACAGAGGGAAACAGCGCAAAACCGGAGACGCAGTCAGGAACACAGGGACGCAGGAGACGCAAAACAGGAAACCAACGAAAAAAACGTTGGTGAACAGGAACAGGAACGCAGGAGACGCAGTCAGAACAGGAACGCAGTAGACGCAAAACAGGAAACCAACGAAAAAAACGTTGGTGAACAAAACCAGTAATCGATCGGTCTGACGAAAAATAACCCCCGTGACGGGTTGCTGACAATGGATAGGGTTTTCATACTCATCCCGGGAGATAAAAGCCGATAACACGGCTTAATCCTATGGCGAACCACAGATTACCGGTTACCAGCCCATGTCGGGTATGGGATTAGTTAGCCCATTAGCCAGTTATTTGTTTCAGATGCATGGAATCGACGATAGAAGAAGTCGTAACCGACCAGCGGTTACGTAAACCACATAACCTACCATGCCAAAGAGTCCAGCAATTCTCTTCCACATAATTATACCCCACGGGATTTGAACCTACATAGGGTAATCAGAGGTGCGATGGCGGGCATATTCTTAACGCTAAGCAACATCCACCACACCGCCGAGCCCATATTATGATCGCACATGATCATTCCGCACAGAATTTTGTCATCATAATGCAAAGCTACGCATAACAATGAATGTCTTCCTGGACTTGACCTTTCCTGGTCTTCCGTAAAATTTCTCTACACTTCAAGATTCCTAGATTTTTAATAATAATTGATTTGATTGTGTATTAGCTAGTTAGAGAGTGACCTGACCATTTTATTTACGCTGTGATCAAACTGTCAGTATAGATTATCACAATATGAAATTATAAAATAAAGACAGAAAATGAGTCGACTGATGAATTTTTTTTTTACCATACGACACTTAACATTTATTGATTTATTGTATAGTTCAGAGGGCATGGGTAAAATTGTGTATACCGATATATTATACTACACTTTGATCAAGTGCAATATTGATCCCATCCACAGAACCTGGTTCTATATAGAAAAGAGAGAGAGAGCGATATTTATTATTTTGTCAACCAAAATACAAACAGTCAATACGAAAAAAAATGTAACATAAATAAAAATTGCTTTAATATAAACAGGAGGGAGCGATGCGGTCATCAGAGTTTCCACCCTATTTGCTGATGTGATTTAGGTTCACATTGAAAATGACTATTAGAAAAGTCGGTCTGTTTAATAAGACTTCAACAATTTCGATATAATCACAGAAAACTTCACATTAGGGAAGGGCATGTTTTGTTGAGAACTCATTTGCACAATAAAATTCTATCGGCTTTAGATGATGGTAAACAATAATATATACAAACATTCGATATATATATATACATTTATACTGTATTTCAGTGGATAGTGAGCTCGAAAAATGTAGCCTATCACCAGCATGACAAAAGATTAAATGCACAAGAGCGCTTATACGGTATAAATTTGTAAAATGGCGAGTTTGCTTCGAAATATTAAAAGCAGTCTGTTCAAAAAAAGCGGCAGCTGATTTGCCCCCAGACTATCGCAGATTTTCAGTATCGTTTTTCGTTACCGACATTATTATTTAGTTCTTGAGGAGACAAATGTGCATTTATGTTGTTTGATTCACATCCTATTTTACGTAAACTAACTAAACGAGTAATTTGACATTCAAAACAACGAAAAAAAGTCAATGTACGGCTTAATCATATGGCGAACCACGGCCTCTCGTCCGGTCAGGTCGGGTTTGGGATTAGTTTGCCAGTTATATATGTGTTTTAGGAAGCATGGACTTGATTTTTGAGGAAGCCATAACCGACCAGCGGTTACGTGAACCACCCTACGGCGGCGAGAAGTCCAGCAATTCTTTCGCACATAACCATCCCCGCATGGAATTCGAACCTGCGAACCCACACAGGGTAATCAGAGATGCGACTATTAGCATGATGCGCCACACCGCACTGGTTGGGTATTGTTACGGTGGTAAACAAGGAAGTCTATGCTCTGATAAATACATTGGCGGTTCAATAGAAAGATCCTATTTTGTGACTGTGTTAATTAAAAAATCTCTCGATCTTTTCCTCAACGCAACTAAATCGTATTTGACATAGAGCTTGTGTTTTATGAGATGCAAGCACTTTATAATGTCAGAGCTTCACATTTTTTGCAGAAAATTGTGACTGAAATCAATTTTTACGCAAACTCTCTAAATGAGAATTAGAAATCTTGTCATAGTGAGTGAAAAAAGATTTTTTTTCTGGGGTCAGGTGTCAATGAAACATTTACTACATCAGTGGTTCTCAACCTTTTATGGTCCGTGGCCCCCTTCCGGCTCCTTTTTGCTCTCGTGACCCCCCTGTATGTCATTCCAAAAACTAAACGTGTTGGATTGTATGTTTTAACGACCTTTTATGGAATGCAAAGACAAACCACAGACAAGAAAGGCCAAGCTTTTTAGTATACAACTAATGGGTATCTTGCTCTTTGGATTGTCTGACGAGGTTCCTATTTCCAGGGGGACCTCCAAAAGTATTGCACGAAGATGGCGCACAACCTAAACACAGTGGTTGTACCAGGTTACGGTTCAGGTTGTGCGCCATCTCAGTGCACATACTTCGGGAACGCCCTCTAGGGACCGTCATTGATATAGCCAGAAGAATGTCACTGTCAAACTTGAGACGGTTTTGATGCTAACAAGATCAGAAAAAACAGATTCGCACAAATAGGTTGTGACAAAGTCTTTCACCTGCGTATGATTTTTGTCACTTCTGAACGTAATGATTCACTGCTCAGTACATACGAGTAATGCAGGTATTGAACACATTCTTTGTCATCTCGAGTTACTTTGGTAAAGCCAACCTAATTGTCGTTCCATTTTCGTATTTAGGGCACTATGAATTTACATATGGGATATTGCGTCTATAATGCGATAGCGAAAGTTATCTCGCAGTCTGATGAAACCGCCTGCAGGTTAGACGGCCTACCAGCAGGGCTGCCACTTTTGCCTGACTAAATACATCTAGATTGACCTCGAAAAACATCTAGAAACATCCAGATTGAAAACTAAAACATCTAGAAAATACATCTAGATATGGGGGTCATTAAAATTAATGAAAAGTACCCATAATACAGTAATATTAGATGTCGAAGAAGCCAACATCATAATCTAGAATTCAATTCCGCCTGCAGAACTTACAAACGATCTTGTTTTTTATCATCTGAAGGGGGAAACCCTTCCTTAAGCCAATCTTTTCTAAATTTTTGCTGGTAGTGTATAGGTACACATTGGCATTTTGAAAAGTGGATGTTTAAAGAGAGATACATTCAATAGCACTTATAGGCTTAAATAACTTAATAATTTTAAAACTCCTTGGCAACAATATCACCGGACAAACGTCGTCCTTTCTATTTAACGTTAATTAAAACGTTACATGTTTTAAACATGTTTAATTCGCTATTCAAATATTTTAAGTACATATGGCTGTATGGTACCGGTGGACGAATACAATATTAATGGGTTTTAACAATCTCACATCAATACTTTTAAAAAATGAAATAACATTCATTCACCTATTACAGTATTATACACATCTCTTTATTTATTTCCCACTGAATAATATTTAGAACCTTGAATGAAATAAAATATCTAGATTTTATAGCTAGCATCTAGGCTCCAAATTTTGCATCTAGATCTTGAAAAATACATCTATATCTAGATGTAAAACATCTAGAGTGGCAGCCCTGCCTACCAGCGAACTGTTTTTATTGGTGAATTCCAAATTCCATTATGATCAAACAATTCACGCACAAGAAAGTGAATATACCCAGTGATCGCGAATAACCTAGTTGGGTAATGAAAATACGGTGAACGCCAAAACACTAAAACTGGGAATTTGATTTTAGAAGGAAATTATGCAAACGAAGTCGCCTTATGATCAGTTATTATCCTTGTGTCGTGCCCCCCTGGAATTGCTTCGTGGCCCCCGGTTGAGAACCACTGATTTACATGATGACTGATGAGCGACCTTCCAGATTTCGGTGATTCCCCGCGTGCTGGTGGCATTGGCATGTCAAGGAGTTAATCTAGGATGAGTTCCTTTGGTTTGATCGCTCTAAGAATGACATGGGCAAACTACGGCCCGTGAACCAAATCGGACCCCTTGGGTAATTCAATCTTGCCTGTCCGATGCAGCCACAACCAAACTAAAACCGAATTTTGATTTTTTTTAGCTCAAGGGAACAGTTGAGAGGCGATTAAATTTAGGCTAGTCTTGCCGCGAGGCTTATTGTTTTCCACTTTTGCTTTTGTAACACTGTAAATATTGTTCATAAAATGTAAATTTTCATGCCACACTTATCAGTACATGCCGACATGGCCCGCCAGTCTAGGTCTGGTGGGCAAAATTTTTAGCGCCTGGTCCACAAACCTTGCCCACCCGGCCACCCCTGCGTCTACTAAACTGTTAAAACCGTAAGCTTTTCTTGGTGTGGATGGTAATTATTTTTTCTTATCTCGTAATTTAGCACTCACTTTAAATCTACTGTACCGCTGTATGTCTAGCACTAGGTTGTTTTGGGGCCATTTTACTAAATTGAAATATTTTAAAAACTCCATCCTTCGCAGCACTATGGATCATAAAAGAACCTATGGAAACTATTCTGGGCAAAGCGGGACTGGAAACAACCCATATTCTGGTGAATGGTATAAGGATGATAACCCTCCTCAAAAAAGCCAAGTATATTCTAGAGGTGGAAGAAGGGGGGGAAGAGGTGGCAGAAGGGGTGGATATGGCAGGGCACGTAGAAGTAACATGGACGATAATGGAGAATGGAAACAACGTTCAGCAGGCAGGGGTAGAGGAAGGGGCGGACATCCTTCAGGTAAGTTGTTAATATCTGAATTTTTTTGCTATTTAACTTGCAGACTTGGCCTGACTACTGTAGTATATTAATTTATAATGTACATTAATAATGGAATTAGTGCTAGAATATTTAAAGCAACGCATAGTTTTCTAAACATGTTATCTATTGTAGGACAGCCTTTAAAAGAATTAACTATCAATTTCAATATAGTCTGATAGTAGATATCTCATGTCCCACTGCTTTCTCCAACAGATTTAATTTGAAGTAATGGGTGCTTTGAAAGCAATCCATTCATATCAATCAACCATAATTTGACATACCGTATTTCCCCGGCGAATAACTACCCGGCAAATAAGATGAGACCCGTTTTAAAGTCTGAAAAAATGGGCGGTCGGTCGCCGTGTTTGCGCATTGGTTAAAATAGCCTATAATGACGTTTTCTTGTAGTGTAATATTCAATCCATAATAACTATGGGAATTCAAACTGTCTTTAAATTTTAATCTAATTGTGTTCAACTCGCGATTGCATCCATCATAAAAGAACATTAGCTAATACATAATAAGGCGACACCAAAAAAATGAAAATTACCATACTCGCCTAATAAGACGACCCCCCCAAAATCAGGCCAAAAATTTGGGTCTAGAAAAGCGACTTATTCGCCGGGAAATACGGTATTAGAAGTAAAATATTGCTACTGTCTGAGTTGTGAATCTTTTTACAAATTTATCATTGAATCAGTAGTATTACTTGTTATGTCTTATATGAGCTTGACATTATTAAAAAATTACAGTATTACAGTATACAACTACACCATGCTTAAATTTTGCTTTTATTATTACCAGGATTGAAAGGCCGGGATATCGGACTGTGGTATGCACAAAGAGGTAAAGAAAGAAGACTTGAAAAAGAAATGCACAACAGGAAAACAATACATATGGATGAACAACAAATTGGACAAGTTAACCATGCATTATCAGATGCAAGATTTCAATCCAAAAAGCAAGAGATTCCTGATAGCAAAGTTTCGGGTTCCTCTCACGAAGCAGATTTTGGATGTATTGAGAATGAATCGCCTGAAAATGTTTCAGATTTTTTACCATTTTCAGACAATGATAAGTCATGGTTTTCAACACCACTACGATTAGGCGCAGACCTTACCATAAATAAAACATTAAAAGACGAGTTGGCAGAAAAGGTGAATGATTCGCATTATATTGGAATGCAGAAGTTTCGTAAAACTCTGCCTGCTTTTAAAAAGAGAATTGATCTAATGAAGCTGATCAATTCAAACCAAGTTATTGTTATTAGCGGAGAAACCGGTTGTGGCAAAACGACTCAAGTCCCACAATTTATTCTCGACGATGCTATCGAAAATAACAATGGCATGGCATGTAAGATTGTTTGCACTCAACCAAGAAGAATATCAGCTATTTCGGTGGCTGAAAGAGTTGCTGATGAGAGAAGTGAACGCTGTGGTGAAATTAGCAGTTGTGGATACCAAATACGACTTGATTCGAAGTTACCAAGATCAAGCGCATCAATTTTGTATTGTACAACGGGCATTTTAATTCAGTGTTTGAAATCTGATCCTCTACTTCAAAATATTAGCCACATAGTTTTAGATGAAATACATGAACGGGATCTCCAAACAGATTTTCTTATCACAATTGTTAAAAACATTGTAGAAACTAGAAATGATTTGAAAGTTATTTTAATGAGTGCTACTCTTAATGCTGAACTTTTTTCATCATATTTTGATAATTGCCCTTGTTTTCATATTCCTGGGTTTACGTTTCCTGTTCAAAGTTTATTTTTAGAAGAAATCATGGATGTTACCAAGTATGACCCACCAGATGCAGCGTATCGTTTGATCGATGACGTTGAGAGGTTCAACAATGGTCAAATGAAAAGACGAGAAGCGGAAAAATTCAGTAAGAAAAACATAGATCGAGACATAGCAAAGAAATGGAGAGAATATGAAAAAACAGAACTTTCATCAAGATTTCCAGAATGGGCTTGTGATAAGCTATACGCAATGCATCTCTACACACAAAGTGGGATTGACCCTCAACTAATTGTGGCAACTATAAAATATATAGTCAATGAACAACCAAGAGGAGCAATACTTGTTTTTGTTCCTGGCTGGATGGATATAAAAGCTGTTCACGATCAGTTACAACGGGATCGTCAATTTTCTCCATCACGATTCTTGATTATTCCACTACATTCTATGATGCCGACAGCCAATCAAAGACAAGTATTTGACCGACCACCACCAGGCGTGACCAAAATCGTCATAGCAACTAACATAGCTGAAACTTCTATCACAATTGATGATGTAGTTCATGTAATAGACTCCGGTAAAATAAAATTAACCGACTTCGATCACATGACAAATATTGCTTCTTTACAAATGAGATGGGTAAGTCGTGCCAATGCTAAACAACGCAATGGCAGGGCGGGACGTGTGCAAGAAGGCTTCTGTTATCATTTATACACAAAGCTTCAAGAACAAGATTTTTCAGATTTCCTGTTGCCAGAAATGTTACGTACACCTTTAGATCAACTGTGTCTGCAAATCAGGGTCTTAGAATTAGGTAAAATTGAAGTTTTTTTGTCAAAAGTTATGGAACCACCTCCATCTGAAGGAATTGAACTTTCAATACAAAAGCTCATTGCTTTAAGCGCAATGGATGTTGACCAACGACTTATGCCACTTGGATATCACCTTGCAAGACTCCCCGTCGAACCTCAAATAGGAAAAATGATTCTTATGGGTGCGATATTTTCATGTCTTGATCCTGTTTTGACAATTGCTGCAAATTTAAGTTTCAAAGATCCTTTTGTTGTTCCGCTTGGTAAAGAAAGAGAAGCAGACAGGAGGAAGAAAGACATTGCGGATGGGACCAATAGTGATCATCTTATGCTTTTAAATGCATATCAAGGATGGGAAAGTTCTGTAAGAGAAGGGCATCGAGAGGAGTCACAATACTGCTGGGATAATTTTCTTTCTAAATCTACTTTGGGAATGTTACGAGACATGAAGGGACAATTTGCTCAGCAGTTACACTCCATTGGTTTCTGTTCTTCTCCATCACCTAAAGATCCGATCATGAACAAGCTATCAAATAATAAGAAAGTTGTTTTGGCTGTTGTATGTTCTGGACTTTATCCGAATATTGCTAAAATTAATTTTTCAAAACCGTACAAACCGGTAAAAATTATAACAAAATCAGAAAAGGTCAACTTTCATCCCAAATCTGTAAACTATGAAGCATGTGGAGAAAAATTTAGTGAACGGTGGCTCTGTTATTATTTAAAAATGAAAACTAGCGTTATCTATCTTTTCGATACATCAGAAGTTACAGCCTACCCTCTATTATTTTTTGGCGGGAATATATCAGCTTATTATGATTTAAAAATGAAAGGTGACGTAATAGCAGTCGATGATTGGATTGTTTTCAAATCGAAGCCCAACATTGCTAAACTAGTTAAAGATTTGAGAATTGCACTTGATGATATTTTGGAAAAAAAGATTAGGGATCCAGACATCACTGTTTTAACTAATAATGACACTGCTAGTAAAGTTCTTTCGTCTATTGTTGATTTAATTACAACTGAATAATAAATATTTGGACCTCCTGAAGTATGTGCACCAAGATGGCGCACAACCTGAAATCAGGTACCGTAGTGTACCAGGTTGGGGTTCAGGTTATGCGACATCTTGGTGCGCATACTTCAGGAGTACCAAATATTCTTTAACGAATCATTTTTATATTTATTCATGGGTCACGTGGGAGGTTGATAAGATACAAACACTTACTCATTATTTTTTCGCCGATATTTGTTTTTATATGTGTGGACTTGATAGTTGAGTGAGCCGTAACCGACCAGCGGGTTCGTGAACCACCCTACTACGGCGAGGAGTCCAGCAATCTTCTCCCACTTAACTATCCCCGCATTGGATTCGAACCCACGCACAGAGTAATCAGAGGTGCGGTGGCGAGCGTATTCCTAACGCCTAACACGATTAGCCACACCGTCGCGCCATCAAGGTCTTGTGATATCATGTCAATCAGTCGCATCGTATCTATTGATTATGACTGGCAGTTGAAGCCGTGGGTGTGAACCATCCTGCAACAGAATCCAAGCACCCATTCCATTTGGAAGAGGGTAGTTCTGAGTAGGGTACCCAGTGGTGGGTTATCGGCAGCGTCCCTGAAGCTCTCCATGACCACCCTACTTTCTTATTCGTTACAAAAGCAACCAATCATATGTAAGACGCTACTGATTATGAAAGGAACTGGAATCTTTCTGTGGGAATCTGCCTGCCAAAGTTGTTACAACCTGGGTGAGGCGGTAAGATGTATAATTTGTGAAACCACCACAGCTAACGCCCCAGCCACCTCACCAACCGCCTTCATAGTTCTAACAGTAGCTACACAATTCCCGTGTGCGTGGCGCATCGTGCGGAGCGTTAGGAATACGCTTGCCACCACACCTATGATTAACCTGCGCGGGTTCGAATGCCATGCGGGGATATTTATGTGCGAGGAGATTGCTGGATTCCTCTCTGCAGTAGGAGGTTCACTCAACCGCTGGTCGGCGACGGCTTCGTGCAACATCAAGTCCATGCAGCTGAAAACAAATAACTGGCTATCTAATCCCATACCCAACATGGACTGGTAACAAAACGAGAGGCCATGATTTGTCATATGATTAAGTCGCCTTATCGGTTTCCACTCCCCCAGGATGAATATGCAAATCCCTCCTTCATGTTCAATGCATACGAAAAATTCATGCACTTCCGCATTCTCAAATACCGAATTTTGAAATGTTGTACAACGCGAACGCTGAACGCTAGAGGGCTGTATGACTCTGACATGTCGACATTGACCTCGCTATTCCTTTTGCGCCGCATTGATCTCATAAGCCGAACACGGTCGTTGATCATAAACGATTCTGATCCAATGGCGTTTATAAGGTAACTATTCCAGTCAGGAAATTGAGACGTGGTGTCTGCAGGTCACTATTTCCGGAATATGCATTTCAAATGAAACAGCGTCCCATTCTACAAGGAACTATGTAAATGGGAAAAAAAATTTAAAACTGTTAACATGTAGAAATTACAAATAAAAAAACGGGCAGTCTAAAAAAAATCGAGTACTATTTACCAAAGATACAATTTTTGCAGACTGTGTGTACCTTGAAAAGTAATCTTATTCTGATGCTATATAATTGCCTATTGTATAGGGTTATACGAAAATATCATGCAAAATTACTTAAATATATTTGTTCCGTTTACGTATCTTTTCTAAAATTCATAATTTTGAGCAGAATTATTTAAAAATTAAAAAAACAACAATTCATCAATTACGTATATGAGCCTGGAATGACAAATTTGATCTACTTTACTGTAACGTGACCTCATGTAAACTGAAACAGGTATATGTTGTTGTTTCTAAAGTAGAATATTGATTCAACATTCTACATTAATTGCAATATTGAAAATTGGTAATCTCACAAAACTCACAAATTAATTTCACATACAAAAATGATTCTTGGCCACGAAATAAACCTATTGATCGTTTTGTTATTATGTTGTTGTTCTTGCTCCTATTTTTGTTGTTGGTATTTTTCTTCTTGAAAAAAATAGCCTTTCTCTTTAACTACTTAACCAACTGCATTCAGATTTTAAGTGGTTGAAGATTGTATTTTTTGTTTCATTTTTTCTTAAACTCAAGAGGGAATAAAAGTAAAATGAATTCCTAGCAGCATACAAAATCTTGCTTTTCTACATTAAAGTTTATTTTTAAAAAGATAAATAGAATACCATTCATCAAAAATGAAAAATAAATATTTCGAAGTACAATTCAAACTATACGTTCTTTACGTAATAGCAAATAGGTACGATGACGCTTTAACAATATAAAACATGTATATTTTGTTAATAAATGAGCAATTTAAAGTGTATTGTTATACGCTCGCGGACTGTTAATGACGAACGAGTAAAACAATCAGACAACAATGGTGACGTCGTATTTTTGTTTATTAACGTATATTTACAGTAAATGCGTTGCGTAAATATAAAGCAAAAGGTTACATGTAACGTAACGGCGTTTAACAAACGTGGAAAAATGATTGATTCTAATATAATGGCGCACGATATGCGTCTTAGCTTGATATGAATCGTCATTGCAGCAACAAAATTTTCTGTTTTATTTTTTATTTTTAACCGAGTTATGAACTTTGTTCGAAATCTTTGTTTGATTTTTGGGTTCAAGTTGCGGGCAACTAGGTAGAAAAATATTATCATACTTTGTATAATACGTCCAATGCCACTTCACCCTTTATAGATAACTATTTTCTTACCTGCTTTTTAATGCTTGCGTGCGAAGCATAATGTTAGTTCATTGTTATTTAAATGACCTTGACTTATAAATATCAATTTCGAATATTATTGTCGCAAACGCGTCACAAGTCAATCTATTTAGGTTGACGTAATTTGCATGTATTTGATATAAATGTCACAAGGTAATGACCGTAACCTGTTCCATAATACAATAATAATCTCAATCTACTATTCTAAGTAAAGCATCTTTCGACGTTAGTCTTAACCAGTGGTTCAGTTCAACCTTTTCTTTTTTGTGGCCCATTTTCGTTGCCCAAAAAGTTCTTGTGGCCCATAAAATTTTTATTGCAAGGAAAAAAAACTACAAAAATAATCGAAATCTTCCTGCGCAAATGGATAATGGATAAAGCCAGTGGTCTAAACCAGGGTTGTGCGACCTTTATTACAAAAGGGCCAGATACAAGTAATTGGGTGACCGCGCCTTAATTTGAGATAGCCTTTCTAGTACTTGCAGGCACAAAAAATTGTTCCTTTTCATTCTTGATCTTACGCCATTGTTATTGGCCCTACAGAAATGGGTGAGTTAATTAAAACGCGGTGAGTTAAAACGTTGTTTAGAAAACTGCTATTAAAATTTATCGTCACACCGACTTTAAACGAATTCAATGAGAAACACGTTTTTATAACATTGTGTATTTTGCTAGCTAGTTTTACTAATATGACAGTGGCACTCGATCAGGTACTGATAATCTGGTATAGGCCCTGCTCCGCAAAGAGATCGGAATTGCTAGCACGTACTAGGTTAACTAAACTAAAAGTTGTTTCGCGGGCACGCCATCTAAAATAGACACTTCTCCCCGGGCCGCACAATTTGTCCTTGCGAGCCGCATTTGGCCCTTGGTAAGCAGTTTGCACACCCCTGGTCTAAACTATGCGAAGTTTAGAGTCAAGTTCGAATAACAGCAAATTTTTAGTTCTAGTTTTCATGTAGATTCAAGATCACTACAATATCGAGTCAAAATCCAAGCCGCATTGCTGCTGTTGGGATCACAAATGAGTCGAAGTCATTGTAGATTTCATAAACCAGAATGAAATGGATAAATTTGAGTCACGTTGACACTACGACTTTTATCTTGCGTCAAATGGACGGTAATCTGAAAGACAAGCATGAAGGAAATCATGCACTGACAAAGATTTGCTTAAAAATTCTTTCGAGTCCTAAGATTAGCATTGTGACGTTCATTTAATTCCATTCCAGTTTTTTATTTCAGATAATTCAAGCCTTTGAAACAGGGGAATTGAGTCCGATTGGAGTGAATGACTTGCGTTTCTCCAGGAATGCTACTCACCTATAAAGCGAATGAAATTTTCGTATGTTCCACCCATTAATCTCGTACTTACGAAGCAAAATACATTCAGAACCTCTATGTCGAGAATTCACAATTAAATGTAATTTCATATAATGCAAGAATACTAAGAAGTCAGTCACACTCACAATGTTGTTTAATATTACGTAGAACATAAACCAAAATGTGTGATATAAGTGATAAACTTGTATCGTTTTAAAAAAATCGATGCTCTTTATAGTTACATAGACAAATAAATACGACACACTTTATTTTTCAAAAAAAAAGAAAAAACTAAATCTTGATAATTGCATGGTTTATGTATGGATTTACATAAGAATGTTGGTTTCGTAATAAGTTCATGTTGAACTAAATTTTGACATTAAGACTTCTCATAAATTCAAAATAAAATATTCGGAATTACCTGAAATACCAGGTCCATAACAAAGTTGAATGTTTTATATAAAATGATATTTATACCTGTCCCGATTGGAATTTGAACGAGTCATAAAATTTGCTTAAAAGTTTGAAATGAAAATAACTTTGGCAATTTTAAAAATAGCGTGAATAAATTTTGAAAAATGTGAAACGGTTTTGAGATGCAAAATCTTGCTGGCAGAACTAAAAAAAACGTGTAAGGTTACGAACATTGTTTATTCACATGAGTGGTAGGCAAAAACCATATTCAGAAATGTAATCACGCTATTTTTAAAATTTCCAAAGTTATTTACATTCAAACTTTCAAGCAAACTTTATAACTCGTTTAAATTCCAATCGGGACAGGTAAAAATATTTTTTTTATATAAAACTTTTACCCTCATCATGATCCATGTATTTCATCCTAGTTCGGATATTTTAATTTGAAATTACGAGAAGTCTAAATGTCGAGACGGTGGTATGTTTTGCAAAATTAGTTCAACATAGACAGACTATGA